ATTCTTCAACTTTCAATTGGCAAATTAATTCTTCAACTTTATATTAACTCTGCGAAATTAGATTCATAAAAAGTTAACGAGATTTAATGTAACGTCTTCCATTTTCTCAGTTAACGGTTGATTATATTAATCTTAATTTTGCGTGGTCAACGTTGAGTTGAGGAATTTTTTTGCAATCACGATAGTTGAGGATTATTTATGCCAATTGCAAATAGTTGAGGAATAAAATGAGCAATTTCCCCCTCCCTCCTCGCTATATATTTTGAAGTAAATAAGAAAACAAAACCAAAGTCACTCAAAGTCTCTCTCTCTCTCACATTCACCAAACACACTTGCACACAAAACCTGACGCCATGGATTCAGATTTTGGAATTCCCAGAGAACTCTCCCCTCTTCAGCAACTCCGATCTCAGTACCACCCCGAGCTCCCTCCTTGTCTCCAGGTCCTTCCCCATAGATCTTCTGCTTCCTTCCTTCCATTGTTTCTACTTGTTCCAGTCATTGGATCTGTTTTTAGAACTTTGCTTTCTTGCTTGATATAATTATCATGAATTTTTGCAATTATGCGAAGTTTCTGTTGTTTATTAGTAATGATTTCTTAATTCGAGGTAACTTGCAATGTTGGCGTTGCTTCAGCAGATCTGTATTCCATATTGTAATGATCTCCGATCTGTATTATTGGGATCCCTAAGTTTCGTCCGTTTTGGATTCCTTCTCTTTTATTTAGTCTTCAGATTCCATAGTTATTGCTGAGTTTTCACTGTGATTTCTCTTGTTCCGATTCGTGTTTATGGTAGTTTGTGGAATACTGTTCGAACTTGCTCATCTTCTTATCCTGCTTGATGTTCGTTTTCAGGGGACTACTGTCCGTGTGGAGCTGGGTGATGGAACTACTGTTGCAGAAGCTGCTGATTCACATATCATGGCTCGTGCCTTCCCACACACCTTAGGCCAGCCTCTGGCTCATTTCCTCAGGGAAGCTGCCAAAGTTTCTGATGCTCAGATCATTACCGAGCTTCCATCAATTAGGTGCGTATCCATTTCCTCTCTGTATTCCTGTTTCCAGGGTGGCTCTATGTTTTACTTTACCCATCAAAGAAAGTTATATTCAGCTTGAGCTATCTGTTATCTACTGTAGAGTTGGAATCGTGTTTTGTGGAAGGCAAGCTCCGGGTGGACATAATGTAATCTGGGGTCTTTATGAGGCTCTTAAGGTGCACAACGCAAAGAGCACTTTGCTTGGCTTTTTAGGTAAGTTTCTTTATCTCTGATACTCATAGTGGGCAGATTCTACATCATTTTCTTTCTTTTGTTTACAATTCATTAAAATTCATACTTTGTGATAACTAGTACTCCTTCATTTCTGCTAAAATGACCATAGGTGGTTCAGAAGGTCTGTTTGCGCAAAAGACTCTGGAGATCACAGATGATATACTCCAGACTTACAAAAACCAAGGTAGGTTGTTTGATGAAGGCCTTGTCATGATATTGAGAATCTTGTCCATTACCTCATTCTGATAAATTGGCGGTGAAACGTATGTCTTAAGGTGGCTATGATTTGCTCGGAAGAACCAAGGATCAGATCAGAACCACTGAGCAGGTTAACGCTGCTCTCAAAGCTTGCACAGATTTGAAGTTAGATGGCCTTGTTATTATTGGAGGTACCTAGCGTTTTTTTATTAAATCATTGGCACAGTTTATTGTAAATTCCTTCTAAACTCAAGAATTTATATTGGTGTTTTGAAGGTGTAACATCAAACACAGATGCGGCTCATCTTGCTGAATTTTTCTCTGAAGTAAAATGCTCAACAAAGGTCCTAATTTGTTCTTTATCAGCATTTTCTTTTTCAGTAGTTTTATTTTAAATCCCTTTATGAAGCACACTAGTCATTCAGAAAAACCTATTGATACTATAACTTACCCATAAAATTTCAGGTAGTTGGTGTTCCAGTTACTACAAATGGAGATCTCAAGAATCAGTTTGTGGAGGCAAACGTTGGTTTTGACACCATATGCAAGGTAAATCTGAACTTTAACCCTCTGGTTACTTTTTTCTTAGTTATTTTTGTTAGCTATTGCAGCCAGCATGATCCCTTTGTCCTTGTAAGTCTTTACAGAAAAATATTGTGTTTTTGGCTAATAATCTTTTGCTTCGTACAGGTGAATTCTCAGCTCATTAGCAATGCCTGCACTGATGCTCTGTCTGCAGAGAAGGTAAATGCTATTTCTTGCTCAACTTTCTTGTTGTAAGAGATTGCTAGGGCGTTGATAACCATGGAACTGTCTAGTCTAACTGCAGCTTATTGACTTCATATTCTGATGATAAGAAATATTTTGCTCAAGGATGTGGAATCTATTACAAAGTAAACAGTGAAAAGTTGTGCTCTTTATGATTCTGATATCAAATTTTACTTTTTTTTTTATTGGCAGTATTATTATTTCATCCGTCTCATGGGTCGGAAGCACTCTCATGTTGCCCTTGAGTGTACCCTCCAGTCTCATCCAAACATGGTTGGTATTTTTTCGGTTTTTAAACCTAGACACGTGATCTGTTTGCGTGCTTGTACCTCTAGACTCTCATTTGCATGTGATGCGTTGTCTCAGGTGATACTGGGCGAGGAGGTTGCAGCATCTAAGCTTACCATTTTTGACATTTCAAAACAGATCTGTGATGCTGTTCAAGCAAGAGCAGGACAAGGTCTCATAACGAAAACTATCTATGAAAGATTATGCAATCATGTATTTTACTAATCACTAACTCTAGTGTTGTTTGTTTGCAATAGACAAGAATCATGGAGTCATCCTCATTCCCGAAGGGATCATAGAGAGTATTCCTGAAGTCTACGCTCTGCTGAAGGTAATGATTTGATACTTGTAGACATATGTATATATCATTTGAAGCTATTTTCTTTGGTTCTCTAATACCGAGATGTACTTTTTAGTATATATCATGTGTAAGCTGACACTTTGTGATGCAGGAAATTCACGGTCTGCTTAGGCAGGGTGTAGCTGCTGATAAGATTTCTACTCAGCTCTCACCTTGGTCATCTGCTTTGTTTGAATTTCTTCCTCCATTCATTAAGAAACAGGTTCAAATTTTTTGTCTGAGACTTATCTTTGTTATCCCCCAAAGCAAATGAGTATGAGTGCTTACAAGATGGTCATCTTTGTTGCTGCAGCTACTTCTCCACCCCGAGTCTGATGATTCTGCTCAGCTATCCCAGGTAAGAAGAAGAAGAAAATCTTGTTGAGAGATTATGTTATATAAAAAAATTTGGAATCCTAAATGCTTGGTTTGCTTTCTTCACCAGATTGAGACAGAGAAACTTCTTGCCTATCTCGTGGAGACTGAGATGAACAAGCGCTTGGTATGGTCCTTATTTCACTTATCCTATAATTTTCCAATACTGTTTGCCGCATCCAAAAACACTCTTGCCTAAGAAAATTAATCTTTAAACTTGATAGAAAGAAGGCACATACAAGGGAAAGAAATTCAATGCCATATGTCACTTCTTTGGTTACCAAGCACGTGGATCACTTCCATCTAAATTCGATTGTGATTGCGCCTACGTAAGCACTGGCACTCTCACCACAATACCAATGCAACACAATAATTTGGATTGAATATTCACACGATTGAATGGAAAATCTGTCAGGTTCTTGGACATATATGTTACCACATCCTCGCAGCTGGTCTGAACGGTTACATGGCAACTGTCACCAACCTAAAGAGTCCTGTAAACAAGTGGAAATGTGGTGCTGCACCTATTACAGTTGAGTTTTGTCGCATTTCATTAAAAATAAAATTAGCGTTAATACAGTTTCTCACTCGTCTGTTCTCTGGTTTAACCTTTATAGGCAATGATGACGGTGAAGCATTGGTCCCAAAATGGTGGTTCGACTTCAACTTCAACTGGTAGACCTGCAATTCATCCAGCTATGGTGGATTTGAAAGGCAAAGCATACGAGTAAGCAGCAGCTTTTTTCACAGTAAAGAACATAAACCCACTTACTTTTCATAGTATATCTCAATTGTTGGTTTATTTGTTTGAAGCCTATTGAGACAGAACGCACAAAAATTCTTGATGGAAGATCTGTACAGAAACCCAGGACCGCTTCAGTATGATGGTCCTGGTGCTGATGCAAAAGCAGTGAGCCTCTGTGTTGAAGATCAAGATTACATGGGACGTATCAAGAAGCTGCAGGAATATCTAGACCAGGTAAAATCTTGTTGTTGCGTGTTTTTGCTAGTTTTTATAATTATCGAATATTGTCATATAAACATTTTCGGGGGCTCAGGTGAGGACGATAGTGAAGCCAGGGTGCTCTCAAGACGTATTGAAAGCAGCACTGAGTGTGATGGCTTCAGTGACTGATGTTCTCTCGACTATCTCTTTATCTTCAACTGGTGGTCAACAATTTGCTTAAACGCAAGTGTCAACTCTCTTATAAGCTTTCACGATCTTTGCATAAACTTCTTTAATCATCCCACACTTCGTGTTTACTGTTTTATTTTGCTATGTAACATTTGTTGTTGTTTTTATATGTTGTTGAGTTTTGAAAGAGAGAAAAAAAAAAGTTTTCGATTATAGAGGACAGACTTCATTTTCTTCGACTTTAGTCTTTTTGCTCTCTTTTTCCTTGAGGCTGAAACTACCCTCCTATTGGACACGAATATAAAATTTAGCCTAATATATTAGTAATGAAATCGTGAAAACTTTACAATATGGTGTGAATGGGATATAATGAAAAATCACACTCATACAATTCTAAATGATTGCGATTTATACCAAGTTATTCGAAATATTCGAAATGCAGGACTATATGGGTATTTTTGCGTTATTACAGCTAAAAAACAAAAACAAAAAAAAACCTAGTCGTGACGCTCCGGTTTGAATTTTGAAAAAACAAGAACCGTTGTGAAATGAGTCTATGGAAAGAGGGAAATAATAGGGGAATAAACCTTTACAGTCTCTCTATATAACCCGATCACACTTCTTTATTCGCCTCTTCTCTCTTCTTCCCCTTTAACAACAACATCTGAGAATCTGTGATTAGCAAAGAAAGAAGACTTTTCTTGATAGATATAGATTGAGAGGAGGAAAACAAAATAAAGACGATATGGACAATGGAGGCAAACCTGCTGTGTCCGCCATGGAAGCCTTCGAGAAGCTTGAGAAAGTCGGTGAAGGGACTTACGGGAAAGTTTACAGAGCAAGAGAGAAGGCTACTGGGATGATTGTCGCTTTGAAGAAGACGCGTCTCCATGAGGACGAAGAAGGCGTTCCTCCCACCACTCTTCGCGAGATCTCCATCTTACGCATGCTCGCTCGCGATCCCCACATCGTTAGGTTTGATTTCTGATTTGTTTTACGGAATTCACCGATTTTGCCTGTGGTTTTAGGGCTCCGATTATCATTTGTTCTTCCTTCGATTTTCGATTTTCTCTTTCTAGGGTTTAGTCCTCTTCCTGGAATTTCCTTTGATTGATCTCTCAATTGATTTGAGGGCTTCGATTCTTCCTACAAATTGTTATCTGTTGTGTGTTTGTTATCAATTTAGGAAAATCATGTTCATGAATACTAGAAAATGTCAGAGTAGTGGAACCTCTGTCTTCTGGTCTCAGTTTCATCTAGTTATGTAGTGATTGCATTTCTACATTTAACTTGTTGTCATAATGATCATCTTCTTCTCCAGGTTGATGGACGTTAAGCAAGGAGTGAACAAAGAAGGCAAAACCGTACTCTACCTGGTTTTCGAGTACGTTGACACTGATCTCAAGAAGTTCATCAGAAGCTTTAAGCAAGCTGGACAGAACATTCCTCAGAATACCGTCAAGGTTTTTTGAACATTTGGAGCTTTTTGTCCCTGTTTTTACTCTCACTCTATAACCCCCGTCAAGTTTAATGAAACATGTATTTTTAAAATCTTGATTGCAGTGCTTGATGTACCAACTATGCAAAGGCATGGCTTTCTGCCATGGCCATGGAGTGTTGCACAGGTATAAAAACTCGTTTCTGTTTCAAGAGAATAATGCTTTGAGATAACCCATTTTGACACTAGACGGATTGCTAATCTAGCTTCTCTCGGTTTTGTTACAGGGATCTCAAACCTCACAATCTCTTGATGGACCGGAAGACAATGACGCTCAAAATAGCAGATCTTGGATTAGCCAGAGCTTTCACTCTCCCAATGAAAAAGTACACACATGAGGTATAAGTCTATGTTGATGAGACAGTAGTCCTGTTTCATAGTCTTCTTTTAAAACTAAGGTATAAGTCTACCTTAGTTTGTCTGAAGTCTTGATTTCCATTGCAACAGATACTAACGCTGTGGTATAGAGCTCCAGAAGTCCTGCTTGGAGCAACCCATTACTCAACTGCAGTGGATATGTGGTCTGTTGGCTGCATTTTTGGTACAAATTCCTCTCTTTAAAGCGTCATTTGTTTCACTTCAATGTAACTATACCAAGAACTAACAGTTTTGTATCCTTTTGGTTTGTAGCCGAACTAGTGACCAAGCAAGCAATCTTTGCTGGAGACTCTGAGCTCCAACAGCTGCTCCGTATTTTCAGGTAAGTCTTTGTGTTCTTCTTCACCCTTTGTCAAACACACAAACAACTCACATTTGCTTACTCGCTTGCTCTGTTTCTTTCTGTTCTCTGAATTTCAGGTTGCTGGGAACACCAAACGAAGAAGTCTGGCCAGGAGTGAGCACACTCAAGGACTGGCACGAATACCCACAATGGAAACCGTTGAGTCTCTCAACAGCTGTTCCAAACCTCGACGAGGCCGGACTTGATCTCTTATCTGTAAGTACCCAATGTTCCAACACACCTCACACATAATGCTTGATTGGTTGAGATTCACGCAGCTGAAAGTAATTAGCGAGTTTTTCTTTGTGCGTTTTTTGTTCCTAAACAGAAAATGCTGGTGTACGAGCCAGCGAAAAGAATCTCTGCAAAGAAGGCCATGGAGCATCCTTACTTCGATGACCTACCTGACAAGTCCTCTCTCTGAGAAGCTCTCGATATGGCCACAATTATAAAATTGGTTCGTAGCATAGATGGTCAAGTATGAAAACTCTAGTTCGAATGTGTTTAATGCTCATTTTCTCTTGTTTTTCTTTTTTTAAAGACCTCAACATAGTAGAGGAGACTTATCATTTTCTCTTTGATGTAAGAAAAAAAAAAAAAATCTTCCCTTTAGGCATTAACCAAACATTTGTTTTTTGCCCACATAGATTTTAATCATTGATTCGCTCAGAACTTTATCTCTGGATTGTAAAACGTTACTTGTATAACCTCCAACTTAAGAAATTCATCAATTGCTCTAATCAAAACAGAGATTTGCACCCTTTGTGTATGTATGTGTGTGTGTGTGTGTGTTCAGGCTACAAGCCACATGAAAAATGTTGGCCAGACGGTGAGAGAAACCGAAGCCAAAGCATAAGTCCAGAAGAGAATCACAGAGCATTCGCTTTCTCCTGACCCGAATAGTTGAGTGATTGTACCTGCCAAAAAGGTAAAATGCGTCTATGATAAAGAAAGACCATGTAATGTTGTTTTTGTAGTATTGTCTGAGTCTGAAGAGCGAACCAAGATTCATTGCCGGTGGAACAACATACTGAAGTAGAAGAACAAACTGGTAGAGCGGTTCGGATGTAACCAAACCCAAGTGATGCGCTCCTTGCACTATTAAAACACCTGTTATTGGCAGCAACACGTAACGCGCAACCACCACTCCCAATATGACCGACCTTTGTATACCTGATCCCCTCAGACCTGTGGTTATTCAAATATATATATATATATATATATATATATATAGAGAGAGAGAGAGAGAGAGAGAGAGAGAGAGAGCACATGTTCAAGGTTTTGTCTCTTTGGAAAAATGTTTTTTGCAGCTCTTGTTATTTGTTTTATTTACCTCTGAGAAGGTTTCCTCCTACAATCAGAGTCAGAAGAGGAATGGCACCTTCCCTTCAAGAAGTGGATTAAGCTATACTATCAACTAAGCATTTGATAATCATTGACAAGCTATAGTGATACTTTTTTAAGTATATGTATATGTTGTAGAATACCCCAATAGAGATACCGATTCCCCAAGCACTCTTAGTGGAGCTGTGTTGCCGACTAGTAGCTTCCTTAGTGTAGGAACAAGCCCAATCGCAAGCGCAATTAGCTAAATAGAGGAAAAATTCTATCAGTATTATGAACATAGAGAAGCACTCTTTTGGTTCAAGGGAAAGATTGAAACAAACCGCTGCAATAGTCGAAGGAGCAAATATTGTTCGTAGATTGATTTTCTCTGCTGCAGAACATACTCTTTGCTTGATCTTGCTCCAAGTTCCAAACTGCCACATACGCAATCTCAGCAAAAACCCCTTTTTTTAAGCATAAATTGCTTGCAAGAGTATCAAAAGAAATGGTTGGTAACTAAGTGAGACCTGTTCCTCAACGTGTTTGGGAGGAATCAGAGGCATTGTAGAGGAGGTACCGAGTATTGGTGTTTCCCTGTCCGGATTTGCTAGCATTCTCATAAGATTGTATACATAAGTCCATATGTAAATGGCTCCAACCTAATAATACACATGACAAAAACGTTTTGGACTTCTATTAGCATTAGAAGGAGAAGAAGAAGAAGAAGCAATTAAGAAATGGCTGTGACATACCGCCATTGAGAGTGCAATATAACCTAAACCATATTTCTCACAAGTCTCAGGATCTCCAAAAGGACTTCCCTTCTCATTGCATATAGCTGGGATGATGATGAGTGGCATATTTCCCAAATTTCCTGTTGGGTTTTACAATTTGATGATGAATGAAAACAACATATGTATAGGATGATAAAAAGATTTACCAGCAGCACAGCAACCAACTATGATGCCATGGAGATGAGAAGGAGGTTTAGTGATTTTGATAACAATCCAACCTAGAAACGAGCCAATGATGAATGTGAGCAGAACGTTGATTGGCATGAACCACCTGAAAATTTCCCAAACATTCACATATACAACATATCATTTCAAGCAGAATCAGCTCTCCAAAAAAAAAAAAAAAAATAGAAGACTTTACATCTTCACCATGCTTTCATAAGTAATAGTCTCAGATAGACTGCTTCCAACGAGTGAAGGACTAAACACATAGAAAACTATCTGTTTAAAGAAGAAAAAAAACAAAACCAAAACAAGTTACGTAAGAAACACACAAGAACTAGGTCAGAAAATTAATAAAAAAAGAAGCTAGCTCGATTCTTGTGACGAAAAAACGGACGTTGTTGAGGTGTTTTCTAGCATCTTGATTGAGAATGTTAACTCGATCGAGAGCCAAGTAAAATCCGATTGCTGTGATCACCAGAATCTTCACAACTGGTATCGACGAGGTTATGAACAGATCCAAAAGCTTCATCTCACAAATCTGCTATCAATCCAAGCAAATAGATGGGAAGTTTGAGATTAGATTGGTTTATCAACCATCATCTGATCCATCGACGAGCTGGCTTCAGTTATAGATCAAATTACGGATATCATCAAAAATCACGAAACAGAGCACCCTTTCGCGAAAAGAATTCTCCCATGAAATCGGCAGATTATCAATTTTGAGAGATGGTTTCGTCGTGTTGGCTTACCTTATTGAGAATCTTGAGGAAATTAGAGATCAATCGTCTTTCTTGAGCTACGAAACAGAGTACGAGACGTAAAATCTATAAGATGCGAAGAAGATAATGAGAGAAGCTTTTCGAAGTGGCTCTCACTCTCTCCAAACCCAAATTGGTCTTATACTCTTTGCTTTGCATGGCCTCTCTCGGTTCTAGCTACTTTTAGTAGTTAGTAACAACTAACCAAACCAAAATATATATATATATATATATATATATATATATATATATATATTCTCGGAACAATAAATTACACCATATATTAATTTAACATATTATTTTGATTGTATAATATGCTTTAAATCAGTTTCAGTTTCATTTACATATTATTATTGTTGTTCTGTTCATATCGTTGTGGGCTGTGAAGTTGGATAATTGGAAGAATGGATATGAAATTTATCCATATTGGCCATCAAGCTGGCACTGATGGATCCTTGACGCTAAGGTAAGTGATTTGGTTTTCTCAAGTTACTAGAACTGAGGAATCATGTTTTTGATATATATTAGAGTGAAGCAGAATTTCATATTACTGCATTTATTTATCTGAGAGAGAACATAAAGTCAAGTTTATGAATCATTAGAATTTTAGGATCAACCATTGTTTAATCTTTCTTCGGATCCATTTACTTGAGTTCGGATGATATTTTTGATTAATTGTCAAAACTGTTAGGACAATCAATTTAGAGGAATTAATGATTGCGCTACTAGTTGTTTAAAAATGAAATTCGTAGTGCACAAATCTTGTTCTTACAATAACCAACTAATTAATTATATTACAAAGAAAATCACAAGATAATTTTTTTTTTTATTATCTCTCAGCTTTCTGGTTTAAATTTTCAATTTACTTGCTTTCTTTGACAGATATCAGCGATGCAAGCTTTTTGCAATCCATGTTTACTTGGAAATACAAGCATCCAGTCCTAATACAATATTTGTGATAACTGATTCCAACGAGTTTAGACTTCATTATCCTTCTTTTTCGAGTTGCAAAAAGGGCGGGAATGCAACTTTCTTTTGGCATATCTATTCCCTGTAAGCGAGTATTACGTTGAACTGTGCATTTAGCAACATTTCCACGGTCTCGAGAAAATCAGAGTCACCGGTGATTAGCAAGATGTTGGTCGGAGGGTTGTTTTGATTTGCCCATTCGTTTATTTGCGTAATGATCTCTTCATCTGCAACAATTTTTATTTTCGGTAATTGAAAAAAAAAAACTCAAATTAGAAAGATATATTTGTATGTTCTAGCAAACAACAACAAAAAAAAACTTACCATCTTGCAAGTCGTGGAATTGGATTCGGCTATTTGGCTGAGCTAAATTTTTAAATGTTTGCCGGCGAACACGAGGATGCTTAGAGTGAGTTGCGTTGGAAACAACAACAATGATATTCACGGGAATTATTATATTATTATAAGTTGTTTATTCTTTAATATTATTATATATCAAAGTTTTATATTCTCATCACTATACATTTCAAAATTGTGCTAAAAAACGCTATTGTGCATTATTTGTTGGGTTTTCTGCAAAAAAACCCTTCACATGATCTTTTTTTGTATAATAACCCATGACCTCATGCAAGTCAACCCATCACATTAGGGTCAAACCGCAAAATAACCCTCGACGTTGAGTTCCGTTATATCGATTACGGAAAATAAAACGTTGCTTACGGGAAATAAAACGCTGCATAATGAAAGTCGCAAATCATGTTGTTTTGCTAATTTAAAACACGTGCTTAACTGGGTTGTCTTCATAGAAATCGATTTGGGGATAAATCGAAATTAGGGTTTAGCGTCGAATTGGGTAAAAATCAGAGAGCTGAAGATCTGACAAATCTCTTTATGGGAAAATGCCGATAAGCTACAGTGAAAGTTCATCCTCCCGAACCAGTATAGACAGTGGATGTGCAGCAGTTGATGGTCAGTTTGGGCATATGAAACAGCCCGTCGTAACCCTTCATCATCGATGATATCTATCTTCTCTGCAGGAGCTTCGGGTGCAAACCATGCCATTTTCTTCATGTTGTCTTCGTATCCAAGCTCTTGTAGTAAGATTTTTACTGTCTTCATTGAGAATCCTTGAACCACTTCTCTACCCATTTGATGTGGCTCTCCACCCACATATCCATCTTCTTTCGACCAATATCCTCCAACGACAAGAAATAGATCAAAGCTTTCTGGTTGCTCACTGCAAAATAGACCGACAACTCATAAACCTATAATCTAAGATAATTACATAACGAAAACAACTCATTACATGAAGAGAACTCTAACCTCATCGTTGGAATCATCGACAGTCAAAAGGTGGAATCGCAAAGAAAGAAATAAAAACCAAAGAACCTGATTCGAACACACAATAGAACCCAGAATCGAACCCCGAATTAAACCTAAACAATATTCCCCAAAGCCCTCATCATTCCCCTATGAATTAAGAAGAAATCGAACCCAGAATTCCCAAATACAAATAACCCTAATTTTAATTTTTCCCCAAATCGATTTTAGAGAAGTTCAATTTCGTGTATTGTTTTTTGGAGTCTAAAATGGCAACTAAACTCTAAACTGCATACCGTTTTTACACAACAACGCAGTGTTTAATTTCTCGTCTGTTTTTTGGATGCCGTCGTGTTTTGCCACATCATCGATATATAAGAGGGTTGTTTTGCGGTTTGACCCTAATGTGATGGGTTGACTTGCATTAATTTGAGTTCATGGGTTATTATGCAAAAAAAGACCACGTGAAGGTTTTTTTTTGCAGAAAACTCTTATTTGTTCATTATAGTGTTTTTAAATCTGTTAGATTTAAAACATATGTGTTCTTACCAATTCAATACCAATTCAAGAAGAACTGTTAAATGGGAGCAAATGTTTAGAGCTGTTAAATTGGTAATAGATGATTTAGACTTAGAAATATCCTAAAATATCACATTTTAGAAATTATTAAACTTCGAATGAATAACCGATAATGTGATACATTATGATAATGGGAAAAAAACATCTCGTAGAGTACACTACCAAAAAAAATTCATAAAAGCGCATAAAAGGAAATGAGAGAATTATTTTGATTGTTATTTAAGAAAAGTAAAAAATGAGAGATACATTTAAGTTAAATTTGGAGAATTAAAGGATGAAACTTGAGAATGATCGGATGGGGTTGGAGTTGAAACAAAGGGAATTGAGTGTTGAGTTGTAAACGGAAATGACTTTACTTCCCTTGATTATCTATAGTTTCGCAAACTAAGACTCATTTTCTGCTCTTGTAAGCTTGCTTTGATTGAAATGATCTCGAGACTTTGTGGTTGCATCATTGATGAAGGTTGAGAATTTAGTGAGGAAAGAGCTTTGCTTTAACTTAACCTCTCGGTCACTTTCTTCATATCAACCTTTAGGCTTAATGTAATCAACTAGTGAAGGTTTTTTTTCATCATTCTCTCAGACATCTTAATCTATTTTTCGGAATATAACAAATGCTCATTTTCTATTTCAAAACCATGGATTGTTCCATTTAAATCTTTCCTTTTCTAAAATTTGAGAATAAATGTGTTTATTACTAGATACTTGGAACTTTTTTGAATCTTTTGAAAAAGGGACCTTAATTTATTTTGAACCGTCAATGAGAGAGACTCCTGAATTGTAAACAGAAACTTCGTAGTTCAGTAATAATTTATTCTGAAGAGGAAATTACTAAGAAACAAAGTAAATTTGGCTCGAAATATCAAGGGAAGAGGATAGGACAGTGAATGAAGTTGACGAAGAGGGAGTTCCAGTGGTTGACCAATGTCCACCACTCTTTCTTAATTGTGAAATGCATGGTTTACTATTTACCGACAATATCTTAAGCATATAGTCTGAATCTTACCATTTCTTTGAATTTGAATATTCTTTGCAACAACAAATAGTAGCACTCTTTGAATACTACCAAAAAAAAAGAGTAACTATTAAACCGAACAAAACGTAGACGTTGGGATATTTTATGGGTACAGGGAGTGCACTTGAACGTCTTCCTTGCGTTACATTGACATGGTCTTGTTTGTGTAGCTGTATTGGAATGAGAGAGTAAAAACAACATCTCAACACCTAGACTTAGTGATCATTCATCATTATTACCTATAAGTGAGTAAGATGGTTTTCTAACATAGTTTTAGGAAGTTACGTTCTATATGTGAGTTGGTGATTTTGTGTAATCAAAATTCTTTTTCAATTTTTTCTTTAATCTAGAGCAATAATAATAATTTGTGTTGAATTAAGAAATAATGAAAAATATTTTGGAAATTGTAATTTTATTTATAAATTTTTTAAAGAGGTGTTAAGTGGCCCAATAGGAAAAGAATTTAAGATCAACCATTTGGTATCACATTAAGATAATGAAATCATTTTATTTGATTACATGTAACGTATGGTTTCAACTCAACCTTTATTTGGATGTTAAGGGTCGAGCAATTATTTGATTTTAACATGATCGTAATTAAGCCTAGTCAATGTACAAATCAAATGCTAGTAAGTGAGTATGATGGTTTTCTAACATAGTTTAAGGAAGTTACGTTCAATATACGAGTTAGTGATCTTTCTTTTTCAAATTTTCCTTTAATCTAGAGCAATAATAATTTGTGTTGAATTTTGTAAGAATGATAAATATTTAGAAAATTTTAATTTTATTTTTAAATTTTTTAAAAAAGTGTCAAATGAACTAATAGGGAGAGAGTGAAACCTTTTTTTTTCTTTTGTCACCCTTATTTTATATATATGATTTACATTCAATCATTAAATAACAATGAATTGTGGATAAATTTAAACTTTATTAGAAACTATAACTAAATTATACCCCATATTGTTATGTATATGTGACTAAATCAAATATTTTTTTAAATCCAGTTATATAATATTATCAAATAATTATAAAAATAAATTGAATTAATGCATTATTGAGAGAAAATATGTTTTAAATGATTTTAGAATTTCATTTTTTTGTTTGAAATAAGTATTTTCTAATTAAATTTAGTTAAAGATGATTTTTCTGTATGGATAAATAAGTTGTTCTCTTTTAGGAAGAAGTTATATATATATCATAATCGACAAAAAAAATTATATAACATAAAAATTGTTTCTTATTTATCTTATCTATTTGAAAGTCAACAAAAATCATTTAAGGAGGTGCAATGCAAAAACTTAAACATGAATATTAAAAATGTAAAGGGTCTCCGCCTCTGTAAATCACCCTTCAATTCACCATTCGCAAGCCCCATATGAACTCGTTTAAGACACGATCATCTCTCCAAGAGCTTTATGTTTCAAAGATTTTTCCCTGCGGAAAAGGTGCCGAATGCTGTAAAAGGGAAGTTGATACATGAAACTAAAAAGTCTAGTGCTATACGATTTACGAGCAAAGCCAAGCAAATAAATGCATCAAACTTAGATATTACCGATCTTTTTACAGCCACCACGCGGTAATGCGCATTAGCAAATCCATCGATGCCATTGTATAAACATAACACACACAAAAAAAGCAAGGAACAAAATTAAAAGAGGAGAAAGTTGCTGGATGAGAAACAAAAGGCATTATTCAACACAGACCATCTCACTAATAGCACTTTACTATTTGTTGACCAGAAAGAAGTAAGAACTGTCACATCACGTTCAAGTCTATAAAAAAGATTCAGTAAAGCAGAGATTGTATTCCACAATATCAATCAATAATACTTGTTTAAAAAAAAAACGCAGAGTGGTTTTGAATCCTTTAGTCACACAGCTCATCATGCTTTCCTGTTAAAAGACAGAAACTAAGATCCATAAGTTTGAACTTTGAGATTAGAAGATTTATGTAAGAAACAAAATAGTCTGCAAGCAAGGGTAAAGCAAAGCATTTAGCTTAAATTTACCACCAAAGCTTGAAAATTCGATAAGAATTCTCAACTTACATTATAGGACAGAGTATCTGCTTGATTGTGCTCCTCCGGGAAGTGACAGAGCCTGAGTTGTAATGTCTTCAAGAACACGCTTGAGTTCGACTTTCGCCTGCTTAACAGATTTCTCGGTAGGCCCTTCAATGAACAGGTAGAGCTTACGTTCCCCAGGTCCCGGGATACGTCCTGGTGGATAAAACTGACCTCTAGTGGTAATGGCGGCTCCAGTCCAATCTGATATTGGACCCAAAGTTTCTTTGTGGGTCACCTTCCAACGAGCGTTTTGTGGGAAATCATTAATTTCCAGTTCTGCTTCATAGTGCTCAGGCATTGCATCAGCTTGAATCTTTGCCAGGTTATGCTGCAGGTTAATGGCAGCAACCATGGCTGCAGCACGGCCTGGCCCATCAGGAACGCCAGGAACAGTAACCGGAAGGACACCTGGCACAACGGCAAGCCCGCCACCATTTGGCAGCAATTGGTTAGCAGTCACAGGAGCACTCACTGGAGCATTAGCTTTAGCAGCAGCAGCAATGGCGGCTATCTGAGCAACAGCAAGAGTAGCCTGCTGTGAAATATCACCACCACCTGCCTTTCTTACCACATCATTCTCATCTTCTGAGTCAGACTTGTCTTCCTCAAACCCATACTCCTTCGCCTGTGCTTTCTTCGCTGCTTTCCTAACTTCTTCCTCCTCTTCATTGAATTTAAAGCCACTACCTCCGTAGCCAGTTCCATGAGCTTGCTCAATACCCTGTTTCACTTTTGCCATGAAACCATCAGCAATTGCTTTCAGATCATCGGGGACTGGCTGCTCAGAAAGTTCCAGTGCCTTGACTAAATCTGGTGCATATTTTGCATCATCTTCAGAGATAAATGTCACAGCACAGCCTTTCCGCCCTGCCCTTCCTGTCCTGCCAACGCGATGCACATAGTCTTCATAGTGGTTAGGAGCATCATAGTTTACAACCAACTCGAGATCTTTCACATCTAGACCCCTCGCTGCAATACTTGTGGCAATCAACAAACTGCAGACATTGCTCTTAAAATCAGATATAGTTGATTCACGATCGGTCTGATCCTTACCCCCGTGAAGAGATAGGCAAGGGTAACTCCTTTTAATCATATCCTTAAACAAGCTATCACATTTTTCCTGTGACTGAACAAAAATCAGAATTTTTCCTTTCTCATACCATTCCCCAAGAAGTTCCAGAAGTCTAAAGAACCTCTCACCCTCCGGTCTGACTTCAACTAACTGAGCTATATCCTTATTTACAACACTCCTTCCACCAACCTGTATTTCAATAGGCTTGTTCAAGACTTTACGTGCCAAAGTTTCAACTTGACGCGGGAAAGTGGCAGAAAAGAGCACAGTCTGTCGATCAGGTCGAATATTTTGGATAATTCGAGTAATTTGAGGCTCAAAACCCATGTCAAACATACGATCAGCTTCATCCATTACCAAAAATGTGACCCTCCGCAGATTGGTGATTTTTCCACTGCTTGTGCAAAGAATATCAATCATCCTCCCAGGAGTGCACACAACAATCTCAGTCCCTCTCTTTAGCTCACTAATTTGCTGCGCAACTCCTGATCCTCCATACACAGGAACACATCTTATACCCAATGCCTTTGAAAACTTTTTGATATCGCTGTGAATCTGCTGAACAAGCTCCCTAGTAGGCGCCATCACAAGCCCAATCGGCCCCTCACCAGCTTCAACGGGAGGCTGGTCTTTGATATGCCTCAACATTGGCAGAACAAAACCTAGCGTTTTACCTGAGCCGGTTTTAGCAACTCCAATACAATCTCGACCGCTCATGATGATTGGAAGTGCTTGTGTCTGGATAGGCATTGGCTTTTCATACTTGAGCTTATTCATGGTATCCAAAATTTTGCTAGTAAGTCCAGTCTGGTGCCAAGATCTTATGGGTCTTGGTACATCCTTCCCGTGAACTTTCAGCTCCAATTCCTTTCTGTAAGCGGTAACTTCTTCGTCTGTCATCCTCGAAATATCCTTCACTTCAATATAAAAGTTCTTCCGGAAAGATTCATACTCTATTTTTGAGTGGTCAACAAGAGACAATTTTTCTGCCTTCGTCTTCTTCACTCTCTTCATGAACTCCTCATCGTCTTCGTCTAAACTTGGATCATCATCATCCTTTGGTTCTGAATAATCAGAATCCGAGTCCTCACCTTGCATTATCCTACCAAGGGACTTGTTAAACCCTTTCTTTGGCTGGTCACCACGTTCCTTCCCATTCTTCTCAGAATCCAATATACCATCCTTAACTACTGGAGGAGCACTATTGCTAAGCTTCTCAACCTCAGGTAATACCATAGCATTCATAAAAGCATCTAACGGATCAATTTCCTCTTCATCTGCAGCTCCATCACCTCCTTTCTCAGAGACAGTAGTAGACATCGCATTCTCAACGTCTACCATCTTGGCATCTCCACCATTTTCGGGTTTAGTCTCTCCATCAACATCCATCTCTGTTTCTGTTTTTTCTTCCGGATGGCATTCTTCATCATCAGATTCTCCTTCAAGAGTCCAAGCCTTACCGGCCTTGGGCTCTTTATCATCCGCATCACCCTTACTTTCACTTTCAGCTTCCTCTTTTTTCCTCTTCAACTCTTGCCACTCCTGGACTCTTCTTCTCCGTTTTTCCATCTCCTCATCCAACTTCTTCTGCTCATCCTCTAGCTCTTCTTCCCGCGTTTTTTTCTCTTTCTTTTCACCATCCTCCTCGCCAGTCTTTCTCCTTGGACTATCTCCATTTTCATCTACATGCCTGGTAGATCTACCAACGCTCATCTCACGCTCTTTCTCCTTCCGTTCTTCGCCCTCTTTTCTTCTACGCTTCAAATCACGCTTGACATCATCATCACTCTCTCCATTTCCATCCTCTCGTGACCTCCCCCTTTCCCGGTTCCTCCTACCCCTTTCTTTTTCACGTTCTCTCCTATCCCTCTCTCCATCTTCCCTTTCCCGTTCTCGCCTTTCTCTTTCTTTTATTCTCTCCTTCTCCCTCTCCTCTCGCTCCCGTTCTCTCCTCTCCCTTTCTCTTTCTTTCTCCTTTCTCTCCTCCCTCTCTCTATCCCTATCCCTTTTCCGATCTTTGCCCCTATCTCTCTCATGTTCTCGGTGTCCTCTCTCCTTCTCCTTCGCTCTGCGTTTATCCCTCTCGTCGTATTCTTCATCGTCATCCTCAGAACCGCTACTCTTCTTCCTCTCAGACCGTCTCTTCGCCCTCTCTTTATCCCTCCGCCTCCTTTCCTTTTCTTTACGCTTCTCCGTCTCTTCATCATCTTCTCTATCGCAATCATCTTCAGAATCACTGCTCTTAACTCTCTCAGACCGTCTCTTGCGTCTGTCCTTCTCTCGGCGCTTCTCCGAGCTCTTTTCCTTCTTCCGCTCCTTACTCCGATCACGATCTCGCCGATGCTTCTTCGAATCATCTTCCTCCTCCATGTCCAAATCTTCGTTCCTCAACTTAGATTTATCTACCTCCATTCCTAACTTCAGCTCGAACACCCCAATTCCGGATTCAAAAATCCACCACAATTCAATGAAAATCAATCAATGAAATCTTCAGGGATTGCAGAGGATCAAACGAAACGACAATCCACTTACGCGTGAGCGACGGCGAACTGTCTGATTCAGAGCCAATGTACTAGAAAAAATCTCAGATTAATCGAAACAGTACACAAACAACGTTTGAAGCTTACACAAGGTAAATCTTCGGAGGAGAAGACGAAGCTAACAGAAGAATCGAGAGAGCCGGGAACGTCCAAACCCTAACAAATCGTTATTGTCCGAGTGTTTGCTAAAAAATCCGAGATGGCGGTTCTTGATTTTTTTACTTAACAGAAAATTTGCGGCTCCGTTGAAAAAAAAAAGGAAAGGAAAAAATCTGACTTGATTTCGCTCCATAATGAGCCCATCTTTCAGTTGACGGTTTTGGTTATCTGTTCCGACCCGGCCCAATGTCATAACATGGCATAGCGAGATGTCGAAATATTAACTATAGTTGGTAAATTGTTTTACGAAAAATTAGATTAAAGAAACAAATCTATAAAAAATATGTAAACAAATCTCCTAAGATGTAGAAATATTTTGACTATAAAAATATTTCCTCAGTATATGAACTATAGTTGGTAAAATATCTAAATATATTAACTATTAGTCAGCAACCAATGTGGCAATGTATCACCAAACCAATTATTGATATTTTTCAAATCAATTTTAAAACTCTTACAAATAGGGTTCAAAGTAATAAATATTTTTCTGTATTTTATAGATAAAAATGAAATTAAAAAAAAAATCTTACCTTTAATATTTTCGTAAAGGGTTCAATGTTTTATCGCTATTTCTGACCTGTTTTTAACTATTCTGGTATTGCTTACCATTTATTTCTCATTGAAAAACCTTTTTGTGAAATGTTGATTTTGAATAGTTGTCCAGCAACCATAGAAGGAACAAAATCATTGGCTCATTGTTTCCAAAATCTCCAAAAAGTTAACAAACTATAAAATACTATACTAAATAAAACCAAAAATTTGTTTAAACCAAAGTTGGGGAACTCTTGTTAAATGTTAAACTCTTAACTCGCTCAGCGTTTAAAACCCCATCCATCTAATACCTTCCGCCATTGACAAGATTTTTCTCCGCTTCAAATAGTCTCCTTCAGTCTTCTCTTTCTCACTGTATCTTCTTCGGCTTCTTTCAATTTCTCCGCCTGCAAACCCTAGCGCGCCACCGGAATTCCCGCGTTCTACTCCCTTGTTGTCCTCGCCGGCGCCGTCGCTGCAGAACAGGCAAGCATATCTTCTTCTTTTTTTGCTGCTGCTCTCCTTATTTTCTGGAAGCTTCTCGGTTTTCTAGGCTTGTTTTCTGTTTTAGGTTTTGATTAGTCTGAGGCTGTGAATCAGAGCAATAAAGCGAGGGAGTCCGTTCTAATTCTCAATTGCGTTTTCTTCTAAGTAGAGTTAGATAATCTACCATTTCTAGACGGAGAAACACCAAACAGTCGTTTAAATCTTCTTATAGATTTTGGGTTTATCCTAGTTATTCTTTTTTTTTTTTGGTTTTTCTCTTCATTTGCATGACGTTATCTTGCTGTGACTGTTTACTCCAGAACCGGAAAATGGCGGATACCGAAATGCAAGAGCAGTATCTGATTTGTGCTGATGATGGTGTCGTTAAGGAAGAAGAAAAAGATCAAAACCCTAGTGAAGTACCCCTTCTCCTCGGGGATGAGACTCTTACTCTAGACAGTGATGCTCAGTTAACTGACTTTGCCATTCCTAAGGGACCTGGTGCTAATGAAGATGTGGATGCTCAGGCCAATGGTCATGAGAAGAATGGTGATGTTGGAGTCGTTCTTCACTCTGAAAAGAAGACTCTTACTAAGGTGCAGCTTTCGAGTCCTAAGACTGGAGATGAAAATGCCAAAAAGCGGAAGACTTGGTTGCTGAGTGATTCTGAGGTAATCTATTGAATCTGGCTAAAATAAGCCTGTATTTTCAGTAGAAAAGGAGCTTCGTGATAAAGATAATTATGGTGATCTTTCTCTTACAAGTTCACCTTTTCTTTACAGGCACAGGGAACCGATGAAGCGGGGACACCAGAAGAACAAGAGGCGTTTCTAAGAGAATTAGAGACCTTTCACAGAGAGAATTTCCTGGATTACAAACCTCTCAAATTTTATGGGCAGCCTTTAAACACTCTCAAGTGAGTTTTTGGAAAGTATTGTCTTCTATTCTTAAATAAACCCTTGTATCTGGTTAATCAGCGCCTGACTTTTGCATGTTTTACTTTGCAATGTAGGCTATGGCGAGCAGTCATTAAGTTAGGTGGCTATGACGTGGTAAGTATCCACTTTTTTTAGTTTAGTCTTAAACTCCAACATCACCACTTCATGATAACCAAAACCATATCATTTTAGTTCACTCCTATGTTATCACCTACATTTTATTTGTTTGGGTGATGGATAACATATGAACTACATCACGTGGAATATTTAAATTGGTAAGCGAATTGATGAAAAGAATGTCTATAACCATGGGAAAGTCTTTCAGAGAGGAGATTTTTTACTTAACGTGGTTTCATTATGCGGATATATTAAATAGAGTTTGATATGTTGTCGGAAAAGTATTTTGGTTTACTCTTATTAGCTATATTTAAGAATTTATATTCAATGTTTTTCTAATCTTCTGCTGCAATTGAATGTCTATTGGTCTTCAAGATTACTTTTGTTTTTCAATGTGATGTAGGTCACTACCTCTAAGCTATGGCGGCAAGTTGGAGAATCCTTCCATCCTCCGAAGTATGGCTGATGTTGCCCTTATACTCTCCGTTAGTCTTTGCTGATTTTTCATGATTGTTACATATTTGGTCTAACTATCTTTTTTTCAGGACATGCACAACAGTCTCCTACACATTCCGTAATTTCTATGAGAAGGTGAGTTTCGTTGTTGTTGTGCATAAGTGTATTATATATTTATCTTGTCTTCAATTTTTCAATTCCACTTCAGAAATTTCTCCTCGTGCTTCTTTTCTTTGTCGTGCCTACGCAGTCTTATGGCAGACTAATTTGGACTGGTTCTTTTGGCACTTTGATTGACTGATATTTTATTCTTTCTATCTTATCATATAGATATAGGACATTATGATTTGAATCGTTGCTCAATTGCAGGCACTTTTGGAGTTTGAAAAGTATTTAAGGAGAAATGGAGAGCTTGATCTTCCTGGTTCAACACTCATTTTGTCTTCAAACGTCGAGAAACAGGTAATAACTTCCCCCATAAAATGTGGCTTTTGGACTCTGTCGAATTTATTGGAAAGACAGGTAGATATAGAAAGTTCGGATGAAGATATCAGCTAGATCTAGCACCGTGAAAAGAAAAGAAAACTATCTACAATTGGTAACCTCTTAACGTTGCTGTCCTGTACGAATAAAATGTTGTTTAGACTGAGGGAGTGACAGCGAAGAGTTCTTTTCATCATTTGTTTAATGCAGAAAGACAAGATAAATATATAATACGCGACATGGGTATTCCCGTTTTTCCCCTTGTCCATGTCTTTTTTCTTCCCTGATATAAGGACGTTGATGTAGGCAAGTAGCAGCCGTCAAGGCTCAGGATCAGGCAGGGCACGAAGAGATTCTGCAGCTCGTGCTATGCAAGGTTGGCATGCCCAGCGCCTTGTTGGATCTGGAGAAGCTACTGGGAGTCTTGTTAAGGTGTCACTGTTAATCTTACCGCATTTTTTTATTTCACCTGCAGAAATTTTGACTGTAACATGATAATGTTCTCTTTTTGTTTCAGGATAAGAGCTTAACTCCAAAGCATAAGAAGCTCAAAAGCATCGGTAAATTATCTCTCAAGGGTTTGCTGCTATATTTATCAACAAGGATTGCTTAATATTTTGTTTTAAACGGTTATCTCAGGGCTGCAGAAACACAACACACAAACTGGCATTGACCTTGTTGTTTCACATGAAGCAGAAAAACAGTTACGTAAAGCTAATCCTCTCCTGCTTATTTGCAACTCGTAGATAGTTATTTGAATTTTTTGTTTCTTTCTTTTAACCCCTCTTAGCAGTAATGGGATGAAAACAGATCATTCCCAGACCTCACCATGTTAAGGTTTCCTTTTTGTATCTTGTCCCTAAACAATGCAAGATATTAATTGTAATATGATTTTGGCGCCTTAGGTCGGTTGCTGAGGTTGTTGATGATGGACCCGTTGCTGACTGGGTGAAGATAACTGTGAAAGAAACTGTGAGTTACTTCTGCCATTTTTTCCCGTTGTAACTGGTGCACGAGAAAAAGTCTGATCAAACTAGATTGTTTGTTTCCAATCTGAAATCTTACCAAATCTGTTTTTTTCCCTTTTTGAATTCACAGAAGGATTCCTTTGAGATATATGCTTTGGTACCTGGCCTTCTTCGCAAAGAGGTGAGCTCTCCTTTGAAACCCATTTCTGAAAAGCTACTTGGCAAGTCTTTGAATTTTGTATAAATGCATATTACTGTGACAATACACAGCAAGTACAAAGAGATCTATCACCTACCAAAGCAGCTTCATTGACTATCTTTTCTACAATATAGATAGGAAGCAGCGTAGGTTTTTGAAAGCTTTGACCTTCAGTTACATAGAAACTGATTCTAGTCGCAATACACAGTTCTGATGGCGATACGTTATTTCTGGTGAAACCATAACAGAGTTCAAAGTTCTGAACATAATTTGTTTTTATTTTTTTGTCTCAGGTTCGAATTCAATCAGATCCAGCAGGCCGGCTGATTATAACAGGCGAACCTGAGCAGCTTGATAATCCTTGGGGCATTACACCATTCAAAAAGGTAAAGCTTTCTCATATATATCAGAGAGATTGCTATTTAAGCGATACAGAGACATGTTGTATTGTATCTAACCGAGAAACTTTCCTATCATTTTGATATGGTTTCATCAGATTGTTGGCTTCTCAGCAAGAATCGATCCGCTTCGCACATCTGCGGTCATGAGCATGCACGGTCGGGTGTTCATACGAGTTCCGTTTGAGCAGTGACTGATCTCATGAATGAACTCTTCAGTTTGTTTTTAGTTTCTTTTAGGAATCCTTTTTGTATTAGAACCACATTGTTAGGCTGCTGAAGCAGCTTTAACTCTAGAACTATTGGCCTACGGGCCCATTTTCTAATTAAAATTTGCCTTTGAAATTGTGATGGTGCGTTTATTATCAAAATAGTAACAAATACTTATTTGACATTTGCTATCTAAAATTTTCTTCGGGGACATGTGATAAAAAAGAATAAAGTTCAATATTTAAGGTTCAAAATCGTGAAAGTGCAGTCTAATTTTAGGTTTTAGGAAAATATTGCAGGGTATGGATGTATGAGAATGCCTTTCAAAATTGAAAGGATTTTCGACATGAAAATTTGTTTGCCATAATCAATGTTCATTTTACAGATAAAACAACATAATAAATCTCTTGACAAGATTAGAAGATATTGTATACAAAGAAGATTATAATTTCATATATGAATCTAAACTAGAATGTTTATATATATGTTGCGTGTGTGTGTGTCTTTTTATGTCATGCACAAAATTCCCAGAAGATAAATTTAAAATAAAAAAGAAAACCAAGTTGCTTATTCTCAACTTGGTGTAGCTCAATTGTTGCATGTAAGGCAAATGACATGACCACATGGGAATTTGATAATATATACAAACACAGTTACAACGCTTTTTCCCTTACCATGTTCCAAGCCCCAAAAAACCATACGAAATAAGAAAAGTAGATATTGAAATAGATAAGTTCATTCTTGAGATCATTCAAAATAGATATTTTAAACCATACAAAATAGATATTTAATTTATGTATTTTGGGTAAAAAACTTATCTTGGTGAGTGTATACAGTATACATTATCAGTTTATCACTATAGTTAAGTATGTGAAATAAGAACTCTATATTTTGGGATTTATTTGGAATTTTGTTCCATGGGACGTAACCAAAAAGTTTCGGGTTTTAAACTCACAATCGCTTTGATCGGAAACCAAAACTTATTGAATTAGTTTATATCGTCAGTATTTTAAACTCGTAATCTTGAAAACTTTTATCTTTTGGATAGCCATCTATTTACAACAATTGAGATGTCATATTAAAACAAAACTCGTGTGGAGATTTTTTTTTTATATATATAACAACACGTCGAGAATTATTTGGTTGGAGATTATTCTCATGTCACAATAGTTAGAACTAACCCAATCAGTACATATATTCATCAAATCTTAAGTAGCTATGAAAACCCAGTTCACTTTTGGAGTTTATGTTGGTTATCTGAAAGAATATAAGTATATACTCCCTCTGTTTCATAAAAAGTGTCGTTTTAAGATTTTATTTTTGTTTCATAAAGAGTGTCGTTTATATTTTTAATGCAGAATTTTAAACAATAATTTTGACTCTATTGATTTAATGTATTAATTAGAGAAAAAAATTTATTTAATGTATTAATAAAAGGTAAAATAGTATTTTAATAGTTTTTTTAATAAGTGTAAAAAATGTCAGAATAACACTTTTTGTGAAACGGAGGGAGTATGTTTTTTTATCTGTTTATTAGTGTATTGATATCATTTAAAAAAAAAACTCTGCAAAATATATATATTGGTATCATTAAAATAACATTTAAGCTTCCTCTTTTGTTCCTAGTCAATAAATTTGTCCCTAGGGAATTGGAACATTCCTCTTTTTCACATATCTTGGTAATCGAAACCCCATTTTTTGTTATCTTGCAGCAGAGACTAGCTCTTAACTGACACTACAAGTGATTCATTCTAAGTTAATCTTTCCATGTTAATGGTCTCTAATTCATATGTAACCGACGTGAAAATACCATTTAGTTCATGTTTCTAATGTTCGGTAACGGTTGTCTTTAGCCATTACATTGGTCCATGGCTATAATTCCAAAGCAATAATATTCATCATGATCTTATAACCAAAGTCATTATTTATCTGTTTTTTCCTTTTATCGATATATTTGATCGAAAAACCACGAAAGTATTAATGTATAAACCGATACAAAACCTGACTATATTTGAATTGTTGGTTCAGGCACATAGATTCTCCATACCAACCAAAATTAAAGGGTTTTAAATCTGATCACATCCAAACTACGATCACAAAAACTTGAAGCGCATATATGTGACCACAATTTGTTTAAAGCTACTTATCGCTAACCTATCTCTATGGTGTTGCATTTACAAGTCTCTTAGGAAGGATCGAACCGGCCGGTCTCATTAGAGCACTAATGCACATATTTTATGCATGCAAGTAACTCGAGTTATCAAATGAAAAAAAAAACCTCGAGTGTTCGAAGAAATTACACAATTACGTGGCCAGTCCAAACATACATAATGAAGAGTTTGTTGAAAAGCACAGTTTAGAGGGCCATTTAAACGACACCTCCTAAACGCTAAATCACTTTTTTATAGCCATGATCTTTCTCTTCAGTGATAAGACTAATTAGAGATCGCTTGGACAATTGTTTCCTAGGTACTTATAGATAACCAAATTAGACATCCATTGATATCTTAAACGGTATACGCGAGCAAATAGATGCTAAACAGTCAAATGTTAACAACATGATAGTAAAAGTAATTAAATTTTTTTAAAAACTACAAGATATGTAAGTGTTTAGTAAACGACTATCTAAGCGAGAAACGTCTTGATCTATATGTAAGCTAGTGTTTATCCTTAAGATATGATACATTGAATAGTTTATAAGAAGTTGAAATGAATGTGAATAATACTGCAAATAGTTCGGGAGTTATGAGAACTATATGGGGCTTATGCATCAACATAAACATCAAAAACTATATATACAGTACTATGATTGTAGAAAGGTATCGTAGAAAATAGTGCAAGTGTGCAACTCCTGAGATGGACTCCCATATGTATATTTCATTAAGAATATGTCGTGAAGCTCAAAAATTCTTAAAAGAATCGAACTCATTATTAATTAATAGACCTAAATATCTATCAAATCGAGCTAATTATAATAATAACTATAGGGTACAGCACGAAACCCTAGCAATGAATAAAAGAAAGACCTACATGGAGAAGGTTTTTCTAACAGCACGAGAGACAAATATGCATTCCTCTACCATCTAGCATCTATCAACGTTGAGAAGGCAAAAGAACACACGAAAAACTCAAATATGCATATATGTCAACTAAATAATATAAATACCAAAGATCCCAAATGAAAGACGACTCCACAAAATGATTATAAAAAAAAAACACATAAATTTCCGTTGACAAATATGTAAAAATTCAATTAAAAAGGTGGCCTCGAAGGTGTTCCAGCTCCCCAACCAAGCAAATGAGGATCACCGGGAAACCCATAACCACCCACATTACCTCCTAACTGTCCCTGACCGGTCACTCCCGACGGCGGAGATGCTGACGGAGCTTGCTGCATCTGCGGTGGTCCTCCTCCTCCTCTACTGCCACCACCACCGCCTTCTTCCTCCTCATCCTCAATAGGCAATCTCTCGAAAACCGCGTTTGAGAACGAAGCAGCCATTAGTATAACCGGAGCTGATGCTACAAGCGGAGCCACGACGCTTCCTCCAACCACCTGACCTTGCCCTCCGGCTAAAAATATTGACAAACCGCCTGCACCTGGCGGTGCAGGTGGTGGCAAAACAGTTCCCGTTAGCGAAAGAATCTCAAACCTTCCATGTAAAGTCACAACTCCTCCTCCTCCGACTCCTCCAGCCCCAACACCACCACCGCCGTTTCCGGGAGTGACGACTGGCTGACGGAGAGTGACGTTTGAAACGGTGCCGTTTCCTCCTAAAACTGAGACTCCTCTCCCTCTCCTCCTAGCGTAAGTTGAAACGCTCTCAACTATGTCAGCTCCAGGAGATACCTCAAGGACGTGAGATCTAAGCGCGTTGGGGCTATCGCGCGTGACTATGATCGGTGGCTTTGCCTTGTTCTTAGATCCTGGTGGACGTCCACGTGGACGTTTCCCGGGTGCTGAGCTTGATGTAGCCGGGTCTGAATCAGGTCGACCCGACTGATGATGATCCTTGTTTGAGTGGTGATCAGATTCTCTTGAATCATCCGATGGTGGTTGCTGTTGTTGTTGTTGTTGTTGCTGGTGGTGATGTTGATGCTGGTCGATAAGATTGATTCCGCCTTGTGGTTGAAGCTGTTGGTGGTGATGAATCTCCGGTCTGAAGAGGTTATGGAAGTATCTAGAAGCTCCACCGCCTTGCTCGTAGCCGCCTTCCATCGCCGCCGCATCTACTAATTCCCGCTCCCACCACTGCTTATTCGCCAGCTCAAATCAATTTTTATTCTTGATTCTTGATTCTTGATCTTTATCGTTCATGTATTTTGGGGGTGAGGAAGGGCGTGAAGAGAAGAAATAACTCAGATCGAGAAGTCAAGACGCAGGATTTTGAGGAACCAATAGCTCAAGAAATAAGATGTGATCAGTTACACAAGCCGACAAAATTTGAACAGAACTAAAGTAAAGACCAAGCAAAGAGAAAAAAAGGGTAGCTTAAATAAAATGATCTCTCTATACTCTGAGGTGGGGGAAAAGGTAAGAGGAAACCCTAGTTAGGTAGCTTAATTAGGGCAAGAGGACGAAGCAGCATCTTCTTGCATACGAGACGACGTCGTATTTTAGTGTGCTCTGGAAAATGGAGAGAGAAGCTTGAGATTCATGTGCGACTCTGCAATAATTTTTTGGTCCTCTCATTGAACGAGGAAAGTAAAAGCAAAGACATACACCGAGAATTTAGCGGAGAAAGAAACAGTTCCCTTTATTATTATTTTTATCTATCTTAATACTATTATACATATATAATTAATTACTATGAATAGATGTTTTTTTTCAAAAAAAATAGTAATATATATAGTTATGCACACAAGCCGACAACAACATATGTGTGTGTAAGTGGTTATCCTTACATGAGATCCCAAAGAATACTAGGGCTTCGTCGAGGTTTTTCTTTGGCTCCAACCGGATAAAATATAAGAATGAAATATTATTGAGAAGAAGTTTTGTAATTGAAAGTCTGAGATAAATTAGCATGCGATAAAAAAAATAAATAAGTACAAGGGCGATTTGCTTATCGGAAACTATGGACAAAATATTGAAAACGCATTTTTGTTTGCAACACAAAATGTCAAGTGGAAAGTTGGGTACAAAGATGATAAATGAATCCCACGCTCTCTCTAAGGCGCGTGGCAATTACGTTTAAACAAAATATCTAATCAGGTTTATCATGTTACTAATTGTTCTAACTTTTAACTTTCTACGTTTATGTTTTTAATAACATAAGTGTTTGTTCGTAAAATGAACAATCATTTGGTCGTCTTTTATATTTCAGACAAATATTAAAACTGGTAGTCTTGTTAATATTAAAACTGGTAGTCTTGTTAAAATTTTATATTGTTAAGGTTATCTTAATTTCAAAATTTAGTATAAACTTACCTTACTACAAGACATTTGTAAGCTAGTGATTGTCTTAGTGCTGATATTTTGCTCTCATTCATGTGCAAACCGGATTGTTGAATGCGGTATATATAGACAAAACGTATCTATATTATTATTTTATTGTCAATTCATAATTTAAAATGCATAATGGTAAATATAGTATATGTTTTTTTTTTGTTAAACTATAGTATATGGTTAGCAAATACAGTATTCTGAAAAGAACCCACGTTGCTTTAATAAACAGACGGATACGAACAATCTTTACTGAAAAAGAGAGAATTAGTTACTTTTAGGCGTTGCAGAACAATAATTGATTAACCATGCTTTATTGATTAATCAATAATTTCTCTTAAAATATACCCCTTATCTCTCTAAATATATATATATCGATGTGTGTGTGTTTGCAATTACTAAATAATCTTGTTGAACCTGAGCTAATTAGATATCAAAGAATCACGGTCTTACTAAAGTTTCCCACTTGTTACATTTGATATTTATTTATATCCACTTTTATTGACATGGGAGAGGGCATAAGCCGCATAACTAAGAACAATCAATCTAGATAATGGTCCTTTATTATTATGAGGATCTATATTCCTTTAAGTCTCATAAAACATAGTGGAGCTTTTTTAATGATAAGTTTGGAGAAAGTTAATGATCCATTAATGTGAGATAGTAATTAATAATCATCACAATGTCATGATAGTTGATAATTGATATACTTTTATTACCTTACGTCCTGACTGCTTACGTCGAATTTGGTGTAGTACTAATTTGATAAACATTTTCCCTAATAGGGATGTATTGGTAAAGTAATATTGAATTTGGTCTAATACTGATTAAATTGATATGTTAGTTATCATGTATTGTTTAATCCATCAGTTGCTCTATCGAGATAGTGTCACTTTTTAACTTTTAAGTATATTAAAAAGTTTGGTGAATACACTATTCGACAACTATATTGATTTAATAGATTATTCGAACATAAAAACCAAATAACTACTATTTTTCTTAAAAAAAAAAATTTAATTCAATTGTGTAGGTATGAATCTTCCAAAACAATGAAAATCATGTTTCGAGTGATGTTTTGATAGAAATTGCTTGTTTCTACCAAAGAAATACATATATTCTAATGTCAAACTTTTTGAAAAAAGTCAACAAAAAATCACTAAATTACAAAAACAAATTATGAAATAATTTTAAGTGTTTCTTTCCACCAATTAAAGAAAAACTACGTACTCTCCCAACAATAGTATTTGAGAAATACTTGAATGAAGTTTTTTTTGTCAACCGAATGAAAGTTCTTATAAAGTGACAAATTTGGAGTTTTGAAATTCTCAAAGAATTCTTTACGATAATTTGATATATTCCCATACAATAACAAAATGAAAATTCTAATTTTAGCATAAAAAAAGAAAGAACGTTCGCGAACTGCAAAAACACTTACCCATTGTATCAACCCATCCAAATAATTGCAAATTTATTGAAGAAGTGACTAAACTGGATCCGACCCATTAATGCTTGACCTCATCGGACCGTGACTGGTTGTCCTAATTTTTAACTGCACTGCACCCATATAGTAACACCTAAAGGCTAAAGCTCCTCAACGTGGACGCATGTGGGCTGAACCATGTGGGGCCCTCTTTGACAACGGATCAGAACCGTCCATCCTCTTGGCATGCGGGACCCACGAACCATCGTTTTCCATCGGCGCAACCTGGCGAGTCAGGGCTCGGTGCAATGTACTTGAACCGGACACGTTAGCTTGAACCACACGTGCACAGACAAAAGTCACGTGCGGTCAAAAGGTCAGAGCATGAAAGTGAAAGGCAAGCAGTGTGACCACGTGGAGGCGGTCGGAAACATCGGTACTTGGTCAATACCTTATCCAATCACACTCCTCTCGAATCTATCTAACTTTATCAATTACTCTTCCTTAACGTTCGTACTCAGGTTCACTTCTGCCGTTTTCTAAAATTTTCGAAAAAAAAATAATTGAAAATTGTTTCTTTTACCCTGTTTATAATACTGGGAGTGGATGACATTTGACAATGTCATATAATGGAATTTGAAAGAAATGAATGTGTGTTTTAAAAACCGTCCAAGTATCATCGAGAAACTTAGAAAAATGTGGAAGGTGTTTACCACCTAATCTGTTCTATAAAAGGAAGAATAAAGAACTGCTTCTACTTAACTCAGCCGATTCAAATGGGATGAAACTTGCTTTAAAAAACAAAAATTATTGACATTATACCCATAACAAGATAGGTACTTTTTAAGCCCTAGAGCTACGTGCCAAATCAAGTATAACATCTAAGACTATAAGCATGAGTCTATGAGACGGTCCCAAGTTTTTTTTTTTTTTTTTGACAAAAATGAGACGGTCCTAAGTTCTTATTCAGTTATATGATCCTACTGACTACTGCAGTGTTTTAAAACGTGTTATGAGTTCACTAATGACGGATGTATTAACGCTTAATCGTGTACTTAAGTGTCTAAACTTGATTTTGACGGTAGAGTTTTTAAGGTTTATTTATTAGCAAACATGGAATCTATCACTATATCAGTGCAAAATATTCCGACATTAACTAATGAAAAACATCACTAACATGATAAGGATGCAGTTTGGACTTTGGATAAATAATTCAAATATAAATTTGTGAGGTTCGGACAACATTAAAAAAATATCTTGCAACTTTAATAATAGTTAACACCCTACTCGATATGACATCATTTCAATTAAATATATGAAAAATGATAAGACGGCCAAAAACTTTGATTATTATTACGGGACACCCATTAATCAGTACGCTTATTTATATTTGACTTGCTTCTTTTTTATATCAATCAAAGGTACCACGCGCCAAATTATATGGTGTCGTGTAAGTCATCCCTATATATTTATCAATACAAAAATTTACATCTAAATTCACATCTCCATGGAACTTCATAAAGAAATTTCTATTTCTGGAATTTTAAAGCAAACAAGTTCGGTCATTTTTAACACAATATGCTATATATTTATTGGAATCTCAGTTCAGAATATTTCTTGTTAGTCTAAAAGTTCCAAATTTTCTGATGCGTGGTATCTTTGGACCAATAAAAAAAAAAAGAACAGAGACTATTGTGAGTCTCGCACTTAGAATAGACCATGCTTTCTCTACCAAAAAAATCTATATAGTTCAACCCATTATTTAAAAACAAATATTAGAAAAAATTATCTATAGTACTAGAATTGAATTCAGTAGTTTATATTTTAAAGATATTATTTAAATTTATTGACAATTGATTGTTGTGGATGTATAAAATTCTTACGTTCTTAAAACAAAAAGACCAACCAACAAGTCTAATCCAGCTCTTTATATCAAATTATCAAATATCAATCAAATCATACTTTATTTGGTTTGTCGCACGGAATCTAACATGCCCCGCTTCTTTGCAAGTAGAAATGATAAAAAAAATAGAAATGATGGCTTTTACAATATTATTTAGCGGAAAAAAAACTTAAAAAACCCTCAATTATTTAATATTTGCCAGTTTCTTACCTGAACTTTTTGTGTTGCCAAAAATCTACATGAACTAATTGTTTGGATCAAAAAACTATCTAAAATATTTTATAGTTCCAGTTTTCATCCCACGATTTCACGGCCGTTAACGGTCAAACGGAATTAGTAAACTCCGTTATTTTCCAAAACAAGAAAATACTAAAAAAAACCTTCAACTATTTAATCTTTGTCAAAAAAATACCTAAACTTTTAATGTTGCCAAAAACCCACACAACCTAATTTTTCAGTGTCAAAAAAATCTGAAATATTATACGGTTTCAACTTTTACCCCACTACTTCACATCCATTAATGGTTCTCTCCAGATTCATTCGCTGATGGTTATTTATTTGATATTGGTTTGTTTCTCATCATATACAACATTTATTTCGAAAGGCGATTTGAATATAAGTTCCTAACTAATCGACTCTTTCGAAGAATGATTTCAGTGGCTCATAATAGATTAATAAATATAAATTAGTAGGTAATCACCGGAGATAAAGTGTGATAGATATTTTTAATCATTTATGAAGATCATCTTAGTGGAGATTAAATCAGCCCAAAAATAAAATGAAGCACTCATCTACAGAATCTTTAGTCATAAATATATCTGAATTTCAAAAAAATATATCGTAATTTATTTCGAATTCTATTGGTGATAACTTTGTTTTTAGTTGTTGTAAACTCTTTGATATTTTGGTTTTTTAGTGTCATTTAACTCCAAAAACAAAAATAAAAATTAGCTAATGTGGGTTTTTGGCAACAATAAAAGTTCAGGTATTTTTTTGGCAAAGATTAAATAGTTGAGGGATTTTTCAGCTTTTTTTGTTTTAGAAAATAACGGAGTTTACTAATTCCGTTTGACCGTTAACGGCCGTGAAATCGTGGGGTGAAAACTAGAACTATAAAAGATTTTAGGTAGTTTTTTGATCCAAAAAATTAGTTCATGTAAGTTTCTGGCAACGCAAAAAGTTCAAGTAGGAAACTGACAAATATTAAATAGTTAAGGGTTTTTTAAGTTTTTTTCCCATTATTTAGCTATAAAATGAGGGTATAACTATATACATGGGAATAACCACTTGCTAGTTGCTACATACCTCTATATTGACAAATGAAATTGTTAACGATTATTTAACTCATATGACTTTGACTTGACATTTTATTCCATAAAAAACTAATTGGATGAAACTGTATTTTATTGCTCCTATCAATGTGGAGAACTTGGTGTTCTCCCCAAGTATACCTACGTTACTATAAAAATAATTCTACGTTACTATAAAAATAATTTCGTGTACACTATTTTTTTTACTAACGTAATGATGGTCACAACTTAAGATGAGCTAGTAAAATCAATTAAATTAGTGGCTTCCACTAGATTTTATAAATAAATTCAAAATCAGTTGTGATCAATCAGAAATTACGGGTCAACTTTTTCTGATAATGCCCAATCCCATTCTCACATTTTTGGCGACTTGTGATCTGCCACCACCCCATCCACCAAATTTTTAATTATAAAGCCGGAATAGAAAACAAAACCAAATGTCTTTTCATAATTGAATGTCTCTTTCATTATAATTCTTCTACTCATTTGAATTTGAGCAAGCCTTATACTTTATACATATATATATATATTTGCGAAGTGAACTACAAATTGTTTTGAAGGAAACATATTGAGCTATAGAAATGATAACATACATACATATATATATATATATATACGCTTTTTGTGTGATTCTTCAAGATTTACGATTTAAAAAAACAAAATTTTGTTTGGCTTATAGTGAACTTTAAAGGTGATTTATATGTCAAAGGAAAAAAGAAAAGAAAAAAAGAATTAACTATTTAGTATGGAGGAAGCAACATGGGCAAATTGCCAAATTGGTTTAATAACGGCCCCACATGTCTACCTGACCGTTTTGGACTTTCTGAGTTAGTGTCGAAGGCTTTGGGCCCAAAAGAAAGGACCCACACAAGACAGGACAATTTTTTTTTGAAATCGTCCACGTAGACATTACGACGTGGAGATCTAACCACGTGTAAGGACTCAGACCGGATGTTCGTCACACTGACGTGGACGGTCAGGATCAGTTGTTACTTCGTTTTGTCCACGCTTTTATATGGTAACTAAAAGTGGGCCTTAGTTTTGTCCAAATAAGCAATTAGCCCAATAATTACGTAGGCCCAATTTCGAAGCAATCTTACGTAAGCATTTCCATCTCTCGATCGCCGACGACGATTTTTTTGGTTGGTCGTCTTCGGGATCAACCGCCGAAGTCGCCGGGATCGTATCAAGGAGCACCTAGAATCTGTCACCTCCTGCGATAATCTTATTCCGGGTAAGTCGATTCGATTTCGCGCGTGTTCCATTTTCTGATTTGATGTAATCCTATTTTTCTGTTCCTTTGGGGAGAACACAAGTTGCAGAGATTGCTTCAGAAGACGAAGCTGTTACTTTTACTGTTTAATCAATTGATTCTTCGTTCTGGATTACTTCTTGTTATAGGAGGCATCGCTCTTAGGATGCTTGAGTCACGCGATAGAGAATGCTATTTGCTCTCCTGTGTCATCGTCTTCATATTTGCTGTGCCTTGTTACAGCCACGAGAGCCTGTTAGTGTTCCCAAAATCTTCAATTATTTATTGGTATAATAGAGAATGATGTTATCAAGTGATTTTTACTTAGGTTTGATGGAAAAACTTTATATGCTGGGAAGGAACTATTTAAGGAGACACTGCCATTGCAATCTGGATCTCGAGTTTACAAATTAGAGGGGCTTAAATCCAATTCTTGGTATGAAGTCAAGATATCGTACCCAGCTTCTGTATGTCTAAAATTGTTCTCTTTGTTCTTGCTTTTGGAAACTTTTGCTTCCAAGTTTTTTTTGTGCTTGTTGAAAATCTGATCTTTTGTTTCGATAACAGATTCCGGCTCTATTCTCGCTGCAATTGCTGAGGAACGGTGAAATGGGTTTGAAGCTAAACCAGATGAGGAGATTACTAAACACTGAGAAATTGATCTTCAAATCCGAAAGTCTTGAAGAAGTTAATAACAAGGTAGGTATTTGCAATCAGTTTCTACAACATAAGAAATAAGCTTCCTTGAGTCCTTTTTCTAAAAAAAAAACCTGATTTTAGGACGGATTGTATGTTATGGTGACGGTGGAACCTGAAGGAATTGTGGCGATACCAAATTTCAAAGAGAGGTCGTTTATCATTTACAACATAGGCAAGCTTTTTCTTACTTAGTATCTCATCAGTCTTCTTCGTTTCACAGCATAAAACTTGTTAGTGAGTAAAGTGCTTCCTTTAAAGTCTGAAACTCTCATGGTAACAGTTTGTGAAGAACAGCTCTTAGGGATCGCTTACTCATGCTGGTCAGTGGTGGTTTTAGTAGTATTGTGTCTCGTGGTCGCGCTGATTCTTCCTCGGTACTTTCTACCTTCTTATCTTCTAATGAAAGATGAAGATCGTGACCGTTAAAGGTCCCCTGCCAAGTTGATATCATGAGGAAGCATATGGTGAATACCCAGATGTTTTTTTTTCTTCTCTCTCTCTCACATCTCTGTTTTGTTACTCTGCTAGCTTCTTGATGTTTGTTCATCTAATTCGGTTTTGGATTCAGTTGTAGTAGAAAAGATTGGATATGAGTTAGGTATATTGGATACTGTATTTATGTTTCCTGGAAAATTTGACATTTTGGATAGTTAGGCCCTGTTTTCTGTATCTGGATGCTACATCTGGTTGCAAAATGTCCAAATGTTGTTCTTTTTTTCACAAAAAAATTTACGTTCAGATGCAGCATCTGGATCGATGCAAAGTAATTAACATTTCAAAAATCTGGATATTTTAGATGCTGAGAAATAGAGAGTTTACACTGCATCTAGTTTATGTTAAAAACATTAATGATTTTACTAAAATAAAAATCTTGATTTCTACAAACATCACAAATTTCGATTTCTACAAACATTACAAAATTTCGATTTTCCACTAAGACGAAAAATTTTGACTTTTTGCCAAAAAACGAAAAAAATTTGATTTCCCGCCAAAACGTTAATTCTCGGTTTCTCGCCAAAAACGCAAAATCTTGATTTTCCGCCAAAAACGAAAAACTTTCGATTTCCTGTTGAAACACAAAATCTCGATTTCCTGTCCAAAAACACAAAATCTCGATTTCCAGCCAAAAACGAAAAATTTAGGTTTCTCGCCAAAAACGCAAAACTTTGATTTTCCGCCAAAATAATAACTCTAGATTTCTCGCCAAAAACGCAAAATCTTGATTTCTTGCCAAAAAAAAAAATCTCGGTTTCCCGTCAAAAACGAAAAATCCCTGCTTCTCGCCAAAAACGCAAAATCTTGATTTCTCGCCAAAAACGGAAAAATCTCGGTTTCTCGCAAAAACGCAAAATCTCGATTTAAAATCTCGATTTAAAATCTCGATTTTCCACCAAAACAAAAAACTCTTGGTTTCCCGCCAAAAACGCAAAATCTCGATTTCCCGCCAAAAACACAAAATTTTGATTTTCCACCAAAAACAAAAAATCTAGGTTTCTCGCCAAAAACGCAGAATCTCGATTTCCCGCTAAAAACGAAAATTATCGGTTTTTCACCAAAAACGCAAAATTTCGATTTCTCGACAACAACAAAAAATCTCGGTTTCTCGCCGAAAACAAAAACTCTCGGTTTCTCGCCGAAAACGTAAAATCTCAATTTCACGCCAAAAACACAATATCTTGTTTTTCCATCAAAAACTCAAAATTTCAGTAAAAGTTTTTCCCGTCAAATATACAAAATTATGTTTTTCACAAAAAATGCAAAAAAAATTATGTATATCTAAAACTTAATTTGATAAATATATCATTTATTAAAAAATAATATTTAAAAATATGTCTTTTTTAATCATTTGATATATTTTGCATCCAACTATTTTTTTAAATTTAGAAACGAACAATTTAGTATCTAGACGTAGCATCTTGATGCAAAACCTAGTTTCCAAAACAAAAAATATCTAGATGTTGTATCGAGATGCTGCATCTAGATTAACATCTAGATAAAAAAACGAACAGGGATTAAACCTGTGGGTTTTTGAGTAATTTCTGATAATTCTGTTTCTAGAACTTGGCAAAAAATTACCAGAAACTTGATCTATTAGACAATATGTTTATATGTCTCACGAGACTCTTACGACAACTAGATGCCAACACAGCCATCAAAGGATTTAAATTTTTTCAAGGCTACACTATTAAGAATTTAAGATAACATCTATTAAAAATCAGGACATATGTAGAACATAGTAGAATCTTTGGCTGGCCTGGCATGTTATAGATTCGCATCGGATGCCATATTGCCATGACTTTAGGAACAGTTGGAATTCAAGTAATTAAGGGTAACTGGAATTTACTCTAACAAATGCATATGTGAATACGATGCTTATTTCTTGATTTACAATTTCTTGTCAAAAAATATTTCCGTAAAGTCTTGGTTTAGTTTGATTAAACCAGATTAAGTACCGTCATCATTGCGTTAGGATAGAAAAACAAAAAAATAGGCATGCGCCATGCCATTCAAATTTTGTTATATTTTTTCAGACAAGGGGTTGTGGGCCTACGTTATAACATGAGATCCATAAACCTTATGCAAACTGGTTTGGGGGGGTGAAGCTTGATCCACACCATTCAGAACTTATAAATTGGGGAGACGAAATTCATCCACCGTTGATTGCTTTGAGTATTTATCTTTTCACTTCATACGAAATTCTCTCGCATTTTCTTATAGAAAATTTTATATTTTCCTGCACTAAATTCTAATACAGAGAGCTTATTTTTCCGGCATATGATTATCTTATTATATATATATTATATGTAAATACAAACTCAAATCTATTTTTATTTTAAAGGCACATTTTTTTTTCTAGTAAAAGACACATTATTATTGCCCAGGAAATGTCCTTTTAACTTTTATGGTTTTATCGTATATATTTAGTAGGTTGATGCTCTCATAAAGCTTATCCATTTGAATTTCTATCCAACAGTCCCCAAAAATTCGAAAGTAAAACATGCTATTATCGGTGAAAAAATGAAAAAATCAGACCGATATATCCACTTTACACATACATTTCACAATTTGCTTTAACCGATAAATTCACGAGGTAGAAGACACATAATATAATAATTAAGCGTTAATTACATAAATTAGAAGATTTAAGCGGGACCCATTCTTATGAGAGCGAAGAAGAACACTCTCTCTCGAACAATTCATGAATCATAAAAACGCATCATCGTCGTCGTCATCACCAACTTCTTCATCATCATCAATGTAAATTCCCCAAAACAAACCTTTTTTTTTCCCTTTTCCTTTCTATCTAACCTAGTCACACTGATTCGTCCCTCTTTCCCTCTGCCCACTATTTCTTATTTTCATTTACCCCGACGCTTGATTCGAATTCGTCTGCGAATCGTCTCTCTCGTTTCTCTTTTTTTTTTGTTCTCTTCACCATTTTCTTCGCAATCTCGAATTTAGAGACCCTTAAGACCCATCCTTCTACCTAACGGCACCGACTGTCTGTTCTCCCTGGCCCATCCTTCAAAGTTTTAAACCCCTTTTCCCCTAACTTTTTTTCTGTTTTTTTTTTTCCCGGGAAAATTTTATCTCTTTTTTTTTTCTCTGTCATGATCATTTACTTGTTAGTATGATCCTTTATTAGGTTTCGTTGGGGCCGATCTCGCTTTTTCCTTTTTCTCTCCCTCTTCTCCTCGAAGACCCGAGTGAACCCTAGAATCTCCACTTTCAATTCGATTGGTTCTGTATCTTCATCTTTACTCTCCATGTCTAGGGTTTACTGGGTCAAGTTTTAGTATCACTTAGAATTGGTCTTTCTCTATGACTCTATACTTCCTCTTTCTTTCAATTTCTTCCTCGTGAAAAAAAAGTTCCCCGTCTCTGGCTCTAATCATGGCGTATCATTCGATTCCGGGCTCTGGGTTTCATTACTCCAATTCTCCTTTTGGTGATACGACCTTTACCAAGGTCTTTGTGGGTGGCCTTGCTTGGGAGACTCAAAGCGAGGCTCTTCATCGGCATTTCGAACCGTATGGTGAAATCCTTGAGGCGGTCGTTATTACCGATAAGAACACTGGTCGATCCAAAGGTTACGGCTTTGTGAGTTTCCTATCTTTTGCTGATGTTATTCATGCTTTTCTTTTCGCCTCTATATCTGAAGTTGGTTTATTGCTGCTTGTAAATGAACAATATCCTCTGCTTATATGGTATACTTAGAGATTATTGGGTTCTAAATTTCGCTTAAGAGTTGTACTTACAGTGTGACAGTTTTGGTGATACCATCTTAGGGGCTCGCAGATACATAATGATTCTTGTTAGGCTTAGGATCTTAGCTCCCTGGATAAACAAAACAACAAAATTGAAAATGCTGGTTTTGCTTAAACTTCTCTGGTTATCTTCGCCACTTGTGTATTCTAAGCAAATACGTCTCTTTCATTTGTTTTTACTTATTATATATCGGGTAGTTTATTTTCACGATTCTTGAATGACTCAGCGCTCTGTTATTGATTTTTATGGAGGATTCAGGTGACTTTCCGAGATCCAGAGGCTGCTAGGAGAGCCTGTGTCGACCCAACGCCTATAATAGATGGCAGACGTGCGAATTGTAATCTCGCTTCTCTTGGGAGACCTCGGCTTCCAATGCAATATGCAGTGATACCCAATATTCCTGGTCAGTCTTGCTTCAATATTCATCTATTCCTTTCTCTCGCATTACTTGATGAGACCTTCACATGTTGGTCAAATATTCAAATTTGGTGGATCACTACTGCGTAACCTTGTAATTTATTCCGTTTTTTATTTGGGTGGTTAGGACGGATAAGACCTGCTTCGCCATATGTTGGAAGTGTGCAGGGTCCTCGCGGTCCACTATTTGGAAGCCATCCGTATCAGCAACCACCTGCTTATGGCTACCAGCAAGGAGTGATGTACCCTTACGGGTGAGTGATGCAAATTGAAGTTTACATAATCGCGTTGCTATTGTAAATCATCTGTTTTGACATGCTGTGAAGAGCTAATCAGTTGAGAGGTCTACCTGCTAGTCCATTTTACAAAGGGGGAACGTTTTCTGTCACTTTGATCAAGTGGCATTTACCAATCACAGCATGGACAATCACTTAGAGACTCTAAAAAGCTAGGGGTTGATAGTTAGCTTCTGCCACGTAGGGTTCTTGAGTGTAGCACTGGGATGTGACATGTCGTGATTGGTAATGTTGCAGGGCTACAAAAATAATTGCAGAGGATATATGGCCGAGCTCAATTTGTTTTTGTCAGGCAAGGTCATGAAATGTTTTCGGACTTTGACAAGGCCAAAGTGGATCTAAATTTTAGGACTGGACTTTTTAGGCTCCTTTCTTCTAGTTTAATATCTTCTTTTTTTTATAAAAATGTATGTTAGCAATTTCTGTATAATTGCTGCTCTTGTTCTTTACATTCTCTTAGAAGTGTCTAATTTAAACTATACTCATATGTCTTTAATAATAGTTGTTCTTTTTGGTGATCTCTCAGGGTTACACCTTATGGACCTGAATATATGTACTCACAGTCTCAGGTAGGTGTCTCAGAATGTTGCAGTTCTTTTTTGGTTTCTTTGTACATTAAAAACTTTTGTGATTTTTGTTATAAATTTTTGTTCATGGTGTTGTAGGGATTATATGGTCCTTACATGGGTCAACAATACCTTCAGGTATATGGAGTACCTGGGGCACTTAACTCACCCGGCTATCAATTCGGGCAATTGAGTCAGACTATTCCCGGTGGTCACGGTTATACACCGGTTCAGGGTTATTCGGTTCCAGGAAGTCATGTTCTGCAGCTTGGTGGGCACAGTGCCACTTCACCTATGCCTGCTATTCAATCTCCATACCCTTCGGCTTCAGCTCCAATGCAGCCACGTATCATTGTGCAGACTCCTCAGTATATGCAGAGTAGCGGTTCTGATCAAACAACAGGGTGAAAATTTTATCAATGTAAGTAATTTCTTGGATCATTTGTTCTGGGGTTAATGTTAGATTGGAGATGACACACAGTTACATCACCTCAATGTTATTCATTGGGTTTTCAGGTAATAATCCTTGAGGACTGCAGAAAAGGGAAAGACGTTAAAGGACAGCGGAAATGCTACTCTGAGTAGTGGCAAGCTTCCTGTTTAAGCTTTGCGCATTATTTTTTTTTGCATTCTAGAGGTAAAGCTTGTTACTTATAAATGCCCTTTTAGTTTCATGACTTGCAAATATTTTCGATCTCATCAAATTGCCGCTGTTACAGGTCATAAGTAGTCTTGCTCACTGAAGAAGTAAAAAAGGGTTGTTCTTGGGAAAGCGGATTTTAAGGCAAAGGGCAATGGAAGTTACAGGGTTTGTGCTTCTGTTATCTTAGCGCCTCTCATCATGTGTATAGCCACTACAAGCTCGCTGGCTGAAACTATATATTCTTAATGGTTTTACCCGGAAACAGGGGTTTTTGCGGTAAATCGTTAGGAATAAGTTTGGTGTACAAAGAAAGTGCATGTATATAAAACAACACATACAGATGCATATAGAATGGTGGAATCAAAATATGATTCTTTTGGTAGTTTTAGTAGTCTTCTTACTAAACACTTTCTTAAGGCATAGGAGTGGTTGTAAGAAAATTGTTAGGTAGCTTTTTATGTCCTCTTGAGTCAAGTCTTCTGCATTGTAAGCAAAAAATAATCTCTATTGACACTTAGCTTCTTCTCTGTCCATATATCTTAGTTCCATGGTTCGTTTCCATGTCTGTACAGTTTCTAGACCGGTAAATTGTTCTTCAGAATCTTTCTTAGTTATTTCTTTCTATGACTCCCATCTTCTGCAGAAATTTCCTTTGTTTTCAACTCGATTGTTTTTATTAGAAGCCATTCGTCTACTACTTGTTTAGTTGATATGAATTAACATATCATCATCATATAAAGTTTTGTTATACTTGCTTTTTATTTTTTTCCATTTTTCATGAGAAGCCATTTGTTTGAGGCGATTTTTGTTGTGTCAACTGTCAAGGTTTTCACATTTCCTCCTTTCACCCATCAAATATTTTTTTTAGTCAAGATATAACACAAAATTGAATCGATCGTAACGGACGGGTTTAGACTATAGAACATTATGTCAATAAGGAAATACTATTTAATGGTCAAATATCGAGGTGATGGCAAAGTAATGATGTTTGGTTAATCTGCATAAAACAATGAATCAAAAATTTGTAGAACCATCGCGGTAATGTTTTTTGTTCCCATTATCATACCACTTCCACTTTTTTCTTTTTTTTTTTTTTCAACAACTTCTTTATTGCTTATTCCTTTTCCACCGGCAGATTTTAGGAAACATCAAAAATTGACCTTCGTTTACTAACAATTTTGGAATTTGGAGCAAAATTTCTGTTAGAAAAATCCCTAACATGGCTATAATTATCTCTATTATCTTAAATTAGAATTATTTAGTTTTGAAAAATATTATGTATGTATTCCTCAAAAATATTTAGTTGTATCATAGATTTCATGAAAATAAATTAGTTATTTAGTTTTTAAAATAGAGTAACTAAATTTATTCCTTTTTTTGTCGGCAAAATTTATTCCTATTTAAAATAGTATTTTCATATATATATTTTTTTTTTGTCGTCCAAAGTTTTAATTAAAAGAGATATTTACGCTTAAAAACACTTTTTACAACTAATATTTCACTCAAAGGCACTTCTTGCTATTATGTGACTTTTTTATTTTTCATTCCGAAATTGTCCTTCGTGTTCACGATAATGGTGGATATGAACTGGTGGATACCGAATTAAACCCAGATTTTAAAAACATTAATTATTTTTCCCTTTTTGTTTTGTTTCGTATTTTTCTGTATTGTGAAAGATTTAAAATACTTTTTTTTGTTAGAATAAATTCTAATTTTATTTTGTCATTGTTTTAAGATCCATTATGCTATACTTTATTTATCAAACAAGAAACTTTTCAAATAACCTTTATAAAAAATTTTTAAAAAATCAGAAATCTACTTAGATATCCATTCACAAAATACGATGTGGATGATGCATGATGAACATATAACATGGACACGGTTGCGTGGATATATTTTTATTGATATATTCGACGTGGATATACATTTTATATTGTCCATAACATGGACAGATTATGGATAGATTATGGATAATATAAAATATATATATATACCGAATATATCAATGAAAACATATCCATGTAATCATGTCCACATTGTGGACAATGTAAAATGTATATATCCACGTCGAATATTTGAATGAAAACATATCCACGCAATCATGTCCATGTTATATGTCCATAATGTATCATCCACATCGTATTTTGTGAATGAATATCTAAGTAGATTTCTGATTTTGTTTTTAATTTTTTATAAAGGTTAATTGAAAATTTTCTTGTTTGATAAATAAAGTATAGCATAATGGGTCTTAAAACAAAGACAAAATAAAATTAGAATTCACTAATAAAAAAAATTGTTTTATATATTTACAATACAGAAAAATACAATACAAAACAGAAAAGGAAAAATAATTACTGTTTTTAAAATCTGGGTTTAATTCGGTATCCACGAGTTTACATCCACCGTTTTCGTGAACACGGGGGGCAATTTCGGATTATTTTGGTGTGAACAGTGTTTAAAGTACAGAAAAAGTCATCTAATAGCTGAAAGTGTCTTTTTGTAAGAATAAGTTGTGAAAGTGCCTTTCAGTGTAAATCACTCTAATTAAAAACCATCAATGGGCTAAGTACAGTACAACATCGGGCCCAAAGAGCCCACTACAAGCATAAGCGATAAGATCAAACAAAGAAAGGCCACATGTTTTGCTACATGGGCATCGTAGAGAAGAAGTAGCGTTTCACCTTTTACGTCAAATATCGACGTTCTTCACCGCCGGTCACCGGAATATGCAGAAATTTCAATCGCCGCCATGAAAATCTTACTCCTACCAGCCTTCAGATGTACTGATTAAACTCCTTCCACAGAGACAGAGAAATGGTTTAAAATCTTCTCGCCTCCGATAAATTACCTCTGATCGGCTCTAACTCATGACCCATCACCCTTTGCCTCTATTAAGGCAATTCATTAGGGTATTTATGGAGATACAACTCCCAGCCAGGAGAGGTCGATACCGATTTGCGAAGTAGAGGATTCCACCATCATCACCACCACATATAAGAGGAGGAATAACCTGTGGAAGAAGAACAACTCCGAAAAACGAAAACATTAAGCTTTTTTAAATTAAAACCAATAATTCTTCAATATTAGAGAGCCTTCGCTAGCGAAGATTAATACTCTAAAAGAAGGAAGTTTCCTTCGAAATTTGAAGAATCAGTTAAAGATTGCCAAAGAAAATTCGAAAAACGGAGAGAAAAAATCCGGTCAAGCCGGAAAACTAAAATCCGTCAAGCGGAACTATTATTAATCCGACGATAATATAGAATAGGTCGGAATTATTAAAGATCCGATATTAATCGAAACAAAAGTGGAGAAAAAGCTCTCTCTTCGTGAAAGATAAAGATGAGAGAACGAAAAGAGAGAAAAAAACTCCGATGTAAACGTACTTTTTTATTTAATTTAATTCCATATATTTAATAATTTATTAAATTGCTTTCACTAATAAACTTTGTAATGAGATCCTAATTGTAAATAGGGTAATATGTGTAATCATTTTGAGAATGAGACAAGAACAATATTTTGGGTTTTAAAAAAAGGGAAAAAAGCTTAAAAAACCCTCAAGTATTTAATATTTGCCAGTTTACTACACGACCTTTTTGCGTTGCCATAAAAATACATGACTTAATTTCCTGGTCCTAATAAAAACACGACATGTTTGTTGATTCCATTTTACCTCCCCCGATTTAACAGACCTAAACGGGATTAACGTTGTCGTTAAACTGCGTTAATAATCCGTCACACGTGCTTATTAATTGACTGGAAATTACGTTTTTATCCTCACAGAAGTCTTCAAAATCGATTTGGGATATTTCCACTGTTGCCCTAACAAAATTCCCAAATCGATTTGGGAAAACAGCAAACCCTAAAAAAAAAAAATCCTCAGTCGATTTTGGCATCGAGCGTGTGGAAGATGCTTTTGGGTATCTGAATCAAAGTGAAAACAGTTCATCTCATGTTATAGAAGACAGTTCAGAGTAATTCGAGAAGATGAGGTTTGTTTTCTAAAATCCGAATTCGAATTTTGTTGGGGAGTTGATATTGGGGTCAAATTCGAATAGGAATTCGATATTTCCTGGGGAAATCGAGCTGGGGTTTGATAATAAGTTGTTACTACGATGAAATGGTGAAGATAGTTTCGATTTTTTCTGTGTTGAAATGGGTTTGACTGTTAACATTTTTTATCTTCGTGCAGCGACACTTTCAAAGTCGATATACATTATAGAGGACAAGTTTCTATCAAGGACGACCTGTTCAGCTACAATGGAGGTTTAGTGGAGAGAGGCATGGTCCTGGATCCTGATTACGTAACTTGGTCGATTTTTGATGAATTCTGCGAAGAAAATGGAGCTTCTGGGGTTGTTGAAAAAGTGTGGTACAAGCTAAGGCACGAAGATATAGGTGCAGCAAGAATGATTTATGCCGACAAGGATGCTCAGATTAGGCAGATGTGTAGTGAAGCTATGACTACAAGTGAGGTTGATGTGTACATTCTTCAAGGAGCAACTGAAGAAGCTAAAGAGAACGAGTCTGATAGTGAAGATTCTGATGGTGGTGATAAACCAGATGAACTCGCTGATAAGGGTGAAGATCCGATAGAAGAAAGAGCTGGTGATCCTAGAGTACAGTCTTTTTTTCAGGAAGTCCTCAATGTTGAAACTGGTTCAGGAACTGGTGCTGATAACGAAAGTGGAACAGACGTCAATCCTGCTGGTATTCAAAGCAATAATGGGGAAGCTGTGGAAGGTGATGAAGCATATGAGCTTGAATTTGAGAGGCAATGCGTGGATCCTGAGCATCCTAAACCTGCATTAGATAGTGATGAAGAATGGGAAGCTTTCCACCGTGAGGAGACGTTTATATCCAGGAAGACATATTCCAAAGATAAGCCTCCGTACCTGTGGTTAAAGCAAACATTTAAAAGCGGAGAAGAGTTCAAAGATCAGGTTTTGAGGTATGTGTTGAAAACCAACTATGATGTCATTTTGGATCGATGGGAGAATCATAAGCTTGCAGCTGTTTGCACGAGAGAGGATTGTGATTGGAGAATTTACTGCTCATATGAAAAGCGTACGCATAACTGGATGGTGAAGACTTATTTTGGTAAGCATAGTCACACAAAGAATTCAAAAGCAAGGATGCTGAAACAAGGTGTTGTAGGAAGATTATTCAAAGATGAAGCTCGAAGACGTCCTGGGTTGAAATGGAATGATATTAAGGATGAGATAATGATGCGGTATAGTCTTTCAGTATCGAAATGGATATGCCAGAAAGCTCGAAGAATTGCTTTGAATTTTGTGATAGAAACTCAGCAGGAACAGTTTGCAAAGCTTTAGGATTATGAGAAAGAACTCCAGCGGTCGAATGAGAGAATACATACAGAGATTGTTACCATTCCTCAGCATGATGGTAAACAAAGGTTTGATAAGTTCTATATCTGTTTTCAGCCACTTAAGGAGACCTGGAAAAAGTGTTGTCGGCCTATTATTGGTCTCGATGGAGCCTTTTTAAAATGGGAGTTGAAAGGTGAAATATTGGCAGCTGTTGGAAGGGATGCGGATAATAGAATTTATCCCATAGCATGGGCTATAGTTAGAGTGGAGGATACCGAAGCTTGGGGATGGTTTGTTGATAAGTTGAAGTTTGATCTGGATTTAGGATTAGGCAATAGGTTTACAATCATTTCTGACAAGCAAAAAGGGCTGATTAATGCTGTGGCAGATGTGCTACCTAATGCAGAGCATCGACACTGTGCAAGACATATATTTGCAAACTGGAAGAAGGTATACGGTCAGTACGAGTATGAAGCTTTTTTTTGGGCCATCGCTTTCAGTGGTTGTGAGGGAGATTACCGTTATAACATGAGTGCTTTGGAGAAGTATGATCCAATAGCACATGAGGACTTGAAGAAAACAGAACCAACAACTTGGTGTAGAGCTTTCTTCCGTAGTGATGCTGCTTGTGAGGATGTTTGCAACAACTTGTCTGAGTCCTTCAATAGGACAATAAAAGATTCAAGAAAGATGCCAGTCATTGACATGCTGGAGGACATTAGGAGGCAGGCCATGAAGCGTATAACACGGAGGTTGGAGAAGACAAAAAAGTGTAAGACTAAGTTCTCACCATATGCTATGGAGATTTTTGAGGCAAACCGAAAGCTAAGTACGCTATGCTCGGTGATAAAAAGCGGTGAGAAATTGTATGAGGTTGTTGAGGGCCGCGGGAGCTTCACCGTCAATCTGTTGTACCGGCATTGTGCTTGTAACCAGTGGAACATCACAGGCATACCTTGTCCTCATGCAATCTATGTGTTAACTGAAAATAACCGTGATCCAGAGGAGTAAGTATCTTTCAAGCTCGTTTTCCTTTTGTTGATTTCATTCCCTTTTTTTTAAACTAAATCTCTTCTATGGTGCTGCAGCTATGTGGATAAATATTTCTTGACAACAACATGGATAGCAAACTATGCAGACAACATTGCACCGGTAAATGGAGAGAGGTTGTGGGAGAAGACAGGCAAAGAAGCTATCCAGATACCAGAAAAAAGGAAATCAAGAGGGCGTCCAAAAAAGTATGCGAGGATTAAAGAACCACATGAATCATCATCTCAGCCAAATAAACTCACTAGAGATGGACGAACGGTGACATGTTCGAATTGTCAGAGAACTGGTCATAATAAAAGTACTTGTACCTCAGGAGGTGTCCAAATATGTCCTAAACGAAAGAGAGGGAGACCTAGAAAGGCTGAGGTAAATTTCTAATTAAGCTTGTTGCTTTAGTATGTTGCTTGATTGATTTCGATTGTTGGTTTGAGTTTATTGCTTGGTTGATTTTGACTGTTGGTTTGAGTTTGTTGCTTGTTTGATTATGTTTGTTGGTTTAAGTATGTTGCTTGGTTGATTTTGTTGCAGAATGATGATCCATGGAGCATACAAAATGCACCTAAAAGGTACATGGCAGCTCAAAGCCAGTCCACGCCACCTGTTTCTGCAAGCCAGTCGACCCCAAATGATCCACCTGCTTCTGCTCCACCTGAACGTCCAGCTGGTCGAGCTCGTGGTCGACCTCGTGGCAGTCGTGGCAGAGGTCGTGGCAGGGGTGCTGGCAGAGGTCGCGGATCCGAGCCTCCTGCTCCTAGACCACCTATATGTTTCATGTCTCCCTGGACTAACCAGGTCTTCGACGTTTGGCGACCTAAAAACCCCTAGGAGCATTCTGAATTCTTATGTCAACTTTGATGGATTGCTGGATTGCTGTTTTGGTTTAATATAACTTATCGGATGTCTTTTGGTTGACTTTATTTTCATGTAATCATCTTTAGGGATGTATTGTCAACTTTGATGGATTGTTGTTTTCTTCGGATATTTGTGTTGACTCTCTTTGGAATGTAACCCTATTTGAACTAGTTTTTGGTACTCTCCACCTTGTTTGTTTGTTATTTTGGTTAAACTTGCTAAACTTGGCTGATTAACAAAGAGAAAATTGATGATAATCAATACTCTGCCTCAAATCGATTTTGAAGACTTCTGTGAGGATAAAAACGTAATTTCCAGTCAATTAATAAGCATGTGTGACGAATTATTAACGCAGTTTAACGACAACGTTAATCCCGTTTAGGTCTATTAAATCGGGGGAGGTAAAATGGAATCAACAAACATGTCGTGATTTTATTAGGACCAGAAAATTAAGTCATGTATTTTTATGGCAACGCAAAAATATTATATAGTAAACTAGCAAATATTAAATACTTGAGGGTTTTTTAAGCTTTTTTGGTTTAATATAATTTATCGGATGTCTTTTGGTTAACTTTATTTTCATGTAATCATCTTTAGGGATGTATTGTCAACTTTGATGGATTGCTGTTTTCTTCGCATATTTGTGTTGACCAAAAAATATCACATAAGACACGTGGTGACAAGTGAAGCCTCCAGCTGCGGTTATTTCCGGGTCCCAGGTAGCCACGTGTAACGAGCAAAGAAGCCATCCTCTTTGCATTTTGCCCCTACCCAAATATTTATCGTCTCCTCTTGCAGAGCAGAATCTCTTCTTCTCCCTAAGTAACCCAATCACTGCAAAACAACAAGGTATAATCCATTACTGATAAAATTTTCTTTTCGGATTTCTTCTCGTTTTCTCCATGAATGTTGTGATGATTCAATTTCAATGCTGCTTAATTTCTGAAATCGATGGACTTGTAAGGTTTAAGTTGCAAAATCCCTAGTTATCTGTGAGTATTGTGGGCAAATGTGGGATCGATTCTTGCAATAGATAGTAGGTATAGTTTCTTCTTCAAGCGTAACGGCCTTTTGATCGAATATGTTTTCTCCTTAGCGATGATATTACAAAACATGATAGAGATTGTTGAAAAGAGGTAAAACATAGGGACCCAGATGGTGGAACATAGAATGCTAGAGAACTAAATTTGGCAACTTTGAGACTCTCAGTTTATACCCTGTAGCTACAGTTTTTGGTATGTCCTTATGCTTCCCATATGTGACATTGTGCCCACATTCATTTGTAATGCAGGTTCGTTTATAGTCATTTTTTGGAATCCAAGAAAGCAAAAGGTAACATGAGTCTGTGTAGCTACGGATTGTTATCGAACGATCAGTATTTCTTGCTTAATTTCGTCATGAGCAATTATTTGGGTCCTGATGTGTTTTCTGATGAGCCAAGATGTTCAGCATTTCAGAGATTAGCCAGAGGTCTGCCTCCTTACACATTGAAGCAGATGGGATCTTCCTCTCTAACTGTTGCGCAGCTACAGAACTTGTACTATTATGTACTGAGAAACGCCAAGTCCACTCTAGTTCTTCATCCAGACATGATTTATAAGTATCTGAAGGGATCTCTACCGTTGAAACCAATCGGAAAGTTTCATCAGTTCACATCTTTTTTCCCGACGAATCTTCACCCACAGAAAAGCTATTCCCCGAGCCACGAGGTTGTGAAGGGCATCGTTGTTATCGATGATCCTGCAGTGGAGTTCATTAGCAAGGAAGATTTCCAAAGATTCAGATGCTTGTCGAGTTTGAACGACCTGAAAATCGACAGGGTCGTGTCTTTATCTCATCGACCTGTGCAGCTGGATGAAAGCCGGGGAACCGAGCAGGACTGTTCAAGAAATGGGGAAGTGACACCCAATGGACTTGTCACTAAGCAAGACTTCAATTCATATGGAGAGATTCGAGAAACATTCAAAGGAAAGAAAGAGGATGAACCAGCTTGTGTAAGCTTGGGAAAGAAGCAGGAGTGTTCAAGAAACAAGGAAGCGACATCCAATGGTATTGTCTCTGACCAAAAGTGCAATTCACCTCGAGAAACATGCAAGCGAAAGAAAGATGAAGAAGAAGCAGTTGCTGTTCATGCTGCTTGTGAAATCAGTAAAACCCCAGAACGATTTCGGGAGGTGTACAGGAGAAAACGGCTCAAGAACTCATCAACGAAAGCAACAAACAAAATTGGAGCTCTTATGGAAAGAAACAAAACAGATAAACCCACCAAATGTGATGAAGAACCGGCGGTTGTAATCACGGGAACAGCCAGTAAAGGAGCTTCAGGACCATCTATTGGTGCTGTGGACATTGGTGTCAACGAAGTTGCTTACTTTTTTCAGGTTGCTTTGCCCGGTGTCAGCCAAGATAACGGTATTATATTCATGTTTTGCTACCCATCTAACTATTTCCAGATGCCTCCTCGGTTCTAAGTGATGAACACATGAATTGGTTTGGTCTTTTTTTGTTTGCAGGTGAATTCAGCTGTGAGATTGAATCAGATGGAAAGGTGATACTGGAGGGATCGACAACGACAGGAGTGAAAACAGTCAATAGGTTTTCTCGGGTTTTCGAGATGAAAGTCAAGAAGCTGTGTCCACCTGGACCATTCAAGCTATGCTTTAGCCTCCCAGGTCCTGTTGATCCACGGCTAGTCTCTCCCATCTTCCGATCAGACGGTATCTTCGAGGCTGTCATCATCAGGAAAAAAAACTCTTAACTAAACCAGAGGTCCCTTCAAGTAAACACTAGGATCTCTGTAAATCTTTTGATGTTAATGGATATAGAAGCTAGGCCCTAATCAAACCGCATGCACGGGCAGATCTCTCACTTTTTGGACATGACTCGGTCGTTTTTTGCGTATTATGCTAACTTGTTTGTAATGTTGATTCTCAGAACTAATGTTGTTACTAGTTACTTCTTCATCAGTGAACTAAACCGAAACTAAACGGATTAATAGAAAGCCCGGTTTAACCTGCTGGACATTTTCAAACAAAAGAATGTTGTGCCCATCGTGACAACATAAATAAATAGTGACCAAGTCTTCCTCGGAGTCAAATCATCATAAAAGCATATTCCATGCTCATAGAGATTTGTTGTTATAAATTTTACTTTTTATTGTGCCTACTAAAATCACAAAACTTGGATAAAACAAACCAAAAGGAAAAGTTGGAAAAAGAAAGAAAAAGCTCTGGATTCGGAGTCGCAGATCAAGAAAAAGACGATGCCAATAAAGGTATTGTCGTCGCTGGACGCAGCTCGGATACAATGGTACCATTTCAAAGCGATAATAGTCGCAGGAATGGGTTTATTCACCGACGCTTACGATCTCTTCTGCATCGCACCGGTCATGAAAATGATTAGCCATGTCTATTACCACGGAGACTCCATCAACACAGCCGTCCTCTCTACCTCTTTCGCCATAGCTCTGCTCGGCACAGCAACGGGTCAACTCGTCTTCGGTTATCTCGGTGACCGAGTCGGCCGTCGCCGAGTCTACGGTCTTTGCCTGATCATCATGATCCTAAGCTCCTTTGGCTGTGGCTTTTCTGTATGCACGACTCGTCGGTCTTGCGTTATGGTTAGCCTCGGTTTCTTTCGGTTTATTCTCGGTTTGGGTATCGGTGGTGATTACCCGCTCTCGGCTACCATTATGTCCGAGTTCGCGAACAAGAGGACACGTGGCGCGTTTATAGCGGCCGTGTTCTCGATGCAAGGGTTTGGGATTCTTGTGAGCTCCGCCGTGACGATGGCTGTTTGCGTGGCGTTTAAAAGAGGTGGCGGCGGCGGTTTGGAGGAGGAGGATGTTCCGGCGGAAGCTGACGTGGCGTGGAGGCTTATACTTATGATCGGTGCTCTTCCCGCTGCTTTGACGTTTTACTGGCGAATGTTGATGCCTGAAACCGCAAGGTCCGTCCAAAGACTTTCTCATCTTTTTTTAAAACTATCACTAATATATTTTCATAATGTATCCAATCACAAATCAGAGAGGACGTGATGCAAAACGTTCTTATCTCACTATTTAGTGGCTATACTTGTCCCACATATAATAAAATCTTGGAAGCTTAACTATTTGCTGATATCGTTCTGTAGACTTAGTATTACACTATTTTTTTTTTCCTTTATAAGTTTTATTGATGTTTTGATGAGTGAAGGAACGCATTTTTCAGTTGTCACCATACATACATGAAAGAACCCAATTTTTTTTTTTGTAAATGTGAACATTTCTCTACATAAGTACATTGTAAGTTATTAACTAATTTTCCTCTAGTAACTGACTATTCTTTTGATATCCAACTGTGCCGATCACACCCACACATATATCTAATATTAGCTAGATTCCTTAAACAAAATTAATATAATTTGTATATTTTAATAGCTAGGTTTTATAAGATATTTAGATATCAATTATTTAGAGCGTTACAAATTAGTGGTTCGTTTCATGAGAGTCAGTTGACTTTGTGAGAGATACTCCGGATAGATACCAAACACTGTGGTATATACCTTATCATCCAACTTATCCTTACGTATTCAACATTTAGCCATTACAAGTCTCCACCAATCATAACAAAAAAAAAGTCTTCACCAATCATACATTCACTTATTTGTTTATCTTTATTTTTATATTCTTTCTTCAAATATTTATATCTAGCTCAGGTATCAGCTCCAGCTAATCTACTCATATTTTTTTTCTTTCATTAGAACTAATTTAAATTATCCCCACACGTACTCTAGCTACTTCAATTCTTCCAACAGTCTATTGCATTCATTAGAGAAAAATTAGAAAAAGTCAATATAACATTTAATACTCCATTTTGTAAAATGGTATACAAAAACGGCACTTATATTAATTAAAAGTAGTACTGATGCATGCAGATACACAGCACTTGTGGAAAACAACATCGTCCAAGCAGCAAAAGACATGGAAAGAGTCATGTCGATATCTCATATCTCCGAAGAAACCACGACGGAGCCACCACCTCCTCCACTGCCACCTTCCTACAAACTCTTCTCCCGTCGCTTCCTCCGCCTCCACGGCCGCGACCTCTTTGCCGCCTCCGTTAATTGGTTCCTAGTAGACGTCGTCTTCTACACAAGCAACCTCCTCCTCTCCCAAATTTTCAGTCACTACTCCGATAAACCTTCTTCCTCCACCACCGAAAACGTCTACGACGCAGCCTTTGAGGTGGCGGAATTAGGAGCCATTATCGCCGCTTGCTCCACCATTCCAGGTTACTGGTTCACAGTTTACTTCATCGACAAGGTAGGTCGTGTCAAAATCCAAATTATGGGATTTTTCTTCATGGCCATTGTTTATTTAGTCGCTGGGATTCCGTACACTTGGTATTGGTCAAAGCATGAGCAGACTAATAAAGGCTTTATGGTTCTCTACGGTTTGGTTTTCTTCTTTTGTAACTTTGGTCCCAACACTACAACTTTTATCATTCCCGCGGAGCTTTTTCCGGCTAGGTTTAGGTCGACTTGCCATGGCATATCCGGCGCCGCCGGTAAGCTTGGAGCTATTGTGGGCACTGTTGGGTTCTTGTGGGCTACGAAGAAAGTGGACAGCAATGATACAGACCAGGTTTATCCCAAAGTGAACCGTATGAGAGTTGCTTTCTTGATTCTTGGTGGCGTTTGCATCGCCGGAATCTTTGTGACGTATTTCTTCACGAGGGAAACCATGGGAAGATCGTTGGAGGAAAATGAGCATGAACAAGATAACAATGATGAGAGTGAAGATGAGCCACAGATTGTTGACGGGTAATCCTCCCCGAGCACTTTGCTTCAGACACAATGATGATAAGTTCAAGTTCAAACAACGGAGACCACATTATTGCTTATTGATCTGTTAACTCTTTAATATTTTTGTCTTTGAGGTTCCTTTTTTTTTTTTTAACAATTGCTTCTTACCCAAGAAATTTCTTGATAGGTGCTTACTCTGTTTACTTTAATTCTAGCTGTTCAGTGTAGTTTTCATTTTTTTTCTTAAATCATCATTTTATACTCAGCTCCTTAAGCTCTGGCTTCATTCTTAGAAATTTCTTATTGCTCATAGTTGTTACATCAAGTTCTATTCAAATAATCAAAAGCGAAAACAATTGAGATTAGAAATTCATGATAACATTCATATCGATATGAAGATAATGATCAAATTTCAGATAAGAGAGAATGATCTCATCACTTAGTTTTGGTAGGGAAAGAAGCCATCTTGTTGATACCACAAAGACCCTCTGGTTTCCCAGTGTTCCTCTTCATCCTGATGTAACCTTTCTCTCCCCATGTTGGTCCCCAAGAATTCTTCACAATGATGTAATCTGAACCCTTGCTTGATCCGTAACCAACCGCAGCCACACCGTGGTCTAGCTCGTCTCCGCACCTCCCATCAAACACGCCCTTCATATACCAAAAACACAATGATTCAAACATCAAGAAGATTGATCAATCATTTTCTTGCTTCATAGGTTTAAATAATATATATGTACTTACGCCGCTGTAGAACTGGAACTCTCTACCAGAGGCATCAATGGCGACACTGAGAGGCTGATGGGCCAATGCCTTCAAGAGACTCTTCTCGTCGTTCTTAGGTACATCTTGGTGTCCATTGATAGTCACCATTTCAGATTCATCCTGTATAAAAAACAGAGAGTATTAGTGTGATTACTATTATGTTTTCTTTTATTCTTGTTTTTTTTTTTTCAGTTACGCATAAACCTTTTGCGTCTCGCAAGTTCCTTCTTCCATGGCGTAAGGATAATCCTCTTCCTTGCGAAGACCTCCATTCTTGACAATGTACTCAAAAGCATAGTCCATGAGACCACCGTTGCAGCCATTGTTGTAGGTTGTGTCACAGTCTATGAGTTCTTGTTCAGACAATGTTGTCATGTTTCCTGTCACAATCTTGTTTATACCTTCCACTGCAGCTACTGTGGAAAACGCCCAGCAACTTCCTGCGAACCAATTGAAGAACGAAAAATTTAATGAAAAAATCGAGACTTTAACACATCAGAGTCCAAGATTTGAGATTACCACAAGAGCCCTGGTTCTTGACATAGCTCACGGCTCCTTTCTTTCTCCAGTCAACAGATTTAGGCAAAGCTTCAACGTCCTTATAAGCGAATTCTTCGTAAGATCTTTCATCATTGCGTCTCGCTATATCAGTCTTGAGCCCCAAATACTTATTCTTGAATTCTTCGTGGCTCAAATCCGCGAACTCGTTGAGACCAAGCCAGTAGCTTTTCACTTTCTTGTTAGTTTCATCGATGTGCTTCAGATTGTCCTTGAAAACTTCGAATCTAAGCAACTTCTCTTCAACGGTTTCGTACGCTTTCTCGAAATTGGAGATCCAGTTCTCGAAGAGTTCGATGAGTTTGTCATGAGACTCCAAATCCTCGGGTGAATATCCGAAAATGGAGTAATCGTGGGAAGCAGCAAAAGAGAGGGAGAGAGATGCAGAGGATAAGACAAGAACAAAACAGAGGATTCTTGTAGGCGAAGAGACAGCCATTTGGGTAATTCTCAAATTGTACTTTTTTTTGTTAGTTGATAGAGTAATTGGAAGAGAAGGGTTTGTTTATATAAGCCGAAGATTTTGATAGACGTTGATCTTTTTTCTTTAGAGTAAAGTTGTCTGAATCTGAATCTTGTATAAAGTCTGTGTCTTTAAGCTTAGTTTTCTTTCTTCCCTGGGGTTACTTTGACGCCAAGTAATAAACATATGTTTGATGAGTAAGTTCTCTGCGGCATCAGAACCCTCTGTTTCAGCCAGAAGTCCAATCATCCAAGAGAGGCCCCCGGAATGATATATGTCATACTCATCATCAAGCCCATACTCATTTAGAGGAGGTGAATTTTGAAAATCAGCTTCCACAAGGTTATATGGATTGTACATTTGTACTAACTCAGTATCTCAGCATTAAAAAAATAAAAATAATGAAAAGAGGAAAGAAAAAGCCATTTCTTATTTAAGAAGTTTTAGATACTAAGTAGCATCGTCGTGTCATCACAGAGTTCAAGTCTATGTAATGTGTTGTTTACAAAACAAAACAAATAGATAATTCTTTCTCAATCTATTCACACCTATTAATAAATTAGATTATATAAAAACACAAACATGCAACTATCTTTTATACAATATCAAATGATAAAATGCAACCTTAATAATAAGGAAGCCCAAAAAGTCCCCCCAATAAGACAACTATGTAGTTTAACTGATGATATGTTTTGATCAACGCTAATGCAACTTTAGTCTAGAAATCACCAAATCCTAATCCATTAAAGGTTTTAGTAGCAATAGGTAAATTATGGATCTTGCGGCCCTTAAATTACTAACCCTCTTTCGTAATGCAAAATTATTCTGAAGCTATAGCTTTCCGGGTTTATTCATCAGCGTCTGGTTGCCGTTTATGCAAAAACGACCGTTTATGAGAGTGGTTCAAGTAGGAAAAAAATTTTAGTGCAATTTGTTTAGTAGGCTTCAATTTTTGTCAAACCATATATGTATAATGGTGGGAACGAGTATATGTTAAACTTTAATCGATGTTATAAACTTTCTAATTTGTTTTTACCATAATTCTTAAACAGGCTAATCTAAAAAAATTACGAAAACATGAGATTACAGTGTAAGTGTTTTTCTTTTGTCTTTTTATAATATATTGTTCTGTAAAGAACAAAGTTTGACCTGTCAATCCACCAAGATATCTGATAACAAAGTTAGGAGGATCAGATCTTCATACTTACAGCTTATTTATCTTTTGATGAGTGATGACCACCAACCACTATGAAGTAAAAGTTCAATGGAAAACTCACTGGTTCTATCTTTACAGGACATCTACTTGTGTTAATTAAATCAATAGTTGCCTAGTTGGTATTTCGTTTGTAGAGATAAAATCAACAAAATATATGAAAATGAAAAAGAAAAAAAAAACATATCATAAGATCCGTTTGAGGTGGAGACACGTGGTCGGAGATGCTCGAATGATTTGGGAGCACGAACTCTACCAAGAATTGAAGAAAAAGACCGTTGTCTAATTTTCTTAGGTCATGTATCTATTAGAGTATCTATAACTTCAGACTTAATAAATATAGAAAGTGGAACGTTGGATATTATTTCTCAAATTGCCTGGCGCAAAGAGAACAAAAAATTCATTAACTCGTAGCATAAATAAAAAAATATACATATATTCTTTCACTGTTGAATTTTGTTGAGATTTATCATGATGTATCTTGTTGTCGACTAAATATTTCATTTTTGATTATTCCTTATACATTAAATACAAGTAGAGGAGAAGTAATTGGTAGGGCATAAAAAGGTACGTGAGGAAGTGACAAAGCACTAATATTATAAAATCACATGCCCTCTCATTGACGCCATGTTCGTCTCCCAATGCACTTACCCTTTTTTTTTACTAGTAGTTTTATAGGAGTATGTGATTGTTTAGTAATCTTTGTCTTTTTTTTTTTTTCCAAAATTCCAACTCTTTTTTTTTTCTCCGCAAATTTGCCGTACGTCCAACGGTTGTGTGTGTGTGTGTGTTATATGTCTAAAGTATGAGCTATTACACTTAAGCCACATGATCACTTGTGAATTCCTGTAAACTGAATCATGATTTGCACGAATTGTAAGCTCCCCACCAATGTACGACTCAAAGTTGAAATATATATCTTTGATTTGGTGTTTTTATTACGTATTGATTTGTTATCTAGACTATGCTCGGTTTTCGTATATATATATATGATATATCTGGAAGTCTGGCCAGTTTGTAAGTCTACATATAGTTATAAACTATTTTGAAGATTTAAATGACTAATTTGACTAAAGAATATTAATGAATGAAAGATTATGGGAAAAAGACCAGTGAGCACGTTATTAACTTGCAACATCGGTTGGGATGTTGATTTATAACGTGGATCCTCTGTATTTGCATGTTCCATTTTGATCCGGTCCTGATTTATTCAAACGTTTTCACCTTCATTGCTGTTTCTTTTTGTCCTCTTCTGCTATTTGGATTTCATAAAATATTACTTAACTTCTTTAGATTTTAACTCGTGATATAGAAAGGAAAAAAAAGAGATTCCGATTACTGATTGTCAATCTTTAAAGTGCTCTAACTATTGTTTCTACTGGAATAAATAAAATAGCAATGAACTTATCGATTTATTCGTCACCAACATGTAAATATGAAATGTATGGATTTGGATTCATATAGCGGAAAACTGACGATAATAATTATAACAAACCGATATGCTACATGTGTTGGTAAATACTATAGTTAAAAGATAACAAATTAATATTGAGACAACAAAATTAATATTTATAACTTTTTGGGGGTTGTAATATGAAATATATTCAATAATATATTTTGTACCTTTGAAAAATATATTTACAAGCTATAATAAAATTTATATTTTTGTAATAAGTGATTGTGCTTAGTAAAATGTTGTTAGTAATGTGTATGAATTTAGAAATTAGTAAGCAAATAAAATGACCAAAATTTTAAGTTATTGGTTTTAGATTTTTAAAAAGAAAAATTGATTTATTAATAATGTTTGTTGAAATACACCATAAATAAGGAGTTAAGAAGAATATAAAACCAAAAGTAATTGGGTAATCAAGACTCAACAATTATGGTTTGTTACTTACTTATGAGAGGACACGTGAAGCTAGGATGAAAACATTTCTGTAAAACTAGCTTAGTCAATGAATCTCTAAAGTCAATAGAGTAAAGCCATGGACTTGCCAAGTTAGTAGAGTACAATTGTTGCAAAACTAAAAGAGCTAACGAGCATGTCAAGTTATAGTGTAACTTTTCAAAAAATAACGTAGTCAATAGATCTGCCAAACCAGAGGAATACAATCTCTATACAAAATATCAAAATTAATGGTATTTTGCAAGTAAGGAGAGACCATTTTTACGAATAAAACATACAAATTGACTAGAATTTATATTTTCCTTATTGACCACAGCTATTTCTAGTCAGGAAGATGCACAATAATAATTCATTCCAATCACATAAAAAAATATCATTTGAAACTTTTAAATTTGGATTTGGATAACTGGATTTGAAGATTATTGTTTTGAATATCTGTTACAAATATGTTCCAAAAGTGTTTGTAAAGAATTATTTGAATTGTCAATAAGATATTTTTTAATATTTATTAATTTATAATATTATTTTAATTATGTTTAGTTATTTTTGAAAAATCCAAATAATAATTTTTTCTATATCTGACTGATCTGGATCCGTATATTTTGAAAATTTTAAATATCTAATTCATTCCCGCTCTAATTGTAGTTTCAAAACTAATTGTACCGTTTTAAATTAATTATACTTTTAATATTGCTAATTTTTATCATTTTAACGGATAATATTTTTTTTTTTAGTGATATTATTTTTTAATCTTTTTTGGTTTTGAGTTTATAACTTTTGTTAATAATAACAAGTCATTAAATCTAATTTATGTTTTAACTTGTCCACATTCGAGTTTGATTTATTTATTTTTGTCGATATCTGATTTATTTATTTTGTCGACATACAGATCTGATCAAAACTAAATGTGCTTTACTAAGTTTTTATATATCCATTATGATTATATTTAAATCTAAATTTCAAAATTAATCTTTACAATATCATTAATAATAATCTTTTTGTCAACATAATTGATAGTACTCGTATACATATCACATCATTTAATACATTTCAAATATTTTGTACTAATTTAAAACAATTTAGTCAATTATAAAATCTAGCAATCTACTTTTTAGATATATAATTTTTAACAGTTTTTTCCATGCAAAATATAAATAATTTTTTCATTTCCCGTAATATTTGAAAAGAAAACGTCCACAAAAAAGTTCAGCCTTTACACGAAAGTGACAGACGACCGGACCACTCTAAAGATAGATTTGGGAATGTAACTTTCAATCATATAAAATAAACTTATCTTGACGAAAAACGAACGAACGGACCCCCTAAATCATATATTACCCATATCTACTCATAAATGAGTCATGACAATGATTTTTATTTGCATTCAGATATTGTTTTCCCCAGAAATTTGATGTTATAAAGATGTCTAGATCTTAAGATATGTCTTTAGTCAATTTTTTTATCCTTAATGACTTTCTATATAAAACATTACAACCCTCGAAAACATTAGAATCCTCGTAAATCGCTCTCCACCAAAGATTTTTAGCCGTCAGAAGAACTGATGTAAATGCAATTTTTTTTTCTTTTTTTTTCTACTTTCCCGAGAAAATAAGTTATCCCGGCGGTGAGAATTTTCTCGGCAGATTCTCGAGCATATTTCTCTCTTGGGAACTTGCTCCAAATCTCCTTAAAATAAAAAGACCAAAACATCTTTTGCAGCAATAATGTGTTTTCGACTTCATTTGTAGCAATAATTTTTAAAAAACCGTTTCTTGTCCTTATTGTAGATTCCATCACCGGAGCCTGTTTGTAATAAAATTTATATCTCTAAACTTGGCAAAGATCAAGCGAGTCCAAATCAATCATCCCTATTTCAACGCCTCCTTTTCTTTCTTGATTTATAAATCGGAGACGGAAAGGCAAATAATAAAAGAGCTCCATTTCTCGTAATTGCCGGAGAATTGTACTTTGAGAAGAAAAAGAAAAGGTGAGACCTTTTTTCCTAGAAAGTGAAGCAATCTTTTGGGTTTTATCTCTTTGCTTTCACATAAGCTTCCTTACTGAGGAATGTGGATACTAAAAAGCAATTCTTTTCCTTCTTAGGTTTCTGCATTTTTCACTTCTATTCATCAACTTTATGTTTAGGATTTTTTTTCTTTAATCTAATGGAGGAAATTTCTTCTGGGTTTATCAAAGTTATCATTTTGATTGGGATTTAGATCTGGATTGTTTTCAAAGGTCTAAAAGTTTTTTTTTTTTTTTGGAATGGTTGACTAAAACTTTGATGAAATGAAGAATCACTGAGTCGAGCTGATTTGAATTTTGGTGGTGTTTAGGGTTGGTTGAACAATGAAGGGAGCGACTCTCGTTGCTCTCGCCGCCACAATCGGTAATTTCTTGCAAGGATGGGACAATGCCACCATTGCTGGTTTGTATTTTCTTTCTCACTCTTTTGCTGGAATAGAACTTTGTTTTTTGGATCAGATCAGATCAATTTATCATTTTGAGATTTTGTAAAAAAAATGTTGCAATGTTGTTAAAAACTGAATTGATTGCAGGAGCTATGGTTTATATCAACAAAGACATGAATCTGCCAACCTCTGTTCAAGGTCTCGTGGTAGCCATGTCACTGATCGGTGCCACGGTCATCACCACTTGCTCAGGACCGATCTCTGATTGGCTCGGGAGACGCCCGATGCTGATTTTATCATCGATAATGTATTTCCTCAGCGGTTTGATAATGCTGTGGTCACCAAATGTCTATGTTCTGTGCTTAGCTAGGCTTCTTGATGGGTTTGGTGCTGGACTCGCTGTCACGCTTGTCCCTGTTTACATCTCTGAGACCGCTCCTCCTGAGATCAGAGGACAGCTCAACACTCTTCCTCAGTTTCTTGGTTCCGGTGGAATGTTTTTGTCTTACTGTATGGTTTTCGCTATGTCACTGAGCGATGCGCCTAGCTGGAGAGGGATGCTCGGTGTCCTCTCTATCCCTTCTCTCGTTTATTTGTTTTTCACGGTGTTTTATTTGCCTGAGTCTCCTCGTTGGCTGGTTAGTAAAGGAAGAATGGACGAGGCTAAGCGCGTTCTTCAACAGTTATGTGGCAGAGAAGATGTTACAGATGAGATGGCTTTGCTTGTTGAAGGTCTAGAAATCGGAGGAGAGAAAACATTAGAGGATCTCTTCGTAGCTTTGGAGGATCATGAAGCAGAAGATACGCTTGAAACCGTTGATGAGGACGGACAAATGCGGCTTTACGGTACACACGAGAACCAATCTTACATTGCTCGACCTGTCCCTGAACAACAGAGTTCACTAGCCCTACGCTCTCGCCACGGAAGCTTAGCAAACCAAAGTAGCATGATCCTCAAAGACCCGCTTGTGGATCTCTTCGGCAGTCTCCACGGGGAAATGCATGAACCAGCAGCAAACACGAGGAGTGGAGTTTTCCCTCATTTCGGAAGCATGTTCAGCACTAATGGTGATGCCCCACCACATGGTAAACCAGCTCATTGGGAAAAAGACGTTGAGAGCAACTACAACAAAGACCATGATGACTACGCTACTGATGATGGTGCAGCAGATGATGACTCGGATAACGATCTTCACAGCCCGTTGATGTCTCGCCAGACCACGAGCATGGACAAGGACATGATCCCGAATCCTACAAGAGGAAGCGCGCTTAGCATGAGACGGCACAGCACGCTTATGCAAGGCAACGGCGAGAGCAGCATGGGGATTGGTGGTGGTTGGCATATGGGATATAGATATGACAACGGTGAATACAAAAGGTATTACCTTAGAGAAGACGGTACAGAATCTCGACGTGGCTCGATCATTTCTCTTCCTGGTGGTCCTGATGGAGGAGGCAGCTACATTCACGCTTCTGCCCTTGTGAGCAAATCCGTTCTTGGTCCTAAATCGATCCATGGATCCGCCATGATTCCCTCGGAGAAAACCGCTCCGGCTGGACCACTCTGGTCTGCCCTTCTTGAACCTGGTGTCAAGCGTGCGTTGGTTGTTGGTGTAGGAATACAGATACTACAGCAGGTTAATGAATCTTTTTTGATTGTTTCACACACTAATATAGAGTTCTTGATCGTTTTTAACATTTGTTAAACCTTCTATGCAGTTTTCGGGTATCAATGGAGTTCTCTACTACACTCCTCAGATTCTTGAACGTGCTGGCGTAGACATTCTTCTTTCAAGCTTCGGATTAAGTACCATCTCTGCGTCATTCCTCATCAGCGGTTTAACAAGTTTACTCATGCTTCCAGCCATTGTTGTTGCCATGAGACTCATGGATGTCTCCGGAAGAAGGTCATTAATAAGCTCTTTTACTCAATTCCTTGGTTTTCTCATGATCTTCTTGTTTCTGAAACCATCTTTTTATCTTTTTCTTTTGCAGAGCATTACTTCTCTGGACAATCCCAGTTCTTATCATCTCACTCATCGTCCTCGTCTTTAGCGAGCTCGTCCACATCAGCAAAGTCATAAACGCAGCGCTCTCCACTGCCTGTGTTGTGCTCTACTTCTGTTTCTTCGTGATGGGTTACGGTCCGATTCCAAACATCCTCTGTTCTGAAATCTTCCCAACAAGAGTCCGTGGTCTCTGCATTGCCATTTGCGCTATGGTTTTCTGGATCGGAGACATTATTGTCACTTACTCACTTCCCGTGCTCCTCAGCTCCATCGGACTCGTTGGTGTTTTCAGCATTTACGCCGCCGTTTGCGTTATCTCGTGGATCTTTGTTTACTTGAAAGTCCCCGAGACGAAAGGCATGCCTTTGGAGGTTATCACAGACTACTTTGCCTTTGGAGCTCAAGCTTCTGCTCCTTCCAAGGATACATAAGTTGTATAACCTTGACTCTTCTTCATTTGCTCTGTGTACTTAAAGATTCTCTTCATCCCCTTTTTTTATTCTTGTTTTTTGTTTCTGAGATAACTTCATTTCGTTTTTGTTTCTTTATCTTTTTTTTTTTTTCCTTTGTTTGTTATCAAAATCAGTCTAATAATTACTCATTTTCTATCTTCTTCAACACTTTCCAGATATATTTGGTGGAAAGCATCTAACTAATACCGATACTTTCGAAGAATTGCGATTCAAGCTCTTTCGATGGAAAAGCAAATTAAAGAAAAAAACATAGAATTAGGGTTTTTGAAGGTTTAATACAAAAAATATCTCCAGTTACTTGGAACGCAAGTGTAATTCTCAAGGCTATATTTACAATTAACTTAGCGCGCCTCAGGACTTGTGCGTCTCCTCAGAGGATGAATTGCCAGTATGATTCTCCTGAGAATTCTTCTGGATATTCTCGTCTTCGAGCTTGGTTGAGAACTTGTATGGCCTCTGAAAATCTCTGGCATTTTGACTGTCAATTGCCAGATTATTTAATTTCTCCTCCTGTAAAGAAACAACCCAACAATCATTATTCCTCGGAACTTGTCGACTACCTACTAAAGACAAGAGAAAAAGAAGAGCTTACATTTTGTAAAGCTTCAAGCTTTTTCTGCATAGCTTCATGCTCAGCTCGAATCCGGAAAGGAACACCTTGCTTTTGGTAGACATTGTTCTGGGCAAGGTCTTGATCGATATCACTAACCGTGGTTGCAAACGGATGATTGGCCGGGATCCATCTGACTGTATCGGGATCAACATCAGGCGGTATTGAGTCTCCTTCTTTCAGGAAAACCGTTGGTCTCTTCCATTGGTAAGCTCTTGACCTTCTTCTCTGATGAATAGTTTGTTCTTTCTCTGTAAGTGTGACTGGAGCTAGCCTATAAACTTTCCCGCACATCTCTACCGTCGAGCTTCCTTTACCAACTTTGACAAACGGGTTGTTGAACGGGTCCTCGTAATTAAGAGCCTTTGAGCTGATACAAAAATAAAATAAAAATACGACGAAAAGTTAGACCAAAAGTAGCACACATCCACCTACACGAACCATATAAATGTTTGAGTAATGACACTAACTTGATAGTTTTGGCTTTTAGACTATGAATTATAAACAAAGATATAAGAGTGTTTTGAGTTTCATACATGCCTCTTATATGCATGAGATTTAAAGCTTTAGAGAAGTTAGACCAAAAGTAACACACATCGACCTACATGTCTCCACTTATGTGTTTAATTAATGACACCAATTTGTAAGTTTTGGTTACTCAGAATTAATAACAAAGATAAAAGAGTGAGTGAGTTTCATACATGCCTCTTCTATCACCAGATCTCAGCTGGCCACGTCTCACAAGATCAGCAACAGAGCCAGCAGGACGGTTATCGCTCGACTTTCTTATTACATAAGCCCGGATAGCAGCGACCAAAACAGTAGCTGCGATGCAGATCCCGATCCAAATGCTGTTCCCTGAGCACTTTTTCATCTGAAGAGAGAAGATTTCGAAACACCCAAATCAAAATCCAAATCCATGTGCAGTACCAATCAAATCAACAGAAGAATCACCACAAGGTTTATCTAAATCTGCCATTTCCCCTTGAAACCTCACAATCATAAACCAGTGCTTAAGGAAACTAGGAAAGAAACAGGATCTCGTAATACTGACTTATCATTGTTATCAGCAACCCACCCAGCAAAGTCAGGAAAAATTGAAAATTTAGGCAGCATCAACAAATTGAATATCATAAGTAAAGAGAAATCCAGCAAACTCAAGAAATGAGAGAGAATCATACCACGAAGATGACAGGAGGAAGTGTGGTAATCATACTCCGGAATCTCAAAACTGAATCCTCGGAATCACGGGCGACCTTGGTAACCATACTCCGGAATCTCGAAATTGAAGTTTCGGAGTCACAGGAAGTGTTACTCGGAGTCGTAGCAACAACATCATCATCCTGACTATTCTGAATTTCTTCATCTGGAGTCGAGGAATCACCAATCGACTTGCACACGAACCTTTTGCTGGTTTCCACTTGAACCCAGCTCAGATTTACGGCTCTCCTTTTAAACACAACCAAATTTGAAGGAATCCGGAGCTTGTCTCTTCCAATCGACGACTAGGGTACCAACGATAACGGCAACAACACAACAAAAAACGCGAGATTCAATATTTCAATCACCGGAAGAAAAAAGAGGATTAGAGGAGAACGCAGTATCAGTAAGTGTGATTGGACAAGAAATGGATCGATTTTACCTGGAGATTGCAAAGACAATGGAATTGGAGAGAATCAATGGTGGATGCCATTTCATGCTGAGGGAAGACCAACACACACACACACCAGGCACTCTTAACAATATATTCGACCTGTATATTATGATTTATATAGTTATAATGTACAAACCTTGACGTGGGGATCCGTGGCGCAATGGTAGCGCGTCTGACTCCAGATCAGAAGGTTGCGTGTTCGATTCACGTCGGGTTCAAACTCCCGAAAATTTCGGAAGTCCCCAACTTTTTTTTAATTAATCTTTTAGACGTAAACAGCACGAAGAAGAGTGCAAATACACAGAAACGGCAACATGTCGTGGCCGTTAAAAGAATTCGCCACTTCGAGGTTGGGCCGTTAAGAGAATCCAACAAAGACCCAAATATATTCCTTTGTCAAAATATGCTGACACTTCAAATTCTCAGTGATGCTTTTTTCTTCACCACTATCAATATTCCCAAAAAGTTTTTTTATGACCATTTAAGGGATCAATTAAACTGTATATTTAAAAGGCGAAATCATCGAACCACCCACTCAAAATGGAACTTTCTAGTTGTGCAGAAAGGTCGACAGTGAGTACACAAACTACAGAGTTAGTTGGATTCTTTACCTTTGCTATTTTGGAGTTATTTTTATTTTATTTGTCTGTTTATATTCATATATATATATATATACACACACACGTTTTCAAATTGCGTTTACATGCAAAAAAAAAAAAAGAATTCGATAAAGCAAAATAAATGTGTTGTTTTTGAACATACGCACTTAAACATGTTAACGTTAATATTGTGTTTGAAACAATTAACACTGTTTATGTTCAAACTGCGCATAGAAATCATATTGAGATCAAAATTTAGAGCATTTGAAGTATTTTTAAAGGGGTTCTCACAACAGAATATTAATATACAACTAGATTTTAACCCGTGCGTCCGCACGAGAATGTTTTATTTTTTATTTCTAATATAAATTGTATTATTTTTTTGTTTAGATATAATTTGTTTTTGTTATTTATTTTTTTAAATCAAAAAATTGTTATCATATTTTTATTTTAAACAGTAAAATTTGTATATTAGTAGAATAAGAGTATGCGTTAATTAAGTATACATTGATCTAATGTTAATTATAAACTTTTTTATTATGTGAATTTAGATTTACACATAAAAAATCTATATATCTATGAATTTGCTAATCCATCCGTTTAGTTGTCTTAAATCATTTTTAATATCTTACATGTTTTGACAAACTAACCCGTATAAGACTATAATTAATTGTATAACCCTATAAATATTTACTAATATAAAATATTTAGACCAATTGATTATGAAAAAATATAATAATATATTTATTTATTATTTGTGCTATTAAAAAAATGTATATATATATATATATAAACTGGCTAACCTGTTCGTTTAATTGTCTCAAATAATCTTAATATCTTACATGTTTTAATGAATTAACTCATGGACCTTATATATATATATATATAACTCTAATCAGCTCGATCATATTATTGTATAGTATAAATTTTTTTTTTGGTCGGATAATATAAATATTTATTAATCTCAAATATTTGATATTTTAACCCAATTGATTATGATAAAACACGATAAAATATTTATTTACTATGTATTTTTATAAAAATACTATTTAAATTTAAAATTTTAAATTAAATCTCTCTTGTATTTAAAAAATTTTAAAGTATTAAAATTATTATTTAAATTTTCGTAATGAAATTTAATTATAATTTTTTTTTGAATTTTTTGAATTTAAATTAAATTGAATGCAAATTTTTGTAACTAAATTTAATTAAATTTCTAATAATTTGAAATTTAAATTAAAGATGACATAAGGAAATCTAAAAATATTTAAATTAATAACTAATTTTCGGAAATTAAATATAAAAATAAAAAAAATTATAAAAAAAACTTTAAGAGTGTTTGGATGCAAGCACTAAATGTGCTTCTGTTTTAATAGAATAGATTAAAAATCACATATATTTATTTATTATTGGTTTATTTTTTCTATTTTAAAAGTAATTATATAATAAATGTTAATATTATATTAGTCAAGTATTTCACCAATGAAAATGGTCTTAGACCCTGCATAACTTTTTTTGCCAAATATCTAGACGTCTAAATCCATATATAAGCAATATGGTGTAAGAAACTAAGCATATAAGCTAGACATGAAATATTGTTTAATTAGCAGTATTTATTTCAGAACATCCATTTGAAAAAGAGGTATTAATTATTCACGTAACAAACAGAACAATCAGTAATGCACAAAATAGTGCAGAACATAAATATGGGAATCTCCAGCCTCATTGGTAAACTTCTTTACATCTCTCATCATTTTAGTCTGCGAATTTATAGTCGTTGAGCAAGACGTAAAGCATTATATTCCTCTTCGTTTTTTGGTTTCTAGTTCTCTTTGTTTGTCATACATATTATTTTTGCTGGGACTCTTTATCGCTGCAGCGGAGAGCTTGATCAAAACAATTAGAATACACTTAATCATGCCATTACTAACAAATAAATTATACTTTATAATGATATCTAATCCCCAACACCTCCACAAAAATTGCCTTATAAAAAAAAATTGTTTCTTTTACTGGGATGTATCTACTAGAGTTTTTGAGATAAATTATGATTTCAGTAAATATAGTTATTGCTAACCTGGTTTGCATAAATATTCAATATAATATATTTTCTCTAACAATCCACTATAAATTGAACTTTAGGTTAATAGTCGCAAGTTTTGGTGGTCTTCAGGTTGATGGTCATAGATTTTTGTTGAATTAAAAAGGAAATAAATTAAAATATAAATATGCATATAGTAATAATATGGTTAGCAGCACTAAGCACAAGGACGCACTTTCCATAGTGGGAATGCTTGTGATGGGACTATTATAATCCGATGACTTGGTGGACCATCCGCCGTATTTAAATCAACGGCTCCCCTAAGAAACGAATAAATAATACACATTCTAAATAACTAAATCACTCATTTGCTGACAAAAAACAAACTAAATATTATAAATCTAGAATTCCCATCTTAAAACATTAACTTAAACATTAAATTTATACGTGATATCGCCATCTATTTGTTAGGTCATAACTCAAAAGGTAGACAATACAAAAGGAAAGTCTTGCAGTCATCTTGACTCTTTCAGTTATATACTACTCACTATTTAATTTTAGTTATAAATATTTATTTTCGGATATTCCCACAGTCATTTTGACTAATTATAAATTATGATTACTATTTATACATATAATTAAGGAGAGGTGAAGTATCCGATGGTTGAGAATTTATGTAATGTATAATTTAAATTAATTTGATTTTTCTTTGGTTTGCATTTCCATTTTTAACGTTTTCTCTTTCAGAAGTCACTAACAATATTTAAAAATTCATTCGAATTTAGTGGATTATATATCTTGTGCTCCCAAAATTCTTCTATAAACCCGAAAACTGTAAAAAAAGGTTGAAGAAACACAATAATTATAAATGTTAAAAAAATTGGAAAGTGATAACTCAGCCAATACGTTTCATACCATTTGTAACACACACACTGGCCACATTTGCTTTCCCATTTATTAGGGAATATTCCATAGTTAGCTAGCAATTAAAAAATCAAGTAATCAACTGATCAAATAGTCTTTTGGTGCTTTTTTCTTAATAGAGAATTCAGTAGCATTCAAATCATTTAATAATGTTGCATTCAGAAATTATAAATTGAAAATCCATCACTCCAATTTTGTTTATATTAATGATTTTTGGTGAATATTTATATATTATCAACCAAGTTAAATAACAATAGTGGTTAAAGCGAGTGACAAATTGTTGGATAAAAGAATATCACTTGACTAGTTAACTTGAGTTTCCTAGAACAGGCTATCGATCGATAGTGTGACTAGTGAATGATAATTATCATTTTTGTGTGTAATATGAACTTATATTTCAAAATCTAGAATTTTAGAATTTCATTAGTTATGAATGATACTATGTTGTTTTATTTGGCAAATGTTTAAACCGTCTTATATCGCATAGGTCTCGATTAAGTGTATATATCATAAGTATCCGCTTAACGCCTAATAGTTTCTTGAAACTGAGTTTTCTTTTTCTTAACAATTGAAAATACTCGTCTCTTATCGTACGAATACTGATTACCAGTCAAATATTCAAACATATTATTTTTTTTAAAAAAAATATGAATCGAGTAGGTCCATTATTGTTCAGCAAATACACGAGTTTTTTTTTTCTGAACCTTTGCAAATACACGAGTTGATTTTGGTAAGGGTTCAATGCAAATCGTTAAATTTCCATTTCATACAACATTTACAAATTACAATAAATATGTACATTAAGAAGGATAAACATTATCCACTAAAAATGATCTGCATTAAAACATAGAGATATCTAAAAGGCGAAGGAAACAAATAATAATGGGAAAGTAAATTGAGGAAGAAAAAAAAGAAAAGAAATCAGGGCAAGAAGGAATTGGGATCATCTTCGCCTTGCTTGATTCGGATCTCGATTTCAGGTTCGGATTCAGGTCCGGAGCTAGAGCTACCGGGCAAACCGCCACACTTGTGACATCTGGCAACCACCAAGATCTGACGGCAAGAAGGGCAAGACGAGTGAGACCCGAGCCACGTGTCAATGCAAGACACGTGGAACCCGTGACCACACTGCGGTAAAACCCGAAGCTCATCGCCGGCGGAGAATTCCGTCAGACAGATCGCGCACTCGGAGAATTTCTCCGAAGACGGTGATTCCGGCGAGAAAGTCAGCTTCGGGAGAGACTGGAGTACTTTCTTCTTCAGCCCTTTGTTCGCCGCTGCGACCGTCGGTGGAGGAGATTGACCGGAAACGCCTTGAGAGCTCGGAGCAGTTCTGTTTCCGGCTGCGAGACGACGGAGCCAGACGCATCGAGAGACCGCGATAAGGCCGAGAACGCAAATCAAGGCGCAGAGGAGAGCAGCGAGGATGACAACGAGATCGGAATTCAAAGCGGCGGTGGAGGTATCAGTCGCCGGCAACGGAGAGTTGGATTCTCCGAGAAGACGGAAGAGAAGGCGAGCCATTTTCGAGCTTAGTAAAAGAGGAGTGAGAGAGAAAGAGAGAGTTATATTTGGTTTCGGTTGTTTGAGAAATTTGAAAAATGGAAGGATTGATTTGAGTCTGAGAGGTTTTTGGAGAGGCCAAGAGGAGCAGAGATTTATAGAGCAGAGTTCTCCTGGTCTCGCCTTAACAATATCCCTGTCGGTTAAGGATATTTTGGTAATTTTCCGACACGGTGTTTTATCTTTAAAATAATATTATTCTTTGATAGCTGATTATTACACTTGTTGCATTCTGTCAAAGACGAATAAGAAAAAAAAAGTTTATTTATTTATGCTTAACATTAATGTCTTTTTCACAATCTACTTATTACTATGGTCAATTGTTATCTTTTAAGATTTTTTGTTGAATTAAATTCAAAATTTATTAGTTTTAGAATTTATGATTGGTAAATTTTGTAGTGTTTGTGAAAATTGGTTTTAAGAATAAAAAAATGGGATTCTTTAGAAAGCAGAAAAACCAACCTAGACAACTTTTTTAAGAGATCGGAATAAATACTAAACAGTTTGACATATTATATCTTTAGATTGTGTTTTTTTTTTTTTTAAATCCCAAAAATGTTATATCTACGACTAAAATTATAGGTATGTGAGAAATGGTATGCGATGCGTGTGGTGTGACCATGTTTATTGTGTTGGCATTTCATATGTAAGTATGTAACAAATGTGGGCGTACGTGTTCTTGGAATATTGGAACAATAACCGAAAGATTCTTTGGTCAGTTTCGCAATAATTGCCTTTGACCCATAGACACACTCACATAATCACAGAAACGTAACAAACTTATTGTTGTTACGTTCGTAAAACAAATAAACATTAAACAATGGAATAACTTAGCTAATATCGCTATAAGAAAGAAAATTCAGCTAGTTTTTTCTTGTTATGACGGAATGTGGGATTTTTTTTTGGTTTCACATGGCCCATCCAAAGAGCAAAGGTAATTGTTCTCTTGACCAAGAAAAGGTAAAAAAATAATATTAAAGATCCATGGATGGTTGTAAATTGCAAAGGCTATGAAAAAATAAATAAACGAATAAGAAAGTTTAATAAAAAGGTAGAGTCTTAGTGAAGATCAAAGATGCCCTGGTAAAGAAAGAGCATTGCAATATGTTATTAGATGCTAATTTAACTCCAACCGTCCATAGTAAGATCCTACGATTTGCACTCAAAAAACTTTTGCATTTTTATTGGTTTATAATTTAATCAAGGTCTTAATATGTACTTTAAGTAGGTCAAACTACTTATTCGAGGTTTAAGTATTTGCCCAATTGATGATTTTGGCAGGAGAGAACTTAGTTAATGACGATTGCCCTTGTGAAGAAATAGTATGATTCTTAATTGTTGATGCTAGGTGATTTATATTCACAAACCACAAAAATATAGATATTTTGTTACTGAAACTACATCAGGTGCTTTTATAAAACAGCTTTTTATGTAGTTAATTTAGTTTATTGTAACCTGACGTTTTTTGTAAGCGATTTCTTACGCGTATCTACTAGCTTAGTATCCAGAGGAGAATAAAGTATGGAAGATTTTTTTTCGAGATACATTTCTTTGTAGGGCAAACACAGGAAAATGGGCCAAAACCAACCCAAACTAAATTTGATGTGCCAAAAAAAATCCGAACTAAAATACAGTATCAAAAACTATCTGAATTTCAAAATAATTTAAATTTCCTATTCGAATTTTAATATAAGTGTCAAAATCTACTTTGACTAACTTTGATGTTAGTCAACTGTTAAAAAACGCTGACGTGGCATGACAGAATATGACTTGGCATGACACGTTATTATCTTACCAAAACGACGTCGTTTTACTAAAACAAAAAATTTTAAAATTTTCCTCTTTCCTAGATTCGAACCCAAAACTCTCTATACCATATTCAAGTGCGCAGACCAGTTGAACCACGAGACATTATTACTACGTTTAACAAATACATTTATATATTATTAATACGCCTGTCTAAATTCGAAAAAAAATGATGTATTTAATTAGGAGTAAATTAAACTCCCAAAATCAAATAAGGGTTAGACAGTTTAAATTAGAAAAAAAACAAAACAACAACGTATTCAATTCCTATCTAAATTCGGAAAAAAAACAAAACAACGAAGTATTTAATTTCTTCTAAATTCGAAAAAAACAAAACAACGACGCATTTAATTCCTATCTAAATTCAAAAAAAAAACAAAACAACGATGTATTCAACTCGTCAAAGACGTGAAGCGAGCGGTTGGTGATGGCACGCGCTCGCATCAGTCATTTCATGGAGGCTCAGTTTTTTGGAATCTCTTGCCGTCGATTATTTGACGAGAGCGAGATCATCTCGGTCGCGGACGAAGACGAAGCAGATGGAAAGGGTTCCGGTGGTGCAGTTCGCATCAGGTGGAAACACGTTGTCGTTTTATTTATTTTTTTGGATTTAAACAGACGTATTAATAATATATAAATGTATCTGTAAAACATAACAATAATGTCTCGTGGTTCAACTGGTCTGCGCGTTTGGATATGGTATATAGTGTCTTGGGTTCGAATCTAGGAAAGAGGAAAATTTTTCAATTTTTTGTTTTAGTAAAACGTAAAGTTTGGATAGGAAATTTAAATTATTTTGGAATTCATATAATTTTTGGCACCATATTTTAGTTCGAATTTTTTTCGGCACATCAAATTTAGTTCGGGTTGGTTTTGGCCCTTTTCCTAGGCAAATACATTTCGCCACCAGAATGATACCACGTGCACACTAACTGGACGCACACTAACTGGGCGCACACTAACTGGACATGTGTCAGTCGAGCTAAGAAAATGAATTAGATCGTTTGCGCTTTGTGCAAACTGTAACTGCAATACAGCACTATTTTTACAATATTTCGACAATTCCGAATCCATCATCAGAATTAAACATTGATTCGTACAATCGAAGTTCAAACTCTAAATCCATATTGTACGATCAGAACTTCAAAAGTGTCAAGTATTTAACCACGAAAATCATTTATTTGTTACAAAAAAAAAAGAAAATAATTTCTATTAGTTTTACTTTTATGTATTACAATTTTTACTTTTTTTTTGTAACGGCATTTATCAATGATCACGGTGTATATCCGTATATTACAAATTATTGTGTGTTCATATATGGTTACTAGACCAGAAGCAAATAAAATAATGCCCAGGAGATCATTTTCATACTTAATATATGATAAAGAAAAATGTATATTATCTTTGTTGTCATCAAATAACCTAATTACGCATCTCATGGCCGTACAGACTACAGAGTCTCTAGTATCGGGATTTTAGTACATTATAAATGTGGGATGTTTTTCTCTAAATATGAATATGTATGTAGACATGTATAGTACGTTGTTCCAAGTTTTGTATAATTTGAGCTGACTTATGTTTTAGATAGACTATGAATAATAATAAATTATGTGGAGAATTGGTAACCAGACAGACTCGGCCGAATATATGGTCGTCCATGTTACTTGTCAATGGTCTTAAAAACTTTGTCCCAACGATGATGATACTTAACTAACTTCAAAACAACAGGTGTAAGACGCAACGGTTTGGTGAAGAAAGTGGAGAGACACTTGTCAGATGCTCTTTCAAAAAAAAGTTTTAATTTAGATATCATTTATATAGTTCTTAGTTGTTTTTCATTGTGTAAAACATTATGACTTTCTGTTTTTTTTTTATTTATTTTAATAATCTTGTTATAGAAGACAAACAAGGGAACAACCTTTCTTTCATTTACGCGAGGGTTATCTCAAAATCCATAGATTAAAAAACGAAGAGATGCTTTTGCGAAGTAATCGGTCGATACGTTTGCCGTTTTCAGAATAAAACAAAAGAAATTTATGAGAAATTAGGAGAGGGATTGGCGATGTCCTAATGAAAATCCACAGATCGCTGTCACTTGGAGACCCAAATTAATAGCTCCGGTTAGTTTATGTGAATTGGAGGCTGCGCAGATAATCTCAAACACAAAAGAAACATTTAAAATGCCCTAAAGTTTTCATTTTGTATAACAATACAATATACATTGAAACTTGAAAGTTACAACTTACAACTAATTATCTGATGACAAGTATTACTAATGAATAAGTATAAGGTTTAGTCTACAGAAACTAGCTAGTTACCGAAATATATAACTTTCCCATAAAAGACTTTTTCATTTTTGTTCTAATGTTAAGACCTTTTAAAAAGTTTTGAAAAAAGAAGGAATACTAATGCTTAAGATTATGCATGCTAAGGAGGTATAGGAGGAGGGAACGTGTGAAAATAGGACTTTCTAAATATAGTAAATCGATCATTTTTGTTAAAAATGAGTATTAATTTTCTGGTTGACTCTTTCTCTTCTCAGTGCACGCTCCACTTCCTGTTTTCTCACCGCCCACTTCTTCTTTCTCCACACATGGTCAATTTCTTTTTTACTCGTTAAATTTTAAAAGTTTGGATAATTAATAGGAAGATCACATCTAAACATGTCACTATACAAAAACCTTTTTTCAGACCATATATTAAATGATTATGGGCAAGTCTATAATCATCTCCCATTACTAGTGTATAGTCAAACCGAGGAGGAAACTTCATTCCTCCATTAATTAATCAATTGCGAGTTTGAAAATAATGCAGCTTCGAGGAAAACGCATTAAATTTGACCAAAATCAATCAATTGTGGGCACGAGATTCCTCTATGCCACATCTTCGGTTTAAGACAATGACTTTAGCATTTTCCCACGTTGTCTGAAGGCCAATCTAATACCTTCAACTTTTCAAAATGGCCTCGAGTATTTCATCAGAAAAGTCAAATTATTTATGTTAATGAATTATCTAAACATAAATTATAGTATAAACTATAAACAAGATACTTCCTCCGTTTCATGTAGAGTGTCATTTTGACATTTTTCATACAAATTAAGAAAATTTATAAAAATTCTATTCTATCCCTAATTAATATATTAAACAAAATTTTTCTCTCTAATTAATATTTTAAAACAATAAGGTTAAAATTGGATTAAAAAAAACTACATTGAAAACACAAAGTGATACTTTTTATCAAACAAAAATAAAATGTTAGAATGACATTTTTTATGAAACAAAGGGAGTAATAGACCATGTTGGGAGTTGGAAGTGGAACTTGGAACATAACCGTTGTTTAGGACTTAACATGCATAGATTTTTACGTGGTGTTTACTGTTTATTAAAAACCACCAAGAAAAACTAATCCAATAATATGTGAAATTTGTCAATGTTTATTCTATGTACTATTGATATTGGGAAACTATGGTTTTTGATTCTTTGGTCGTTGTGGTTGTTATGTTTTACACGATCTTTGATTGATGACCATCAGAAGCAAATCTTTAAAGATCGAAACCTTCTTTACCTTTGTGTGTGGGGACTCTGTTGTCGATTTGATACTGATGGTGATGTTCAAGGCTCATAATAGCCGCATCCCGATCTCGAAGTCAACCAAAACCGCGATGAAATTTCCGCATTATACCGATCTAGAGAACCGGATTTCTGATGTCGGTTTGTTAACTATAAAAGCGTCCTTAGATTTTTTGGTTAAGGTTGGATTCGGAGTGGTTTGGATTGGTCTTTGATTTGTACTTTCCGGTTAACTACAACTTTATCTCAAAGTAAAGATGATCGGTAAGTGAACCAAGTGGGTTTTAAGACCACACATAAAGTCAAACTCAAATAGATACGGATTCCATGTAAATAGCTATACGAGCAGAGGAGACGAGAGCTATATTTCCAGATGGTTGCAAGAGTGAAAAGTGATTGATAACAAACATAGATCTTTGGATTTGCTCTCAAATTAGTTGGTTGAATCAAAGTGAGTCTTTCTACAAGTAATACATTTCTCAAAAAGATCAAATACAAAATGTAATCTTACTTTTCTGAGGGTTCTATTCTTGTTTTCTCCTTACAGATCAAACCTCACATTCCATTTTCCTTTCAAGTTCGTGTTGAGAGTCCAATTGTTTTCTCTAATCTGCATATAAGGCACCTGTAAGAAAGGGAGAGAGAGAGAGGCAACACATTCTCTTCAGTAATATGATGAGAGCAATAGCATTGTGAGGCAAAAGCTCGGAACAGTGAGCTCAAGAGTAAAATTTTAGAAGTAACTACATATAATTCAGATTTCAGTACCTTCTCAAACATTTCGTAGCCAACTCTGAGGCGTAAATCTTGATCTTTCTGAAACTTCCATATGTTCCAATCAAATTCAGCAGCTCCTTTTGGGTTCCTCTGTCTCAAAAAATCATAAAATCCCGGTCCGTTTTAGTTTCAAAACCCATGAAGAAACATAAACTGATGAAGAAAGTTCCTGAAGCATGAAGAGATAACCTGAACGAAGTCCTGGTCAAAGTCACATCGTCCTTTAATATTGAAGGTTACAAGCTCATCAGTTATCACAGGAAACTTCTTTTTGCCACGTACAAGACACCGAAGCTTATCGCGTTTATTATAGTGCAAGCCTACTCCAACGCTAGTCGAAGCCTATATGCGGAATTCGTGGCATTAAAATGGTTGTAAAAAGGTTCAAAGAGCTCAAGCCAAGAAACACAAAATTTGAGATGTAAAACCTCATGAAAAAAGTGTCTTATCATCGCACAGAAGTAACTTGGCGCTCCAGCTCCTGTATCTAGCTCTCCATGAAGCTATTACAAATGAAAACCAACCAAGAAATATAAACAACCTTAGCCAAACTAACAAAGCCAAACATCACTCTTATTTGAGAATCAACTAATCGAAGTTTGAACCTTTCTTGTTGACATTAACCTTAACCATGAAAATGGTCAGTAATCCAAAACTTAACTAAGGATCTGGCCAAATTTTGAAAAAGCTAAATACAGGCTAAGAACAAATCTTCCTAAAAGAGACATCATCTATTCCTATTTCAGCCTAAACAGCTAACGACACTGAGGCAAATCAGATAAAGATTCTAAAGCCTATCTGTTTAGTTGTCCGCGTCTCATCTCCATATCTGAATAGAAAATAAGCCTTCTACATATATAAAACCCTTAGGTTGCAATTTCTACGACGCAGACCATAAACCCTCAAAATCTTAACTTATAAATATCAAGTAAGAGGGCTTTTGACCCGGAAAGAAATGAAGAAAGTAGTCAAAGAAGAAATTGCAGAGCGAAGCAATAAAGATTTGAAAAGAATGGAGCTGAATCCGAAGAACTAATTCGAAGGAGACAGAAAAAGCTGGAGCTACCTGCAAACGAATCTGGGAGTTCACCGGGAGCTTCTCCTTGGCATGGATTTTCAGAGACCTGGAATTTGTAGAATACCTCAGAGAAGTCTCCATTTTTTTCAGTTAATTTTTCTCGGGAAAAACACTTACCAAAAGCACAAGTAGAGCCAGCGACCAAATCCTAGTACATGTGGACATATCGGTTTATTATCAGGTTCAATTCGGTTTACAAAATCTTACCAAATTAACTACGCTTTACAACATTTGGTTTGGTTTTTTAAGGTGTGCTATTTGAGCATTTAAAAAAATTTAATTTAATTTGGTTTGGTTTCTATGCCCACACCCAATAACAAGTCGCCACGTAAGAGTCAGATATTTTTAAAAATTATAGACCAACAAATACGGGTTATTTAGTGTACCAGAACCGGTCCAAATGTTACATCTTTTTCTCTATCCTCCTTTGTACTGTAATATACTTTAGACAAATTATGGGACAACAATGCTTGAAGCTTCAAACTTTTCTTATCAGTGTTCTAAAAAAGTCTTCTTCACTTCTCTTCAGGGGGCGTCACCTTAAGCAGCTCTATGTTTAACTCAAACGTAGCTCCAGGCTGCAACAAAATATACATGGTTGTTTTCTCTTAAACCCGAAACACAAACTACATTTTGTAAACAGATTCTACAAAAGACGGAGCTTTCCTCATATACAATTTGTAGGTTCTCACCGGTATCTCGTTCATTCCTTTCTGACCATAACCAGCTTCAGGAGTAACAATCACAGTTCTCTGCAAGAGTAAAAAAGAGGTTAAGAAACTCCTGATATGCCTAAACTTGAAAGTAAAAGCTGTAAGTAGTAGGAAGCAAAAATGGGCGTGCTGGTTTTTTAACCTTGCCTCCAACTTTCATTCCTTCAGTTATGTAATACATTGCTGGAGGAGGTTTTGGTGAAGCCTGTGCAGAGAACAACCCATTTGGGTTGTCTACGAATTCACGTTTCCTTTCTTTCCCTGGCGTAGATCCGACCTTGAACTCGTAAGGCTGTTGCATAAGAAAATAGCAACCATCAATGGGAACTATGCACGATCTTAAAGATTAAAAGAAAGGGATATGGTTAAGTAACCTGAGAAATACTACGGTTTCCAGCCAAAAGCTTGGATTCTCGTGTAGAAATTGCAGTGATGCTTCTGTATCGGCAATCGAAATGCACCTAAATCATTACAATGTAAAGGCGAGAACTCGATTTCGATATAGAGTAATCAAAAGGGGGTTTTCTGCAGTTGAATCATTAGAGAGACCTGAGCAGTTGATCCTTTAGTGGCTACTGGACCTTTTCCTTCCTCAATGTCATAGAATTTCAATCCTTCAGCTGCCAAGAACAGAGCAACAGAAATTTGTAACAAGCTTCAGTATAGTTGCTCACACAAGTAAAGCAACTCCCTTTTACCAACTCACAATCTCAACTCTAGAAACCCAATTCACAAAGAGAATCATCATAGCGAAAACAAAGAACCCTAATTTCTCTGAAATTTTTGATTTTTAAGAATCAGAATCGAGAAGAACACATTACAAGCCCTAACAGCGAAAATTGTGCGGAATACGAACCGATAGTTAAGAAGAGAGCGAGGGACTTAACGGCTAGTGGAATACTCCTCGAGAGGGATAGCTTTTCTGCCTCGTCTCTCTCTGGCATCCGAAGAGCTCGGAGGTAGAACGAAGAAGCTCGTCAATGGAAGCGAGCCGAGAAGAATCATATTCGCGTCTCTTCTAGATATGGGAACCGAAAAGGTTACGGATTGAGTAAAGGGTCGAGATTGATCTGCCTCAGAAATCGACGAGATTCGAGGAAGACGAGAGTGATGATCAGATGCCCATCTGTGTAAGCTACTAATGGCAGCCATTGATGAAGAAGCAGAGAGAAAGAGTGAGAGTGAGAAAGCTGTCATAAAACCCAGCTTCAGAGCCCCATATCCATATCCCAATTTTCTTCCTGCTTAAAATGACCTTTGTACCCCCAACAGCTGGTTAGTGAAAACAAAACAATACGTTCGCAAAACGCAGTCAATAAATTGGAATCTTTCCTTTTTTAACGTGCAAACCAAGTTTCCTTATTGGAATGATTAAGTTACGTCTATATATACACAGTATATGAGATGCACAATAACATACTACAACCTAGAGAAAAAAATCACATCAAACGAAGTAAGCCAAAAAATAATCTTAACTTCTTCCTCTTTTTTCTTTTCTTTATATTTGATCATAAATAGCTTATCTTTTCATATCCTCGACGAGATTCTTTTCAAATTGGATCCCAAATCTCTGGTAATAATGCAATGCACAGAGAGATCTATCAGATCACACATATCCAACGATTCGTATTTCAAATCACTTGATTGGGAATTTTATCGGTTTAATCAGTCTTTGTTGCCCTCTCCGATGGAATTAAATGAGAAGGTGGACGTCATGACGATGGTTCATGATGATGAACGCTTCTCCTTTCCAAGTGTTACAATGGAAATGATTGATAAAATCTCACCATATGCTCAGAATCTGTTGAAGAAGAAAAATGAAACAGAACTTAGAAAAAGATTCTTAGTTGAAGAAGAAACAAAACTGGAGGTGCTTTCTTCTTCTAAGTTCCTGAACGTGGTGAGAATCAACAAAAGAAGAAGAGTGAAGTAGACAAATCCATATCATGTGACTAATTTTGATTAATTGAATACAAGTTTATTAGTTAAGCCAAGCGGATTGTTGTTCAAATGTTACATATTTTTTTTTTCTTTTTTTTTGTACACACCATATGTTTTCTTCTATTATCTACCAGAAGATGATATTATCAAAATTAAAGTGACGAAATGAACTATGACATTGGACATAGTTAATAGTTTTAAGTTATTAGACAGTTTGCGCTAAAATCTTCCAAACATATGAAGGTTATTTTAGTCAACGTTGTGCAAAGAGCAAATGCGACTTCACCTTAACAAATAACAAAAGAGAACAAAAAAAAAAAACTCCAACACAACGATAGCCAATAAAGCATACTGAACAATAAATGAAAAACTCACCAGTTAATCTTTTTTATATGTATCATCGTACACCAAAGTTTAATAGATTGACAAGAAAAAACAAGGTTTTTTCTTTATTTTCCACGTAAAGACTGAATTAGCAAGCAAAAGTCTAATAGTTTGTTTCAGAAAAAGGATTTTTTTTTTCAAAATGACCCTTTTTGGTATGTCATGCATGCTGTGAGACCAAACTAATCGACATTGTCTTGTGTATGTATGGTCTTCTTTCAGTAATGTTATGTATGTATGGTCTTCTTTTCAGTAATGTCTCAAACAAGCGATTGAGAGGTCATGGGTACAAACAGATTGGGATACGGATATGGTTTTGAATTTTGAACTATGTTGTAAAAGTTCTCTTCTTCTTCACTCTTGTTTTTCTCAACCTCTTCGATTTCCGATGCAGTTCAATCTTATATACAGTTTAACTAATCACATATGCACATATTTCATGACAAAACAGGAAAATATATCTTTATAAATGTACACCGAAGTTACGGGATCGAAACCCCAATGGCCAATATGTTAAACTTAAAATGTTAAACTTAAAATGTATACGTTGATATGTTTTGTCAAAACTAATGTTTGTCAAAACTTAAAATGTATACGTAGTCTAATAAATTAAAGTATATTATTTTCAGTGTAATTTTGATTGAATTTGTTGATATGTTTTGTCAAAACTAATGTTTGACCCCAATAGTTTTTTGTTCAAACTTTTAAATTATGGTAATATAAATCAAATTTGTTTATTACGACTAGATAAAAATTATTGCTAACTCCACCATTGATTTTAGTTCAACGATATTCACTTTTTTACCATTATTTTGCTGAGATTTCTTTAATTAATGACATATATAAACTTATTTATTTTCAAATTATGGTATTATATGTCAAATTTGTTTATTACGAGTCTGATGAAATTTATTGTTAGTTTCGCCGCTGGTTTTGAGTAATTTTTTTAGTGTTCAACGGTATCCACATTGACCCATTTTCTTTTCTTGTTTTGCATGAAATTTCCTTAATTAGTTTAATGCATTAAATTATTTACTTTGTTGATTCAATATGTTTAAAATCGTACTTTGACCCATACTATTATCGTATCAGATATTGAAACGTGTCACAATCGCACTTAGTTGTAATTTAATTATTGTACTACATCTGAACTTTTTTACGCTTTATATAATAGGCTAAGATACAATTACCAAACAACTAAAGTAAAAAATAATCATAGAAAAAAACTAAAAAAAAATTCTTAATGTCTCCGACTCCAACCATGAATAGTTTACCTTTACATATCCTTGACGAGATTTTCTTCAAAATGAATCCCAAATCTTTGGCGCTGATGCGGTGCACCAACAGATTTATGGAATCTCATATATCCAACGACATAAAATTCAAATCTGAATACCTGTCTCAGTTTGAATCCAGTCTGCTTCATATCTCCAGTGGTGGCTCCACATTGCTATGCTTCCACCCTTTGGGTGATTCTAGGCTATTTCTAAACGATAAAATCTTAGAGAAGCCGTGTCGTATCCTTGGTTACTGTTCTGGCCTTCTCTTACTCTTGATTGATGGATGTTTTTGCATCACCAATCCCCTCACAAAAAAGTTTCGATTCTTGAATTACTCCGAGTGGGAAAGACCAAAATGCATTGGGTTCACGGTTGATCAAATCAATCAAACTACTCAGGAATTCAAAATTGTCCGCATAATCGCACACCACACTTCAAATCCAAATGAAACAATGTATAAATTCGAGATCTACACTGTAGATTTTTGGAGATCGTCAAGAACAACAATTACGTGCCTCTCAAGCGACCTCATGACAAAAAAGAAACCCGTTTATCTGGACGGCACACTTCACTGGTTGAGAGAAGACAGAAGTATCGTAGCTTTCAATCCTGAAACCGAGCAAGCACGATTGATCATTCCAAGCCAACCCCACCTGGAATCGAGCATGAGAGTCTTGCTTGGTGCCAGTGATAATCACCTGACATTGATATCAGCGACCATGGAAATGATTTATGTTTTTACCCTCGAGAGTATCCTCACTGATCCTAAATGGATCCTCGCGAAACGGATCATGAACGAGGCAGTGCAGAAAAATATTACGTTGTCTTGGGACGTGGAGGCATACGACGGCAAATGTATAGTGGTAAGGACAATGACTAATCTTACAGATTACCAAATGGTTAATGGCTATGACTTGAGAGTGAACAAGTGGGACATCGTGGGTTCGTTGCCAAGCTGGTGCGATGGACTTCGAGACTTTTATCAGTATAAGCCATCATGGTCTTCTGTTATTGGACTAACTGATCAGGAGGATGAGCTTTATCATAATCTCTTCATAGTTAAATATGCCCGCGTCTTGGCCGTGGAGGGTATTATAAGATTCATTAATCATAATATATGCATCTAAATCCGTTTACTTTATAAAAATAAGAACTGTGTTTTTTTTTTCCTTTCAATTCTGAATTTGTTTGCTGGTGTTTTTAATCATATCTTTTTAATAAATAAAACTCCTTATTTTGTTGTCTAACAAAACATAATTCGGCAAGTTTATACATTGGACTTTCAAAAGATAATGTAATGTGACTGATGACATTGGAAGAAGCTCGCATTAATCATATATTCAGATCTTCAATTTCACGGTGACAAATATGATGTTCAATTCGACGATTATAGGAAAACAATATTCTGAAGAACAATGTGAAAATAGTTTAATAAAAATGAGAGTAAAAAATATGATTCTGATTGATCTCATGGCTTTGGGCTTTGAGGTCCTAAACACAATAATCAATTATACTAAGCCCAAAGAAGAACAAAGTAATTGGAAATTAGTACAGTAAAACCTCTATAAATTAATAATGTTGGACCATGATATTTTATTAATTTATTATGATATTAATTTATAGAGAAAATTTGCTTTCCGCATATAATTTTCTAAAAATTTGTTTAGAATAATGTTATATTTTAACAAATTTTATAATATAAATTATGATTAACAATTATAACTATCACAATAAAATAGTTTTTAAACATCATATTGGATTGTTCATGTAAAAATATACATGTTTATATGTTTAAAATTTATAAAAAAAAACATAGCTACTATCAGTATTATTGATGATAAAATTGAAAATAACACTACAATACATTTAAAAACATTTACAAGTAAGAAAATTAATTATCACATCAAAATATCATCATAAATTTTTGATGTATATAGTAAAACAGCATTAAGAGCTACTGATATAATAATTAGAGAGATGAGAACCAATAAATTTTTTAAGTAAAAACAAACACATTAGTCATCTTTTAGAATATTAGATTTACATATTTTACATAAATTGATATAATTATTAATTTATGTTTTTGTTAGGACCATATATTTACATAAAAATTTTTTTAAAAAATATTATCTTATTATCGGATTTTTACATTGATCCGACTTGAGACCAATAAAATTTATAATAATTATTAATTAATTGAGTATTAATTTATAGAGGTGCTACCATAATTGAATAGCATTCCTTTGATTCGTGAACCTACACCCTAATTTTCTCCCTTTCCAAAAGAAAAACGCTCACCGATCATGATCAATCGCTTACCTTCCCATCTATTAGACCAAATGCTCGGCAGATTGGAACCCAAATCTCTGGCACTACTTCGATGCACGAATAGAGATCTCCGATCGTATATCTCCGATCCGAATACTTCAACCGGGTCGTCGGATCCAGTTTGCTCCACACATCCGGCGCCTACAGTGCTCTCTCCAGCATCCCCTTCGGATCGAGTTTACCGGGAACCAAACATGAAGTCCCGAGCTCGTGTCGGATCCTCGGCTCCTGCTCCGGTTATGTCCTTTTCGCGATCTGTCATAAGCTCTGCGTCGCGAATCCCATCACCAAGAGGTTTCTGTTTTTGGATCCTCCCGATGTTGGCCTTGGAAGAATAATACGTAGCGAGCCAGGCCTGGTGGGAAGAAATCACATCGGATTCGCCGTAGAGAAAATCGATCGAACCACACAGAGATTCAGAATCGTTCTTGTAACTTATCTCAAAATGATATCCGCAACCAAAGAATCGATTTTTGAGTTGGTGGTTTACTCGGGAGATTCATGGAGAGCATCGAGAAGGACCGTTGCTAACAGTCAAGCAAACTTAAAAAGCGTACCAAGCCTGTTCTCTTGGATTGCAATCTTTACTGCCTGTTAGAAGACGGAAACATCATTGCTTTCAATCTCGAGATGGAGCATGCTCGGCTGATTCCTGGACGGGATCATCAGGGATCGAAGAAACTGTTTCTCGGAGCCGTGGAGAAACGCCTGACCTTAATCTCTCCTAGTGAGCAAGTAATATCCGTTTATACACTCGAGAAAATAATTATTCAAAGTTTTAGTTGCTACGTTTTAAGGTTAAAATTATTCAAAGTTCGATCTTTTTTTTCCCTTCAATCATGTGCAATCTTAGAAAATAATCAAAGATTTCCTCCACAAACATCTGCCTTTTATTCTGAGGCCGACCAAATGATTCCAATTTCCAGCGTACAATATAATAAACAAACAAATCAAATACCTTAAAGCACACGCGATCAAGAATCGAAATTTACACCATATATATATATACGGAAAAAAACTCTCTGGACAGATTACAAAAGATCACCCTATGCCATTGTTGGGAATATACCTGAGAAGTTTGGAATCTTATCAATGTGTTTCAACGCGTTCTCAGCGACCTGCCGCGTTCTAAAATCAGCGTTTTGGAAAGCGTCTACAAGCGCAGCGCTCACGTTCGGTTCTTCTGCGACTTCTCTTGCTATCTCTTCAATCCGCAAGATCCTTTCCACCATCCAAACCGCTCTCCTCGTCAGCTTCTCTGTTCGGTTCTTTGTCAGAACGTTTAGTATATGCCGTATCCCGTCCGCATCGTCAAGTATCTTGACCCCTTTCTCTACATCTAACCCGTCTCCTAACAAGCTCGAAAGAGCTGCAAGCGAGGCCTCGACCACTTTCTCATTCTCATGGTCCAAAGAGAGCCACTAGTTTCTCCACAGCTTCGCCTTCGACAAGGCAAAACGTTTCTCTCAAGGAACATATTCCCCGGTGGATCTTGCACAGCCCTGTCACAACGTGCGGTTTGCTCATACATGAGAAGATGGAGCCACAGTAGTTGGGAGGAGGCAGATCGGGCATCCGTGACAGGTTTATAGACTCTAGTGAAAGATTCTCTAAAGCCATGGCAGAGACCATCTGTATGTTATCTTGACCGTTGGACTGAAGCAGATGGATGAAGAGCGAGGCAACGTTGTACTCACGGCAAAAGTTAACGGCCCGAGGCTCGTTGTTGAACGCAAAAGTGATCCGAGCAAGTATACGCACAAGCCCTTCAAGAAAATTCCTCTCAAACCGCATCCCCTTGATCTCCCCTTGGCGGATTCCAATCACTTTGGAGATGATTTTCTCAAAAGCACCAACTCCTAACATTTCTCGAGTAAGACCCAAATCCCTCTCAGGCAATTCCGCTAAGAGACCAGCAGCTGCAGCCTGTTCTTCAGAGATTGGTGTCTTCTCTGAAATGATCGCAACAAGGCTACCTAGTTGTCCAGCAGTGCCACGCAAGGCGTTGGCTAGCTCTTCACTCATTAATGGAGAAAGGTTATGAAGAAGCTTTATGCAAGCCAAACGCAGATCATCATTCTCTCGTACCTCTACAAACTGAACCAAACTGATGATTGCACCGGAGGTTTTGATTGCAGACACCACATGTATAATTGTCTTCGGGCAACCGGTGAGTCCAACAAGAACCTCCAAGAGCTTGCACTGGATCGCTGGACCCGTGTTGCTGATTAGATACAGCAGGTTCTCCACTCTGTTCTCTGAAACAAGAGTGGCTTTGTCAAAGTCATATCCAATGTTCACTATGTTAGCGAGGATAGTGGCAGAGACTTCTTTCAACCGAATCGGAAGGTTGTTTGGCCCTATGTAAAACAGATCTTTGATAAGTGGCGAGAGAATTCCAATGCTGATCAAAACCTTTGCACTCCCTTCAAACGACGAGATTTTGTTGAGAGCTCTCAGGGCAGCTTCACGTTGGGGCATGTCACCACTTCTCATAAGATCGACAAGAGACGAACCCACAGTCTGAGCCACATGAACCTTCATATCATTATTCAAGGCTAGCTCCCCAAGAAAGGAAGCCATGGAGAGCTTCGTTTCAGGTGAACCTGAACATAATTGACAAGAAAATCAAGACTTGACCATATCTTAAGCAATTCTGTCAGAGCTAGTTCGATTAAAAAGAAAGTAGGGATTTATCATTCACCTTCAAGGAGTTTTTCTAGAAGAGGTTGGAGTCTACCATAGGAAGCCATCTGCTTAACAATTTCCTCTGACCTCTCCATGTTTTCCAATGTTTTATCAGCTTTCTCAACAACTGAGACGTTTACTGAGTTGCTGCTTGTCAGACCAACCAATAAAATAAGTGCTCCGTTAATCGAACCAATCTTCTCGCACAAAGCTTCTGATTTGGAGAGCTCACACAACAAGGAAACAGCTGCTTCTCTCCCCTTTGACGGCTCGTGTGACAAGAACTTAACTAGAGTACGCACAGTATCCCCTTCAGCTAGTATTAACTGCAAGATGCTGAAAAACTTTAATTAGAATCTACCATAACAAAATGCAATAGCAGAGATTATAAACAAGAAAACGAGAGACAACCTTGCTCTCCTCATCTTCTTCAACGACAACTTGAAGAGTCTGTAAAGCCTTATACCGCACTTTATGGCTGTTACTCTTCAACATGTCGATGATCATACGAATAAGCTGAGAGTTGCGTACACCCTGTCTATTCGATCGGATGCTCCTGCAGATTTGTCGCACGTGCATCAATGCTTGCAAGATATCTGTCTCGGCATTTCCAAGAAACAGCGACTGACGAGCAATGTCAAGCTTTGCGGCATCATTCCTGGATCTCCACTCTTGGATTGTGTTACGCAGAGCTATGCTGGGGCTCACGTCAAGGCTACTCAGCTCCTGAGAGGTTATAGGGCAAGATGGAGGTCTCCCACTGTCTCGGCATTCCATGAACCATTTTTCAATGGCTTCACGCTCGAATGTTCGGCCATTCTCTAAAGTGACAGGATCGTGCATAACCTGCTTTGTCAACGGACAGATGAATGCTTCATAGATATGGTCTACTCCTCGCTCGAAATGAGAGCTATCATCTGACTCGTTTCCATCCCAGCTTCCATCCATCTTATTAATGCACAACTCACTGCAAATTAGCAAAATAAACTCTTGATTATGAAACAGAATGCTTTGATCCTGAAGGAGAGTCCAACAAGAGTCAAGAAATTGAATTCTCAAATGCAGTAGTTTGGTAAGAAAGTGTCCAAATTTGATAGTTAATGAAGCCGAAAGTTTTGGAAATACAAAAGGGGATAATACCAGATTTGGCTAAGTTCTTTCACAGTTAGGTTCTCCCGGATTCTTTCATAGCAAAGGAAACAAAACTCAGTATTTCAACTATAACATTAAATTACGAAAAGCAAGAGTCTCCCACAATCATCATTCCCATCAACCTAAATATAGCATGATTACCAAATTTAGCAATACTCGTGGGAAAATAAAAGAGAGAGAGACAAACATTTCAGGTAAGCGTTTTCAAAAACACAAAAGAGAAACAGCATACCAAGCAGTTCCGATCTGAGAAGCGCCTCAAAGCTACAGAGAGGGGCTAATACAAAACCTTAGTTTCTTCTTCTAATTTGAAAATTCGAAAAATGACCACTTCTTAATCTCTTTGAGCAAAAAACGCGCCAGAAAGTGTGACTTCTTCTTCGTCCATGGATCCAACTGTAAGCAATTGAGCAGCTTGCTCCTACTCTCTTCTCGAGCTTCAATTCAACAGGGTTCTTTATTCGCCGTGCGAGGGCGAGAGAGACAGGGAAGGAAGAGACAAGAAGAAGATGGGTTCGAAGAAAATGGGAAGAAAAAAAAAAAGGCACCAAACGCTGACTAAAATCGAAAAGTCATGAGAGAGAGAGAGAGACGTGGAGCCACCAAACGCCAACTTGACAAACAGCCTGGCTGTTTACACACAATAGGCTCGATAACATTGGGTCGGGTTATTATTACCCACCCAGAATCATACCAGGGGTGACCCGGAAAGCTTTAGACTTGGGCTAATGGGCTTATTATAAACGATTATTACGAATGGAAAAGGGCCAAAATCAACCCGAACTAAATTTAATGTGCTAAAAAAAATCTAAACTAAAGTACGGTGTCAATTGCTATCTATACTATATAAAAATTCAAATTTACGATCTGAACTTTAATATATGGGTCAAAATCTATCTTGACGTTAGTCAACTGTTAAAAAATGCTGACGAGGCATGACGGAGTATGACATGGCAAGAGACACGTCAGCTTACTAAAAACGACATCGTTTTGGTTGGATGAAAAATTAAAAAAATTGTTGTTCCCTGGATTCGAACCTAAGAAGCAGAGCACCGTAGACAAGCACGTGAACCAACTGAACCATGAGAGATTTTTGTTATTTAGTATACACATATCTATATATACAGATATATTTCTCTTTTGTCGATGGAATATATATATAAAAGCCTTCACCAACTCGGATAACTTGTTTTTATTTATTTAATGACAATGTTGTTTTTGTTTATAAACGAAAAAAAAAATTGATTTTAGAGGAAAAACAGATTTTTACCGTCACCTTCAGATATTGATTTTCAGAAAGGAAAATATATTGTTTGCGTGATTTTAGAGAAAAAAAATAAATCAGAGAGTGAATGTCGAATATAGTTATGATATATCTATATTTTAATAGATATTAAGTTGCTACTAAGTACACATGTCATCATTTACAATATAAATGTTACACATTTCTTATATTTTAATATTATTTTTTACAAACTAATTTCTTATTTAAAATATATACTTTTATATTAAACATATAATAAATAGTCTTAAGATACACACGTGTTGATTTTGAAAATAATTAAAGGATAAAATTAAAAAAAATCAAGTTATCCAAGTCGGTGACGGCTTTTATATATATTTTTGCCATCGACAAAAGAGAAATACATCTGTATATATAGATATGCGTGTACTAAATAACAAAAATCTCTCATGGCTCAGTTGGTTCACGTGCTTGTTTATGGTGCTCTGCTTCTCAGGTTCGAATTCAGGGAACAACAATTTTTTTGATTTTTCATCCAACCAAAACGGTGTCGTTTTTAGTAAGCTGACGTGTTGACTAAGGTCAAGATAGATTTTGACCCATATATTAAAGTTCAGATCGTAAATTTTGAATTTTTATATAGTACAGATAGCAATTGGCACCGTATTTTAGTTTAGATTTTTTTTGACACATCAAATTTAGTTCGGGTTGATTTTGGCCGTTTTCCCTATAGCCTCGTTTAGTCGAGCATCGTTCTCTCGATCTCTGGGCAGAAAACTTCGGTTGAGCTCTGGATCACTTGTACCCGTTTCTGGTGTAACCTTTGATTTGTTCATTTTTGTGTTTGGAGCTAAATTTGCGATGTCGGGAGATGAAGGGATTGAGATTTACGAGGAAGGAGAGGAAATCATGGATGTGAGTAACGAGGCAGAAGCGAAAACCGAGTTTGAGAAAGGGAAAGGAGATGAGAACGTCTTGCAGTTCCTAGACTCGTTGGATGAGTATTTAACGCTTATGGATTCTGTGAATTCAAAGCTTCGAGAGGTAATGGGAATACTTTCTTTTTGGTTATGAAACTAAAATTGGATCTTATGGGTTCTTCTGACTTTCTGATCGATTTGATTCTACAGCATTTTGGTATATACCATGACTTTAGATGAGTTTGTTTTAAAATCGAAGCTGATTGTTTATTCTTGATGGAATAGTAGATGTTCTCTATCTAAACAAGATGTTACTTAGCCTGTGTTTGTAAAACTTAGTGGTTCAATTTGGTCTCTATATCATTTCAAAGTTAGATTATGTATGAGCTGGATACAGTTTCTGTTTTCAGATGATGTGATTTCTCGTTTTGACATCACGAAACTCTGTGTAGAATCGATCTGGGGTAAAAAGGTAGCAAATGGTCATGTGGAAGACGTTTTATGGATTAGCTAGCTAAGGAAGCCATGAGAAGAAATCCTTTTTTTTTTCTTCACTGATATGATGAGACTCTGCCTTAGTTAACTCACTGGGTATATAAACTTTCTGAAATATGTGTTCTTTTGCAGGGATGGTTTGATCTAGCTAGTGCTCGACACTCAATGGGAACTTTGCGTATCAACAGCACTCTCTTAGACCTAAAGTATCATCCCGCTGCTTCAACTTTGCAAGTGACAGAGCAAGAGGGTAAGATTGGCTTCAAATAATCTGAAAAATGTATGCTCCGAGCGTTTGATAGCTCAGTGGTTCACATTTATATGCTATGAATATTTGTAATCTTACCTCACTTATATAACTCTTGTAATTGAATCTTTGGGATCAGTACCTCGTTTTGCTTTATCCAAGTGGGCTTCCAAGGGCGGTAGCGGGAAAGAAAAACATTTCTCTACTGATGCAGATTCGGAGATGGGCTCACCTCGTAGCCCACAGCTACGGCATCGAGGCGTTTTTGGTAAAGGACTTATCTTTTGGTTATTCTGTGCCCTTTGGCTAGTTGTGTCTCATCTCTTGCATATATAATTTGATAGAAGAGAAATCATCAGCCAAGGATGAAACCGTGTTAGCAGCTGATGAAGAGGTGAGCAAACATTTTATCTTATGCACAAAGTCTATTGAAGTGTAGAACGCAGGCTTTACTAATTCGGTTGTGTTAATCTCCAGATTAAGAAAGAACGAGCGAAATCTCTGTCTGTATTTGGAGGTCTAGTCTCGCCTAAGCTGCGTGGCGCTCAACTATCATTTGAGACAGGTAACATTTATCAAGGCAAATATCTATTTCAGATAAAAATTGCAGCTTCCAGCTAAATTTATTTTGTTGTTCGTTTGCCTTGGAACAGCTCTTGAAACTCTAGTGGAAATAGCCAACATGCGATCATCAATGCTATCTGCCTTTGAGGGGATCACAAAGAAGTAAAGTTCATAGGTAACAACTGATCCTGAAATGTGCTCAATGGATTCAGCGGAAGCAGATTATAGCCAACCTCAAGTTTCCCAAAACTTTACCCAAAATGTTTCCCGAAAGAAAAAAACGAACAGAAAATTCAGTTAACGGGTAAATTCGGGTAGTTTAAAATCACAAATCACATTTTCAATCATAGGAGACTTGGAGTAATGGTCAACTTGAGGACTGGTTTTTTTCCTGTCATCGGTGAAATTTTTTTATGGATTCACCTCTGATTAGTTGTATGGAGCATCGGAGTAAAATAGGCAATACTTTGTTTTCATGTTAAACGCTTGCCTTTTTGATTATTTATCACTTTCTCTTCATTTTGTTGCTAAAAAATAGGCAATAATGTTTATCTTTATCACTAACATCCTTCGAACTTACACCAATCTGGTATATCAAGTGAACAGAAGTTAACATTCTTGATCAAGAATTTTTAATTTTGGTGGGGAGAAGAGAGTGTGAAGCTGGTGTTTAATTGTTCTTCGCTGTATGTACATGTCTACAACTATTGAAAAAAATCTACTAAAATATTCTCTAAAAAAAATTCTTTCTGTTCATACAGCTTTATACAAAAATTAAAGTTAGTGTAGTGGAAATTTTAAATAGTATTTTATCTGATTTACAAAAAGTTACAAAAATGTAAGAAGCTTAATTTTGTTAGAGAGTAAAACCATAAGAATCTAGACGTAAGAAAATAATAATTGAGCTTCGAGAGTTTTGTGTTGATAAATAAATGGGGCGGGTAGTTTCTCTTCATTATACGACCGTCAAGATAAAACCTTAAAACGACGTACATGTTCTGGTAGTTTCAAAGAAAACGGCAATACTTTCATATTGTTTGTTACAATGGACCTTAACTGGGCTAATAAAGAAGCCCATTTACTAGCCAAGCGAAAAAAAAAACAACGAATGACTTTCTTGAACATCGTGATTACGATTCGATCTTTTGCTGTGTCAGTCATTTTTACGGTTTTTTCTTCTTTTTTTTTTAAAACTTTTTATTAATGGCATTTCTTCTTAATTGTTGCATCTGTTCGAATCGGGCAATTTTCGTCTGGACAAGGAGAATTCTGGAGATAGGATTTTGATCGATTTCGTAGCTCTGATCTAAGTTCGGGTAGCTCCGGTGATCCCTCAAATGGCGGGGCAGAATCCTAACATGGATCAATTCGAGGCGTACTTCAAGAGAGCAGATTTGGACGGAGATGGTCGGATCAGTGGAGCTGAAGCTGTAGGATTTTTTCAAGGATCTGGTTTGCCTAAGCAAGTTCTCGCCCAGGTGAAAATTCTTCTTGGATCTCCGCTTTTCTGATTGTGCCTAGCGAGATTTCTGAGTTATACAGAGAAAGATCTGATTTGGTTTTCTACGCAGCTGATTTTGGTTTCTAGCCGTAGTTTTTGATTCTTCCATTTGAATTCTATGATATAGTCTGACATTCTGAATAGCCTATGAACTGATAAGAAGTCACGGGGGCAGATTTGTGGCGCTGTTGTTTTTTATTTCCTGGTTTAGGATCTTGCTTTTTAAGAGCAGCCTTTGGTAGGATCTTTAGTGAAGAGTTATAAGTGTATGAGAGTAGGATTTATAGGTTTTCCTTTGATATTTTACGTTGGACGTCGGAATGCTGAAATCTCATTGCAGTCACGGAGGAAACTTAGTGGCATTTAGGTCGGCTAGTGTTCTTTCCGTGACGCTATCCTTGGTAAAAGCTTTTTCCATTTGGTTTTAGAATAGTCACTGGTTTAGGAAGGCCATTGGTTTCGGTTTGCTCGAACTTGACAGCCTCTACATGAGATTTTTTATCGTTGCATAGCCTTAAGAAATTGGATAATCGATTTTTTGAGATATCAGTTACCTTGTGGCCATATTTCGTTAATCCTCTTGCTGGGAGAGTTCCTTTAGCATATTAAGAGTATCATAGTACATGTGTGTGGAGGTGTACCAGTAATTATGTATTTGAATCTGGATTCTTTCTGGTACATGATTTTCCTGAATGGGTTTTATTAAGCGACGTTTGCTATATAAAATTTTCTACTGATCAGCTGTGTTCTGCATTTGTAGATATGGTCGCTTTCTGATCGGTCACGCAGTGGTTTCCTTGGTCGGCAAGACTTTTATAATTCTCTGAGACTTGTAACAGTAGCACAGAGCAAGAGAGACCTGACTCCTGAGATTGTTAATGCAGCACTGAATACTCCTGCTGCAGCCAAAATACCAGCGCCCAAAATCAATCTGTCAGCTGTTCCTGCACCCCAACCTAATCCTGCTGCTACTACAGCCGGACCAGTTTCCTCAACAGTTACTCAAAATGTGGGTTTTAGAGGACCAGGGGCTCCAAATGCGAATGTCAATCAAAATTATTTTCCATCTCAACCAAACCAGTTAGTGAGACCAAATCAAGGAATATCTGGGCTGACCTCACCTAGACCAACTGCGGGTCCAGAACATAGACCAAGTGCCTTACCAGGTCAATTTCAATCAGTTCCTGCTGGTAGTGTCAGTCGTCCTCCTCAGGCTGTTCCCACTAGTGCATCTGGTCCTGGTAGCTCAACGTTCAATCTTAATAATTTGTACGCTGGAAACACCAGCGGATACTCGTCCGGCTTTGGAGGGGGCAGCTTGGCAGCACCTTCTCCTGGCTTAAAATCAGAGTCACAAATTGATCCAAAAGCGCTGGTTGTATCTGGAAATGGAGGTGACATGTTTTCCTCCTTCCAGCAAAAACAAGAACCAACTCTGAGTAATTCTTCTATCAGTTCAGCCATTGTTCCTGCGTCTGCGGGAACCCAACCGCCGCCAAAGCCTAATGCTCTCGACTCCCTACAGAGTACCCTCTCAATGCGACCTGCAGGAATTCAGCCTCAGCAGCCAAGGCCAGCACTGTCTTCACAAGGTCCATCCTCCGGTTTGCCACCTGGAAGTGCAGTTGGATCTGGCCATTCAACTCCTGCTGGAAATAATCAGCCTCCCTGGCCAAAAATGAAACCATCCGATGTCCAGAAATACACAAAGGTATTTATGGAAGTTGATAGTGACAAGGATGGGAAAATCACTGGTGAGCAGGCAAGAAATCTGTTTTTAAGCTGGAGGTTACCCAGGGGTAAGGATATTCGATCTTTCAGTCCACTTTACATATTGTTCTATGATTTCGTATATGAAATGAACTGTCGCCCCTGTTGAAATTAGAGGCTATACTGGATTTTCGAAACTTTTTTTCTCGTAATTTTTCTTCATGGGACAGACCATGTTTTGTTATGTTAAGTATATTTGCTACGCTCCTGAGACTTATGTTCCTTTTATAATATCTTCAAATGATTACGCTATGAAATGTTTATGCTAACATTTTCTTTTTGCTCTGTTCCAGAGGTATTGAAGCATGTGTGGGAATTATCTGATCAGGATAATGATACTATGCTTTCTCTGAGGGAGTTCTGCATTTCATTGTATTTGATGGAGCGGTATAGAGAAGGCCGTCCTCTCCCGACAGCACTTCCTAGCAGCATCATGTTTGATGAAACATTGTTATCTATCTCAGGTGCTCCTACACAGGGTTATGCAAATGCTGGATGGGGATCGGGTCAAGGTATTGCTCAGATTTTCATGCATTCTAGTGATCTTCTCCCTTTCCCTGATACTTTGCTCTAAGTCAAATTTCTCTACTGCAAGGTTTTGTACAGCAGCCAGTGATGGGTGCGCGGCCAATCACTCCACCGACTGGCATGAGACCTCCAGTTCCTGCACCAGTCCCTCACCCTGGAGCATCTAATCAGCAAAGGAATCAAGCGCCAGCTTTGGATGATCCTTTTGCCAGTCACCTAGGTAACGGATATTCTGCGAGCTCAAATCTTCAAGAAACAACAACTAATGAGGAAAAGGTAATCATTTACATTTTCAGTTTAATTTTAAAGAAAACAATTATCCTCAAGCTTATATAAGTTACAATTCCATGTGCATTTTCTTGGATGCTTGTAAAATATTTTTTTTGTAATCTCTGTAGGTTGATGAAAAGAAGAATGTCTATATGGACTCTAGGGAGAAACTTGAATACTACCGGACGAAGATGCAGGATATTGTGAGTACTCCATTATAAGTAACTCATGTTATTTGGTTAGAAGTAACGGTGATATCTCACGATGCCAATTTTTTTAGAGTAGGTTCCTGTAAGATCCAGTTCTTATGATGCCATTTTTTTCGTATTTTTCCTCTCGCTGTCAGGTCTTGTACAAAAGCAGGTGTGACAATAGATTAAATGAGATCTCCGAAAGGGCTTCCGCTGACAAGCGTGAGGTGTGTTTTTTAATTTTCTCATTTCTTAAGAGGCTATTTCTGTCTTATCCAGAATAATTTCCGCTGCAGGCTGAAACATTGGCAAAGAAGTACGAGGAGAAGTATAAGCAAGTTGCAGAAATAGGGTCAAAATTAACTATTGAAGAGGCCAGGTTCCGGGAGATTGAGGTATGACGAATTCCTTTGACTGGCACATAAAGTGGCAACACCTTACATATATTCCAGCAGTATATTCTTTCTTCATTTCTTCTGTGTGCTCTTCCGATACTAGGCTTCTCGTTTATTCCAAACTTCATCATTTGTTATTTCCTTTCTCTTTCTCTGGGTAATGTTGTGCGTCTTGTCCTGTCCCCTCATTTTATGGCCCAATTCTCACTTTTTCCACCTTTTCTGGTGAAGGGGCTTTGAAAAATTTAGTAACAGATCTTCACAGAAATTTGTTACTTATTGAAGTTTTGCTAACAAATTCCAGGGCCGGAAGATGGAGTTGAGTCAAGCAATCGTGAACATGGAGCAAGGTGGTAGTGCTGATGGTCTCCTTCAGGTACATGCTATTCTTTATGTATATGTGATGCCTAAACTATACAGTATCTGTTTCACACACCTGATTTGATGCTTTACTGGGCATGTTTAGGTCCGGGCTGACAGAATTCAATCAGATCTAGAGGAGCTGATGAAGGCTTTAACTGAACGTTGCAAGAAACATGGGTTGGAGGTTAAGTCGAAGGCCCTTGTAGACCTTCCAGCTGGTAATACATATAATTCTGTCGTCTTGTGAGTTCACTGTAGATAAATGCAAATTCCATGTATTTCGTAAACAAAACAATTCATTTGGAACTGGTTAATGTTTTGACTTAAAGGCTGGCAACCTGGAATTCAAGAAGGGGCAGCTCTTTGGGATGAAGAATGGGATAAGTTTGAAGATGAAGGTACAACGTTTTTTACTAGCTTTCTATTACTAATACATTTATATATCTATAGCAAGGACATTGACTGATAATCCTCCCATTATTAGGATTTGGCAATGAGATTACATTTGACAAATCAAAAGAGCAAAACTCGTCTGGCGAAAAGGGAAATGGTACGGTGGATGATGGTAGTGGACCACCTGATTCGCCGACTCATTTAGATGAGAATTATGGACCTTTTTCAGAAACCTCAGACCGCCACCATGAGAGTGAATATGGGCATACTCATAGTGAAGACGAATCAGGCAGAAGTCCTAGAGACAGTCCTGCTTCTCATGGAAAGAGTTCTGAATTCTTTGATGACTCGAATTGGGCAAGTGCGTTTGACACTAATGATGATGTGGATTCAGTCTGGGGATTTGATGCGTCAAAAAGCCAGGTTAATATAGAATCCATTGTTGTCTCTCGTTTTGACAAATCGAAATATTTAATCGAGCTTTCAGTTGTGATTATTTGATTGTCATTGATTTCAAAAACCGTTCCCTCTTGATTAAGTTCATGTTTTTCAGATTTGATATGGTACAACTGCCTTTGTGTATGCTAAATTGCTTAGTTACCTTTCCAGTCTTAACCAAGCTTAGCATTACACAGGATGGAGATTATTTTGGATCTGGTGGGGATTTTGGTGGAAACTCAGGAAGAGCAGATTCTCCAAGTTCAAGAAGCTTCGCGGGTCAGAGAAAGAGCCCATTTGCGTTTGATGATTCAGTCCCAAGCACTCCACTCTCGAGATTCGGGAACTCTCCACCTCGGTTCAGCGATGCGTCAACCAGAGATAATAATTTCGATAGCTTCTCCAGGTTCGACTCCTTCAACACCAGTGAAGCTGGCGCCGGTTTTTCCTCCTCTCAGCCCGAGAGACTGTCTCGTTTTGATTCGATCAACAGCTCCAAAGACTTTGGTGGAGCCGCCTTCTCCAGGTTCGACTCAATCAACAGTTCCAGAGACTTCGGGGGAGCTGAGAAACTGTCGAGGTTCGATTCCATCAACAGTAGCAGAGACTTTGGTGGTCCCTCGCTTTCAAGATTCGACTCCATGAATAGTACAAAGGATTTCAGTGGCAGCCATGGATACTCGTTTGATGATGCAGACCCGTTTGGTTCCACAGGTCCCTTCAAAGTCTCTTCTGATGATAAAAGCCCCAAGAAAGATAACTGGAATTCCTTCTAGTCTCGGTTGATTATCATTCCTTTTCTAAATCCTTGTTTTTTTTTTTTCCTCGCTTGATCAACTTGTGATTGTTTCATAAAAATCTTATAATTTTTTTCCCCAAATTCTGGTTTTGGATGAGACAATAGCTGTAGACTATTTGTAATTTGTAAAGTTTTTCGTTGTACTGTATCTCTGTTCCATTCTTGTGAGTTCATTTGCTTTATATGAAAGAAATATTTGTTGCTTTCTTCTTGGAGAACGAGTAACATGGACAAAATTTTAATTTTCTACACTTTTCTTAGTCTCTTCTCCAAAATGTTTTTGATTATTTTTATATTTCTTTAGCTCAATGTCTGTAAGACATTCGTGTAAAATTAACCAGATTGAAACTTATACTATGTTTACACGGAATGTGGTAGCTACAAATTGAAAGATCGAGCTAATGCATTGTCACATACTAATACTATCTCTCTGACTTGATGAAACGCATCACCAAGTTTTATTTATTAATTTATTCTTTTTCTTTGCGTTGTTAATAGATGCGCTTTTACAACGACCAAAAATAAAAAATGGGCTGCGATAAGCCCACTTATGGTCCATCGTCACATATCACCGTTCTCTATTAACCGACTAGAACTGCACGTCGTTTTAAAACCTTAACTTTGCCAGTAATAGCGACGAGCGCCAAAATAAGAAAGACTCGGGTGAAATTTTCCCGCCCATTTATTACCAACGCGACATTCACGAAACTCAGCTCTCAGTTTCTTCCGTCACCGGACTCCGAAAGATCTCAACGAAGATGGTTTCCACAACCAGCAAATCGGATTCGAAGCAAGACGTGAAACAAACCCTAAATTCCAAAACCCCTAAAAATGTCTACCAAATCGGAGGCCTTCAAGTGGAGTTCCCTTATCAACCGTACGGAACGCAGCTCGCGTTCATGAGCCGGGTCATATCTACGCTTGACCGTGCCCAGAGAGACGGTCACTGCCACGCGCTGCTTGAGTCGCCCACCGGTACGGGCAAATCTCTCTCCTTGCTCTGCTCGGTTCTCGCTTGGCAACAGAACTATAAATCGCGGCTTCTGAAAGGGAATTTGTCGCATTCGAAACCTGCGCCGGAGGCAGCCACCGATCCATTGAATCATGGAGGCGGATTCATACCTGAAACGCAGCCCTCAGGTTCGTGATTTCTCGCCAATCGCATCTATTGATTGGGTTTTAAAATTGGGAAGATTGATTTTCAATTTCTGGTTAATGCCTGAATAGATACTCCTTTACCTAGCAATGTGGAGCCAGCCGAAACTGCAATTAAGAAGAGAACCAAAATTCCTACCATATACTATGCTTCGTAAGCGTTACTGCATCAACAATTTTGGAAATGTTGCTGATAAAATTATGCTTTTCTTATTATTATTGATTGTTTGTTTTTTGTTTTCTAGACGAACTCATTCTCAGATTACTCAAGTCATTCGTGAGTACCGGAAAACTGGTTACAGGGTGCCCATGGCTGTATTGGTACATGTCAAAACTTGATTTTGCTCTCTTTGAGGATTTGTTTGTTTATGGTTAGTCAAGATTATTTGTGTTTTGTACACTCATAAAAGTGGTTTTTTTTGTTCTTTCCTGGATCCATCTTCATCATGTAAGGCTTCACGAAAGCATTACTGCACTAACCGTCATGTACATGGGAAAGAGAATGTTGATGAAGAATGGTAAATTTCATCCACATGCATATCGTATCACCATTCTTTTCAGTTACCTCTATGCTAACATGTGTTCTTTTTTTTTTTCAGTCGATTGCTCCTAAAAGATAAGGCTAACATACAATGTCCCGAGTTCAAGTGAGTTTCTCCTGATATTCTAAGTTCTTTGTTTTTCCTCGTCTGTTGTTAGCTCGTCAAATCATGTAACTGTTTTCCTTAACTTTCAGGAACGTTAGTAAAATCACAGCTCACCCATCACTTCAACAAAGAGGTCACAATGAGGTTCACGATATTGAAGATCTTGTGAAAGTTGGAAGAAATGTTAGAGGTTTGATTTGGTTTAATTTTTACCTCTAATTGATTGTATTTTCTATTTCTTAATCTTATATAGTTTCCTTGTAGGTTGTCCATATTATGCTGCCTGGTCAATGGCGGAGAACGCACAGCTGGTTTTTTGCCCTTATTCATATATAGTTAATCCTGTTATCCGAGCAGGAGTTGAAGTTGATCTGAAAGGAGCGATTATAATATTTGATGAAGCACAGTAAGCTTTAGAACCATTCTTAGGTTTAATAAAATTAGATTTGCTCTTAAAATTTGCTGGTATGAAACATTAGTTTGCAAAAAATTTGGCATGGTTGTGATGTTAGCAGTTAAGTCTATGCACTAAACACTTTCCCTGTCCACAGCAATATGGAAGACATTGCTCGAGAAGCAGGAAGCATTAACTTGGAAGAAGAAACTCTTTTCAGTATGTACTATTCAAACTATCTCTGCTGTTATTCACGGTTTTGTTCACTTACATTTACTTTACTCATGTGGCTTTGTCATATACAGAATTGCAGAATGAACTAGAACAGATGAGCGTGGCGCAGCCAATGATATATGAACCTCTGTGTGAAGTAGTAGAGGTAAGTTATTAGCTGCAAAATAATATTCAGAGATACCTTTGCTGACTACTTGTTAATACTGAGTGTTCTATTTACATAGGGATTGATAAGCTGGATTGGAAGAAAAAAGGATTCGCTAGAAAAACGTGATTTTCAGCACTATTTCTCTAGGTGGGTTGAAACTCTTCTTCCGATCATCTCTTTACTTTATAATTTAAAATGGGTTCCAACTGTGTTTATACTTTATACTCGTGTTTTTCTTATTTTTCCATGAGAACTGGTTTTGTTGCAAATGTAATTTGTTGGAGGCAGGCGGATTTATGTGCATCACTCTTCATAAAACTTTTTGCTATTTATTATGTGACAGCTGGACTGGAGACAAAGCTTTAAGAGAGCTTGAGGAATCTAATATTACTCGAGAATGCTTCCCAATATTATTGGAATGCTTTACAAAGGTCAGTCAATTATTCTCTGTTATTTGTCTAGGCACCACAGACCTCTATTACATACTGTAATGTGACATTGTGCTTACTGCTCAAGGCGATCAGAACATCAAAGGAGGCGGAAATGGAACCAGATATGCCTCATTTAAGTGGGATATCTGTCTTGACACTAGAAGGTATTTTGGGTCTCACTAACTTTGTTAGCATTGTTCTCTGTAATATCATTTTGAGAATGGGAGAGCTTATTGCCCAACTTTCATGCAGAATTGTTCGCTTCACTTACATACTTCTTTTCAAGAAATGGAAGTCACATCTTAGATTACCAACTGGGTTTACAACGCTCTGCTAAAAGAGGTAGAAGTGAATTTTGATAGACCCATTTAGCTGAATGTGTGAAATATTTGAACTATCTATAAAACCAAAAGGTGTTCATTCTTGCTCTACTGGGATGCAGGAGACTCTTCTGGAACCTGGACGCATACTTTCAGCTTGTGGTGCCTGAATCCGTCTGTTGTTTTCAAAGACTTAGCTGATGTTTCTTTATCCGTCATTCTAACATCTGGGTAAGCAGCATCCTGTTGATTACTCTTGCTTCTGCAAAGAGTCATCCTTTTTAACGTCACATACACATTTTCATCAGAGTTTTATTGAGTAAGGTCGTTTTAAAAACCACAACGTCATCAATGTACACTTATCATACTCATCTTTTTGAGTTACGTTTGACTACACATTTGGTTGCAGTCCTACTTGTATTGCAACATTATATCCGTGCATATCATTTTACTCTTATCCTTAACCCATTGGCTGATGGTTTGCTAACTTTTCAGTGTTTCTCTTTTAGTAATGATTAAGTTGAATTTTCTTGGTTATGAAATATAGGACTTTATCACCGATGAATTCTTTCTCGTCAGAACTTGGGATGCAGTTTGGTACTTGTTTACAGGCTCCACATGTGATTGATGTTAATATGCAGGTTCTGACTAAAGCCCTCCAAGTAGCATAAGTTTCCAGAACTGAATGTATGATTTAACAGCCTGTTTGTTCCAGGTGTGGGCTGGGGCAATCTCCAATGGTCCTGGTAATTATCCTTTAAATGGAAGTTATAAAACAGCTGATTCATACTCATTCCAGGTACTGAGCATTATATCATTAGTTGAAGCTATTTTCGTCAGTAATTAGTTCTTCTACTGAGATGCATTGATTTCGTGTATTGTAAAACACAATTTTCTACTTTTATTTGAAGGATGCTCTAGGGAAATCTTTGGAAGAAATTTGCACTATTGTACCAGGTGGCTCGCTTGTATTCTTTCCAAGCTATAAGTTGATGGAAAAACTTTGCACGCGTTGGCGTGAAACTGGGCAATGGTCACGGCTCTGCCTGAAAAAGGATGTTTTTGTTGGTGAGTAACATCTAATCTTCTATGATCCTGTAGAAGCTGCTGCAACAAATCATATAGTGATTCATTTTTTTTTCTTGTAAAAAACTGTCCTTGGTCCAGAGCCAAGAGGAGGAGCCCAGGATGAATTCGATTCTGTTCTGAAGGGTTATTATGATTCTATACGCGGAAAGCACAGAATGATTGGAAGAAATAGACGAGCTAAGAAAGCAGGGCTTGTTAAAACTGAGAGTCAAGATGATTTCAAGAAAGGAGCTGCATTTTTTGCAGTATGTAGAGGAAAGGTTTGTTCTTTAAGGGAGCTATCCAATCTATGAGCATGACATGGGTACCTTTTACCGTTCATAGAATATAACAAAACCTTGATGACTAGAGAGTTTAAAGTCTACATGTTTCTCACGAATCTCACAGGTTTCAGAAGGAATTGACTTTGCCGACGACAACGCCAGGGCAGTGGTATCCTTTTCACTTCATTGCCTGGGAATACTGTTTCGTCATTTACTGTAGTCTTTTGCTGCAATAGAAGCTGTAGGATAAATAAGATTTACACTGCTCAATTTGGCTAATGAATAGGCTGTTAAACCTTGATGATTACACAGATAATTGTTGGCATTCCATTTCCAAACTTGTAAGAATCTACTTCCCTTTAATTTTTGTTTTCAGCTTCGTTCCAAATCATCTTAGGGGGACCAGTTTTCTAACGAGTAACTTTATTGCCAGGCATGATATTCAAGTCGGACTGAAGAAAAAATATAATGATACATACAAATCATCTAAAAACCTTCTTGGAGGGAGTGACTGGTATTGCCAACAAGCCTATCGTGCTTTAAATCAAGCAGCAGGTTCGATGCGATAACTTGTAGTCTGTCACTTGGTGGTTCCAGTCAATTTTAATAGCGTAACAGGTTAGTCTTCATGGTGTTTTTCTTTACAGGGCGATGTATCCGGCATAGGTTTGATTATGGTGCCATCATATTTTTGGGTACTTATCAGATTTTAATATTTGTGGATAGTCAGTGCTCAACTCTATTATAACGTTGTGTTTTCAGTTCAGTTATGATTGCTCTGAGGTTGCCTTGTTTTGATGTCCAGATGAGCGATACAAAGAACAAAGGAACAGAACGTCTATTTCAAAGTGGCTAAGGCAGTCTATTAAACTGTATGATAACTTTGAAGAATCTATGGAAGGGTTAAGATCTTTTTTCAACAGTGCCAAGGTTCATTCCCTTCCATGAAACTTTATTACATGGTGGTCCCTGGAAAGTGTTAGTATAAGTAGAATCATCAAATTCTTTGAGAATTGCATGCAGGAACGTGTTGACAGTAAGATGTTAGGGTCCCAGGATTATATGGTTGAGCATAACTTTTCCTTGGAAAACCAAAGCAAGGAATGCAAAAAGAAGGAAAGACAGATTCAGAGGAAATCGAGTCATGTAGAACCAAAAGTAAATTCTAAAAGCAAATACGTTTCCTGTTTTTTGGTGTATTCCTGAATTCATTTTGTTATTGATCATGAATTTGTGTGCAGGATATCACAGGTAGGAAGGTGGTGGACGTGGAGGACTATACAAGTTTGAATCCAAAATATTCTTCAATGAACGAAAGCAAGGGATTTTTGGATCACAAAGACTGGAAACCAAAAATAACTGAAGGTTCGAGATCAATGTGGCATTCTGGTGTGAACTATGGAGCCTCCATTCCACAATTATCATCTGGTGTACTACCTGCTCAGACATTCATTCAAGTTAAAGAGGAAGCTGAATGCCACAAAGAAATCATTGACCTTGAGTGCGGTGTCCAACCTGAGCCTGGGTAAATAAAATATCAATCAAGTTTTGTTTAATACTTACCTATAGTGACATGTTTGCTAGAGGTAGTTTCAACTACAGGAACTATCATCTCATGTGAAAATTGAATTGAAATACTGAAGAGTGTAAGGTTTATATTATACAGATCTTTCCGGAAGCTTAAAAAACTTTCATGTGCAGGTATTGTGAAGTGTCGTCGGTGACCAACTGTGATGAAGATCCCGAAACATCTTTTGTTAAGGGAACCTCTGGTATGATCAATAGTATTACTGAAGCCAGTCCATGTTCTTGCTCGAAGAATGAAAGCACTAGCCCAGCAACAGGTCTGAGATCTCCGAGGTCTCCTGATCAATTCTTGAAGGAGCATACATCTACTGGAAGTTTCAGAAGATCTCCTCTTGAAGCAGAGTCACCGTTGAATATGAGTGTTAATTCCCATGCTTTGAAGAGAAGAAAGTTTACTAGCTCTCCAGTCATTGACCTTGAAGAAGAAAACAGTAATGCTCCTAGTACTAAACCCACTGATCACACGAATTTCACAAGAAGATTTGAATTTGCGAATGGGAGTACTGAACCAAGATCCCAAAACGACAATATAGATGCTTTTCCGGAAGTGAATCAGAGAGAATTGAGGATATCTTGTTCACTCTGCAGAAATTCTTTAGGTCAACCTGAGAACCACTCATATCTCAAATGCATGTTGACTTCGTCGTCCAAGACATATTTGCTGTCTCTTCTGAAAGATATATTAGGAACTGGTTCTGCAGAAATGCCAACAAGTGTCTCAGTTGTCATGACAGATTGCTCAATGGTTAATCAGAGACTCTGCAGAAGTTTTGAAAGCTCAAGAGGTCAGGGTATTTGGTGTGAGCAAGATGGATGTGTTTTCCATAAAATCTTATGCCCTTTTTGCAGTATCTCAAATACGTGTCTCGGCGTGCAAGTCATGGCTACTGATCCATCAAATGTCCAGTTTCTAAGCAAAGTAAGCTGACTTTGGTGGTGATTTTCCAGAGTGCGAAGTATCCCTCATTTATGATTTGGTTCTTTGTCATGAATCTTGCTAATATCAAGACGTATGTTTTTCCTTGTTGGTAGATTTTGTTCTTTGCTGATCAAGTAGATGTCACCGAAGATGCTGCAAGCAAGGAAACAGCGTTACAGCATAAGGTATAATTGCATACCATACCGTTATATAGGATAAGCTTTTTGATGTTTCAGTTGGGAATAAATAGAGATGCAAATTTTAAACTGAACTAAAATGATTTTAATGCTTTTAGGACAAAAGCTTGACAGGAAATTCCACAAACGTAGCATCTAAAATGATGTGTCTAAAGATAGTTTTAGATCAATTTCCTTGTAGGAATAAACAACAATCTTTCTATTGGTGTTGTAGGAATCTCTTGATGTCACTAATACAGCTTTGGTGTTGTAGGAATCTCTTGATGTCACTAATACAGCTTTGGTGTTGTAGGAATCTCTTGATGTCACTAATACAGCTGTGGACAAGAGTGATGTGTTAAAGTCAATAGAGAGATTTGCGTACTCCCCAAAGCAACAGCAAGACTCAGGAGGCTGGAGGACTACAAAATCGAAGGTCCGTATAGACAATAACACACATTCCGGTTTCGAACCTCAATCTTGATTATCTTCATTTGTGCAGTTGAGACTACCAAAACGGAGTTTGCCAACAAGCAAGAAGTCCTAGAAAAAGGGTGTTTTCATGCATCAACAAGCTGAACCGGGATCAAGTTGTCGTAAACCAATGTGAACCAAGGAACTTTGCTCCTGTGGCTGAAGAAATTTTGGCTTTTGGATCTGAAAAGATGGCCAGCTTTGTCCGGAACTTGAACTTGTGTTCATGTCATGGCGATCCCCTAGCTCATGGTGAATTGGTCATGATACATATGTATATGTAAGACCAAAAATTTCCGTCAATCGAATTTTTCTACCGAGTAACTAGTGAGTTATTGGTAGCAAAAATAAAAGAGAGAAAAAATTTCGAAAATGTTTTCACTAGCTAGTAGCTACCAATTGAAAAGGTTTAATTAACTAACTGATTGAAAATGTTTAATTAACTATAGATCAAGTGTATATATGTATACTCTCTTGTCCCTTTGAAAATGCATTCTGGGTTATTGCCATGGAAATCCAAATTGCACTGTTTGATCATATCGTTGCTCAAATGCTCACTTGCTCTTCTTAGTATATTTGGAGAGCTTGGTTTTAGAAGTAAAAACAAAAACAAAACAAAAAAAAACAAAGGGATTGCTTTGTGTAATTGTGTGAACTGGTATCAGACTAACAAAAGATCAAGTGTTTCCTCCTTGAAATCACACTGAATTATAGAGTAGAAAGGGTTTTTATAAATGGCGAATTTGCTTCCGAAATGGGTTTTGATTAGCCCACTTCTGTCCATCGTCAGGGATGTGAAAGTGTTGCCGTTCCTTTTTAACAGATCAGAACTGTACGTCGTTTTTGAGATCTAAGCTTGCCACTGAAGCTAGATTTTGATTTTTCCCGCCCCCTTTTTCACCCATGGCAAAATTCTCAAAGGAGATTCTCGTACTTCATCATTTTTACTTCGTCACCGACCCCTACGGATCTCGACGGCGAAGATATGGTTTCCACAACCATCAAATCGGATTCGAAGCACGAAGAGAAACAAACCCTAAATTCCAAAAACCCTAAAAATGTCTACCAGATCGGAGGCCTTCAAGTGGAATTCCCTTATCAGCCGTACGGGACACAGCTCGCGTTCATGAGCCGGGTCATCTCTACGCTTGAACGTGCCCAGAGAGACGGTCACTGCCACGCGCTGCTCGAGTCGCCCACCGGTACGGGCAAATCTCTTTCCTTGCTCTGCTCTGTTCTCGCCTGGCAACAGAACTATAAAAAGCGGTTTCCAAAAGGAAACTTGTCTCGTCGGAATCATGGAGGTGAAAGTGAAACGCAACCCTCAGGTTCGTGTAAGATCCTAATGAAAATGCATCTATTTATATATATAGAGATATAGTTTTAGGTTTAGACTGGGGAAATGTTTAATTTTTCAGTTTTGGTGGTTATTTTTTGTCTGAACAGATACTCCTTTCCCTAGCAACGAGAAGCCAGATGATGAACCGTGTAGTTCCTACCATATTCTATGCTTCGTAAGCATTATTAACTTGTGAATAAAGTTATGTTTTTTTTTTTTCTTCTTCTTCTTATTGTTCTTGATTGTTTTTTTTTTTTTTTTTGGTTTGTTAGACGAACTCATGCTCAGATCGCTCAAGTCATTCGTGAGTATCGGAAAACTGGTTACAGAGTTCCCATGGCTGTATTGGTATGTCAAAAACTTGATCTTGCTCTCTTTTGTTGGAACTTGTTTTGTTTGTGATTTAACCGAAGATATATAATATCTATGTTTTTTTCTTTTTCATTTGTGTGTCCACCTTCATTGCATGTGTTAGGGTTCACGGAAACGTTACTGCACCAATCCTCATGTACAGGGGAAAGAGAATGTTGACGAAAAATGGTAAATTTTGCATCCACATTCATATTCAATCTCATTATCCGTTCCAGCAACGTCATATATAGCCTCTATACTAATAACATCTATTATTTTTCTAGTCGGTTGCTCCTAAAAGATAAGAAAAACAAAAACATAAAATGTCCTGAGTATAGGTGAGTTTTTCTTGATTATCTATGTTTCTTTGTTTTTTCAAATCATGTAATTGTGTTCCTTAACTTCCAGAGGCGTCGTTGCTGTCTTAGCATCACTTCAACAAAAAAGTCACGATGGGGTTCATGATATTGAAGATCTTGTAAAAATTGGAAATGATGTTAGAGGTTAGTTTTGGTTTCATTTTTTTTTTTAAAACTTCTAATCGATTGTACTTTTTCAGTCTCTTAATCTCTTCTAATATATTTTTTAAGGCTGTCCATATTTTGCTTCCTGGAGAATGTTGGAGGTCGCGCAATTGGTTTTCTGCCCTTATTCTTATATAATTGATATTGTCATTCGAGGAGGAATAAAACTTCATGGAGCGTATCTTTGACGAAGCACAGTAAGCTTCAGAACCTTCTTACTTTTGATTTGTCATGTTGCTGGTTAAGGCCGTCTACTAAACAATTTCACTGTTAACAGCAATATGGAAGACATTGCTCGTGAAGCAGGAAGCATTAACTTGGAAGAAGGGACTCTTTTTAGTATGTATTACTCAAACTATCACTTCAGCTATCTAATTAATGGTTTTGTTCACTGACATTTACTTTACTAACGTGGCATGAGTGTTATGCAGAATTGCGGAATGAACTAGAACAGATGAGTGTGGATGATCCAGAGACATGTCAACCCTTGTGTGACTTAGTAGAGGTAAGTCACAATCACGTTATCTACAACATAATATTCAGAGGCATCTTTGCTGATTACTTTTTTTTTCATATTGAGTAATTAAATGTATCTAGGGATTGATAAGCTGGATTCGAAGAAGAAAGGATTCGCTAGCAAAACGTGATTCTGAGCACTTTTTCTCTAGGTAAATTGACACTTTTTATTCCGTTCCTCTTTTATTAAACAGTACGTAGTCAAGAATCTTTAAATTTAAAATCCACAATGAAATGGTAGAGGCTACATTCTTCTTGCTTTTTCATACTTTGACTGTGACAACAGCATAAAACTTATAGCTATTTACCATGTGATAGTTGGACTGGAGACGAGGCTTTATGAGAGCTCGAGGAATCTAATATCACTCGAGGATGCGTGGAATGCTTAAATAAGGTAAGTCATTTCTTATGTTATATGGTTTAGGCCCAGAGGCCTCTATACGAAGCTTGAATGTGACATTGTGCGTATTGGTCAAGGCGATCACAAAATTAGACGAAACAGAAATAGAACCAGATATGCCTTATTTGAGTGGAATATCTGTCTCGACACTAAAAGGTTTAATTTTTTCTGCGTCTCCCTATCTTTACTATGCATTGATCTATCTGTAACAAAACTTTGAGGATGAGAGCTAATTGCACAATTTTCATGCAGAGTTGTTCACTACATTCACATACTTCTTTTCGAGAAATGGAAGTCACATCATAGATTACGAACTGGGTTTACAACGCTCTATTAAAAGAGGTACAAGTGAATTTTGTTTTTTATATAGCCGAATGTGTCAAAGCTTTACAGTGTTCATCGTTGCTCTCTCTTGGGATGCAGGAGATCCTTCTTCTGGTAAATGGACGCATACATTCAGTTTGTGGTGCATGAATCCGTCTGCTGTTTTCAAAGACTTAGCTGATCTTTCTTTATCCATCATTTTAACATCTGGGTAAGCAATACTCTATTGCTTCTGCAAAGAATTATGTCATCCTTTTGTTACTTCACTATATAAGGTCTTGTTAAACACCACTATATCATATTGATGATTACTTATATTTTGTCAGTTAAGTTTGACCACACTTTTGCTTGCAGTCCTATTTGTACTTTAACATTAAAACTGTGCATATATAGCATTCTACTCTTAACCCTTTATGGCTAGTGGTTTGCTAAAATTAAGTTTATGTTTCTTGGTTTTGAATTATAGGACTTTGTCACCGATGAATTCTTTCTCATCTGAACTTGGGATGCAGTTCGGCACTTGTTTAGAGGCTACGCATGTGATTGATGCTAATCTTCAGGTTCTGACATAAAGCTCTCCACTTATCAACAGTTTCCAGAACTGAATGTATGAATTTAACAGCCTCTTTAATTTTTTTTTCCAGGTGTGGGCTGGTGCACTCTCTAAGGGTCCTGGTAGTTTTCCTCTAAACGCAAGTTATAAAACAGCTGATACATATTCATTTCAGGTACTGGTTCTTTTTTCCTGTAAACGTGTTAACTTCTTGTACTGTGTGATGCAATATCCCAATGCTCTACTGTTGCTATGAAGGATACTCTAGGGAAATCGTTGGAAGAAATTTGCACTATCGTACCAGACGGCTCTCTCATATTCTTTCCAAGCTATAAGCTGATGGAAAAACTCAGCACACGTTGGCGTGAAACTGGACAATGGTCTCGGCTCTGCCTTAGAAAGGAGCTTTTTATTGGTGAGTAACATCTATCTTCTGTGATCATGTACAAACTGTTGCTAATTTGCTTCTTGTTGATCAAATAATTGTCCTTGGTTGCAGAACCAAGAGGAGAAGCCAAGGATGACTTCGATTCTGTCCTGAAGGGATATTATGATTGTCTAAGCGGAAAGAATAGATTGGTTGGAAGAAATGGAATAGTTAATAAATCAGGGACTGTTATAACTGAGGATCAAGATGATTCCAAGAAAGGAGCTGCCTTTCTTGCAGTATGTAGAGAAAAGGTTTGTTTTTTTTCTTTTCTTTTTTCTTGGTTTCTATTGTTGACGTTCATTGAAGGGAGCAATCCGAAAAAAACTGACGTTTGAGTTTAAATTCTACCGGTTTCTCACAGGTTTCAGAAGGTCTTGATTTTTCTGATGACAATGCCAGGGCAGTGGTATCCTTTTCAACGTCAATTACTTTAGTCATTTGCTCCAATAGAATAGTATTATACTGCTTAAATTGGCTTATGAGTAGGCTGTTTAACCTTGATGATTACTAACAGATAATTGTTGGCATTCCATTTCCAAACTTGTAAGAATTTCAATTCCCTTTTAAAATATTTCAGCTTCGCTCCAAATCTTCTTGTGTGGGGGAACAGTTTTCTTACGAATCACGTTTTTGCCAGGCATGATGTTCTTGTTGAACTAAAGAGAAAATATAATGATACATACAAATCATCTAAAAACCTTCTTGGAGGGAGTGAGTGGTATTGCCAACAAGCCTACCGTGCTTTAAACCAAGCAGCAGGTGCGATGTGATGATAACTTGCATTCTGTCACTTTAGTTCATGTCAAATATTAATACTGTCATGGTGTTTTAATTTTACAGGGCGATGTATCCGGCATCGGTTTGATTATGGTGCCATCATATTTTTAGGTAATAAACTATATATGTGGACTGTCACTACTAAACTCTATTAACAATGTAATTGTTTTGTTCGATTCAGTTATGATATCTCTGAGGTCGCCTTGTTTTGATGTTCCAGATGAGCGATACAGACAACCAAGGAACAGAGTGTCTATTTCAAAGTGGCTAAGGCAGTCTATCAAACTGTATGATAACTTTGAAGAATCTATGCAAGGGTTAAGATCTTTTTTCAACAGTGTCAAGGTTCTAACCACATCTCAATCTCTTTAATGAAACTTTGTTATATATATATCATTAAGTTTCATTGAGAATTTCCTGCAGGAGCGAGTTGACAGTAAGATGTTAGAGTCCCAGGAAAACCAAATCAAAGAATGCAAAAGGAAGGAAAATCAGGTTCAGAACAAATTTAGTCATGTGGAACCAAATGTACATTCTAAAAGCAAACACTCTTTTTTTGGTGGTGTTTTCTCATGAATTCATTTTGTTATTGGTCATGACTTTGTATGCAGGAAATGGCAAGAAGGAAGGTGGTGAACTTGGAGGACTATACAAGTCCGAATCCAAAGTATTATTTTATGAACGAAAGCAAGCCCTTGTTGGATCACAAAGACAGGAAATCAAAAATAGCTGAAGGTTCGAGATCCATGCGGCTTTCTGGTGTGAACTATGGAACTTCCACTCCACAGTTATCATCTCCATTCATCCAAGTTAAAGAAGAAGATAAATGCTACAAAGAAGTCATTGACCTTGAGTGCAGTGTCAAAACTGAGCCTGGGTAAAAATACTTACCGGGAATATATAAGATTCAAACTCTGAATTAAAATACTGCAGAATCATAATATACAGATCTTTTAACAAACCTAAGATTTGTCATGTGCAGGTATTGTGAGGGGTCGTCGGTGACCAACTGTGATGAAGATCCAGAAACATCTTCTGTTAAGAAAACCTTTGGTATGATCAAAGGTACTTCTGCAGCCAGTCCATGTTCTTGCTCAAAGAATGAAAGCTCTAACCCAGCAAGAGGTCTGAGATCTCTGAGGTCTCCTGATAAGTTCTTGAAGCGGCATATATCTACTGAAAATTCAGAAGATCTCCTCTTGGATCTGAGTCGTCTGTAATAGTAACTCCAGAGAGATACTCCATTGGTTATAGCCGTAATTCAACTCTAGAAGCAGAGTCACCTTTGAACAAAAGTGTTAATTCCCATGCTTTGAAGAGAAGAAAGTTTACTAGCCCTCAAGTCATTGACCTTGAAGAAGAAGAAGACAGTAATGCTCCTAGTACTAGTTTCACAAGAAGAATCGAATTTGGGTTTGAGAGTTCCGAATCAAGATCCCAAAACGACAATGTATATGCTTTTCCAGAAGTGGATCAGAGAGTGATGAGGATATCTTGTTCACTCTGCAGAAGCCCTTTAGGTCACCCGGAGAGCCACTCATATCTTAGTTGCTCGTTGACTTCGTTGTCCAAAACGTATTTGCTGTCTCTTCTGACATCAGGAACTGGTTCTGCGCTAATCCCAACAAGTGTCTCAGTTGTCATGACATATTGCTCGTTAGTTAATCAGAGACTCTGCAGAAGTTCTCAAGGCTCAAAAGGTATTTGGTGCGAGCAAGATGGATGTGTTTTCAATACTATCTTTTGCCCGTTCTGCAGTGTACCAAACACGTGTCTTGGAGTGCAAGTCATGGCTACCGATTCATCGAATGTCCAGTTTCTGAGAAAAGTAAGCTGGCTTTAATGGTGATCTGATTCTCTAGAGTGCGAAGTGTCTCTCATTTATTTATGATTTGCTTCATTGTCTTGAGCTCTGCTAATATCAAGATATGTATGTATTTACTTGTTGACAGATTTTGTTCTTTGCTGATCAAGTAGATGTCACAGAGGATGCCTCAAGCAAAGAAACGGCGCCAGAGCAAAATGTATTAATTCGTGCACGTCACATATATACCGTTAAATATTAGAAGCAATTTGACGGTTTATAAAGAGAATAACACACATTCCGGTTACATTCTGTTTACTGGTAGTTTAGTTTCCTAACCTCAATCTTAATTATGTTCATCTGTGCAGTTGCGAGTACCAAAACGCCGTTTGACAACACACAAAAATGCCTAGTAAACGGATGATTCCAGGGATCAACAAGCTGAGCCGGTCTGATTTATAATGAGGGATGGGCAAGGCAGCCAAACCGGCATCAAGCTGTCCGTAAACCAATGTGAACAGAGGAACTTTGCTCCTGTGGTTGAAGAACAATTTTGGCTTTTGCATCTGAACATGGCCAGCTCATGGTGAATTAATTATATAGACATACATAATTTATTGGATTATATGTTTATTTTTTCTCATCACTATTGGATACAAGTTTTTCCATATAAACCTTAACCTAAGTAAAAATATGAGTAAATTTAGTATTTGAAAACTCTCTAACTATGAAATCCACAATTTAAACAGTGATTTCTTAATACTATGAAAGCGTAGAGTAGACAGTTGAACAAACTATTATCTCCAGTTATTCCCTGTCATTCTATGAAGCACATTTCTATGCATATGATGTCTCTTTATATATTCAGTTCATTTCCTTCTCCTTTTTTTTTTTTCTTTCTGGGATTTGAATCTCTCCACTACAAGAATAATTGAAATTCTACTACAAAAATCAAGAATTCCACATTAGGCTTTTACTCAATTTTTTTTTTTTTGGTTGCCACACGCACACCATAATATATCCTCATATTGAGACAACCAAATATTGGTTAAGGTTAGTGAAAACAGAGAGAAGAAGAGAACAGAGTTCTTCACCGTTCTTTCACGTACTAATTTGGCTCTCTAGATTCTTCCCCCACTCAACAAATCCTCAATCCCTGAAACCACGCAAAAACAATTCACCACAGATTTTCATCTCTGTATTATACAATCATGATAAATACGCCATCTAGGCTTAAAAAAACCAAACAGAACCAAATTAAGATTCAAACGTGAATCAAAACAAAAACTTTCAAAATTAGTGTATGAAGATATTACCCAAATCAGGAGTCGGGAAGAGTATATGGTCGTAAGACTCAAACCCTCCAGAAACTTCACAACTCCTCCTCTCCTCCTCATCCTCAGTCGCCACCGCCGCATCATCCGCCTGGCCAGCCATGGTCGTCGTCGTTTGAGGCTGCTTTCGTTTGGACCGAGCTCTTCGGTTTTGAAACCAATTGTACACATTTTTCTCCGTGATCTGTCCATGTTCAGACAGCTCTTTCGCAATCTCTCGAACTCTCCGTGGATCTGGTGTTCCCCTTCTTTCCTCGTAAATCCTCTCAAGAATCTTTAGCTGCGTCGATGTCGGATTCCATCGTTGCCGTGTCGACATTCTATGACCACTTGACGATGCCACCATCTGATCAAAGTTTCCGAGCCCGGTTTGATTCATTCCTGTTATGTTTTCTCAGATCATTATCAGAAAAAAAATCTACTTACGTGAGCCTTAGGTTTCTTCGTTGTATATATATATATGTATTACCCTAATCGCAACCGCCACTATCGTTTAACAATTGATCGAGGTCTAATTAGCGTGTAGCTAGACGAAGGTTTATTAACGCCTAAAGGACATGCATGTTGAACCTTGAGTCAAGATTATGCAGCGAACATCTAGAAAAACGTTCAAGTTCGTCTGGCATATTCCAACCGCAAACGCAGTTTTCTTTCACTTTCTTAAACAAAACTAGCATCTCAATAAGTTTGGTCACAAAGAATGCATCTCATTCTTCTTAAAGAGTAAAGACGTCTTTTTACTATTACTGTTTACCCGTCTTTCGCTAAAGACTAAAGTAATTGTTTGTACAATCAGAAGAAACACAACAAAATATGAAGAAAGAGAGAGAGAGAGAGAGAGAGAGTTGAGAGAGTTTGTAACCTGATGAGAGAGGATTGAAAGAAGAGAGAGAATGGTGGAGGAGACGGAGGTTGTTAGAGATAACGACGTAAATGGCGATCTGCTTACGTAGAATCTCCATTTGCTCCTCCGTCATGACGCTACCATCATACTCACCGTTTTGGCTCTCTCTCTCCATCTCTTCCAACACTATGTGTTTGCTTTCTCCTCTTGCTTAGCCAATATGAGAATGAATGTGAATGATCGTAAGAGACAAATCTTTTGATTTGTTTATGATCGTAAACAACTTTTTTTTGGAAAGATGTCTTGACTAAAGATCAATTTGTCCGATTTGATATTTCTCAGTTAAGTTACCAGCTTTTTATAGGTTATTGGGGGATATAATTGGATTATAATTGATAATATATTAAATACTAATTATGTGATCATATAACCATCCGATTCGATGTACACTTTATGTTAACTAGTAATCAGTATTGAAGAGTCCATGTGTAGTAATTAAAAACAATAAAAATGAAAAGCTTAATTAGAAGCAAATTTGAGGTTTCAGTTGGGAATAAGCGAAGATGCAGATTTCGAAATTGAGCTGAAATGGTTTTAATGCTTTCAGGACAAAGCTTGACAAGAAATTCAACAAGGTGACTAAATGGAATATTAGCTATTAAAGTGGGGAGAAGATAATTGACAAAGTAACCAGATGTTGTTTAAATGAAAACGGTGAAATCTTAAATTATGATAATCCGCACAAGTATGTCATCGATTCATGGATCCTACACAAAGGCGGCTCCAAAATTTTCACGCGGGATTTAGTCTTTGTTCAGATGCATGATTGTGGAACACGTATCGTGTATAATTTTTTTTTTTTTTTTGAATTGATATCGTGTATTCAAGCCAAGTCAACTAAATTGCCTGTGCGTGTGTGTTGTTCACATCATTTTCATTCTAATCCAGAAGATGATGTGGGCACATCAATTTTTGAAACACAAAATCTACAACAATTAAAAGACTTGTTAAAGTCACACACATACACAATAACGTCTTTTTAATCGAGTCAACTAAATATTGCTTAGTTTAAATGGAAAAAGAGAGCAGAGAAAATAAGAAATGAGATTAGAGATCTTCATAGTTTTTTATGCTAAAGATCATCATATATACGAATTTTGCTCTCCAGAAATCTCTCCTTTACTCAGCAAATGCTCAATCCCTGAAATCACAAAAACACAAAAAGCCCACCACATGTCTTTACCTCTTTTACTTAATCATTAGGGGGTAAACATCAGAATAAAACCAGAAAAAAACCGAAATTCATCAGCCCAAAATCCAACCACATTTCATCATATTATGTTAGAGTTTTTTTTAATATACCAACCATAGAAAACGAAATTTATTTAAAATCAACATTTTTAGTTTGAATAAATTATATTAAATACGCTAAGAGAATATAATATGTTTAATTTGTAATTATATATGTTTTTAACCAAATCCAAACCGAACACAAACCAGATTTGAATTCTAGAAAAAAAAAAAAAAAAAATCGAACCGACCGAACTTAAAAACCAAATGCATAGGAATAAAAATCATATGAAAAAATCGCTACAAAGTACAAAGGTAACAAAACTAATATCAAAATTTCAAAAAAAAGAAATAAACAATTTACCTAAATCAGGACTCGGGAAGAGTATATGCTTATAAGACTCAAATCCTCCAGAATCTCCACAAAGCGTCCTCTCCTCCGTCGTCACCGCCGCATCTTCGGCCACATCAGTCGTAGTCGTCGTCTGAGGTTGCTTTCGTTTGGACCGAGCCCGCCGATTCTGAAACCAATTGTAAACATTTGTCTCCGAGATCTGTCCGTGTTCAGACAAATCGGTAGCGATCTCTCTAATCCTCCGCCGATTGGGTGTTCCGCTTCCTTCCTCGTAAATGCTCTCAAGAATCTGAAGCTGCGTCGATGTCGGAGTCCATCGATGCCGACTTGATATCTTATGAGCGCTTGATGATGCCCTCATCGGATCAAAGTATCCACCGCTCATTGAATTTGTTCCTATACGTGAGCCATAAGTTTTCTTCCAAGCAAGCCAAAAAAAAAAAAAAAACTGATAGAATTGTTCCGTCAAAGAGATCATTAAATGTAATCGCAAAAGTTTTTATTAGCAATTATCCTATGTCAAACCCGTAGCTAAACTATCTTGTAAGAACATTTTTGAACCTTGATTAATTCATGCTCATGCAGCTAACATTGAGAAAAGCGTTTGTGTTCGTGTATTGTATACCAAACGCAAACGCACTGTACACTCTCTTGCACTAAAGTAGCAGCTCAATATTTCAGGTGTGTGATTGGACAAAACGTTTGCAGCTCAAAACGCTGCGTTTCAACCACTTGTTTTTACTGTTTACAAAGAAACTCATATGGTCTAATGGAAAAATCGAAGACATGTAAAGTAAAGTGGTTGTCACTTGTCAGTATATCTGAAGAACACACAACTATACACACATGTATATGTGTTTGTACAGAGGATGAGAAAACAGTACCTGATGAAAAAGAAGAGAGGGAATTGTGGAGGGAAACGAGCTGGTCACAAATAACGGCGTAAACGGCGATCTGTTTACGGAGAAGCTCCATTTGCTCCTCCGTCATAACTCTTACATCATACGCACCGTTTTGGCTTCCTCTCTCCATCTCTTTCACCACTTTGCTTTCTCCTCTTCCCTTTTAATGTAGAAGACAACATGAGAAAGTGAATGGTTTATATATCTTTTTTTTATTAATGAAATAAAGGATCTTTAGTTTATTTGTTACCGTTATATTAAACACTTTTTGGGAAAGATCTCTTGACCAAAGATCAACTGGCCTGATTTGTTTTCGTTTTTTTTTATAATTACCGGTTTATTAGGGTGTTTAGTGATATAAGTGACAAGTGACACCCATCCAATATAACATTTTCTTAGAATGGTTAGAAATTAAAAACATTAGAACATTGTGGTCATAACTACGAAGTACTAACTAGGATCGATTTTGGTCAACCGTGTTCACTATATAGTTGGAAAATTTCAACATTTCATTCGAGTTTTACGGGTCAATCCCCTATTTGAATAAGGAACAAAAAAAACGTTAATCCAAAAATATTCAAGTTGATCTTAATCCTATGTGTTGATGACATAATAACTCACCACGCTTATATATACTCCGGGTACTATTAAATCAGTAGTTTTGCTTGTATTCGTAGAGAAACGCAATTGTGTATTTTACTTTATATATAGTGGTTAGGTAAAGCCGGAAGCAAGGCTTAATCACAGCATAATATAGAATATTATCCTTGTGACTACGAATTATTAAAATTAATAAAAGAAAAGAGAGCATGCTTATGTTTTCTTTACTTTGTTGTGATTAAGAAGAAAATTTATGATTTTACCACCGAAAAGGTACTTTGATATAAATATCTTTTATTTTTGTCAAGAGTTTTGATATAAATATCTACTTTTAAAAATAGTGTGTTGTTGTTACGCGGATTCCGCTCTCAATCTTCACTTTTGTCAACAATGATCAAAATATAACATAGTTCTTATATAAAAAATAAGGCTTTGATATCTTTTCTTAGAAAAATGTGAGAAGAGAACAAAATCATCATGGCGTTGGTCATTCAAAAGAAGGCCCTGAAACAATTTAACTAAAGTCAATTTAACCAAACAAAAAGTATAGGCATGGATTACACTTTTTGGAACACCTTGATTAAGAGCGTTTCAATGGTCAACGCCAATACGATCACGATTCACGAAAGGAAAACTGTGTGTAGCATAGACACATACATGAATTGTATTGAGAATTCATTAAAGATTAATACTACTATTCTCTAGGTTATAAGCAACCATACCAACATTCAACTACAAAAATAGGCATAAACTAAAAAGAGCATTAACGATTATAACATACTTAGGGATAAAAAGTTATATAGAGCTGCAAGTCTCTCATTCTACATTCACTTTTCCATTACCCGTAGAACCAGTGGGAGAGAGTGGTAGTTTAATAAAAACATCAGAAAGGATAAAAGAAGAAAAAAAAAAGACACATTTTAACCAGCCTCGTTAACATTTTAAGATTAAAAAAAAAGAGAGATAAAACATCCGAGAGATCCCTGCAGCGTCCTCCTATATTATGCTACCAACTTCTTAGTCATCGTCTTCCTCCTACATATGAAACAGAGTTAATACAGAGCTTATATATGATAGTGTGCAGATAAACTAAAGAAACAACCATTTACAGAGCTACATGCAAAGGCAATATACAAACAATGATGTAAAAGCACTTTACCTCATCACTCCCATCCTCGGCGTCATCCTCATCATGAACCTCAGACACTGACTTGTCAGATTCCTCATCCTCCTTGGGACCTTCCTCCTGAAAAACACCAACACATCATTTGTTGGTCATTCTTGGATAAACCAGAACATGCTCTGCTGATTAATAGAACGAGTTATGTTGTATACTATTATTACTATTTACCTGTTTCTTATTGTAGGCGTTCATATTCTTCTCATACTCAACCTTGCGCTTGTCAGCCTTAGCTTGGTAGGGAGCCTTCTCCTATATTATCGAGAAAAAAAAAAAAAAACAAAGCTTTAGAAATACTCAAGCATTTAGCATTTGAGATAATACAAAACTATCATCTACAAGATTAAAGAACGTACAGAGTCTGACAAGGATTTCCATTTCTGTCCACCAGCTTTTCCAACCTATTAACCATTGAAGATCATCGTCAATATAGCTTTAAATAATCAAGCTTACAGTACAACACATCAAATAGATAGCAAGATATAACACTCACAGCAGCAACAGATTTGTTGTTTGGGTGTTCCTTCTTGTAAGTCTCACGGAACTCCTCCCTTCACATCATAAAATCAGCAAAAGTATTACCACAAAGAATCAAATTAATTTATGGTTTACTAACTGGAATTATACAGTCAACGCAAGTATAACATCTATAACAAGTTATGAACAATTACTAACATAAATTTGATCAAAGGTTCCGACTCAAAGCTAGCAAACTAAGGTTTCTACTAATCTCACTTTCAATGGATTCTTAGAACGCAGGAAAGTAATTCCATGGAAATCAGAGGCGGACGACTAAACCGGGAAAATAGAGGGATCAGAGACGATGATTACATGAAAACGAAGAAGGCACTGGCTGGCCTCTTTGGTTTGTTTGGATCCTTAGCAGCACCTTTGCCTCCCTTAGTAGGCTTCTTGTTCACAGAGAGCCTATCAACACCGCAAAATCAAGTAAGAAACGCTTCCAAAAAAAATTACGATGACGATATGAACAGGATCTGGAATATAGAGATCTAGGAACTAACTAGAAGACAAAGAAAAAGAGAATGAATCGATCTATCTACTTCATACTTACTTGGAGCTCCTGGTTTCAGTCTTTGATTTACCTCCTTTCATGAATGATTCTGCAGGCAAATCACAAAGATCAGCGAACACAGTACAAAATAGGAAACGAAATCAAACAGAGAAAACCTTAGCAGAGGAATAGAAAATGAAATAACCGAAGATAGTATCCTATTCGATTCTAATCGCAAAACAAAATATGGAGAAATTTTTTGACCTAGAGAGATCGATACGCAAACAATCGAAAGGAAATTGAGATATAAAATGGAAAATCAACAGGAGTATCGAAAGAAACAAAGGAGGAAATTACCTTGACGAAGATCGTAGGGTTTGAAAATGGGAGAGAGAGTGAGTAAAGGATTACTAAGTGTTCGTGATTTTACGCTTTGTGAACGATTCGAGTGAGAGGCTAAGAGAAGAGAGGGCTAGTGGGGGGTTGTAAATATCTTGTGAAAAAGAACTGAATTTCAATTTCGCACGAAATTAAAAAATCCGAGGGGTTTAGGCGGGATTTCAAATATATTTTGCCAGGTCATCGATCCGAGTGATTTGTATTCATTGGCTTTCTCACTTTCTCACGCTTATAGCCCTTAAACTCTGCCTGTGTGTTTTCTTGTGTGCTTGCTTGTATTTTTGTAAATAAACGCATATTATATCATTATTAATGGAAAACGGTATATATGAAAGCGATATAATAGATTTGTTAGGTCAAATTCGAAAGCGAGGCATAATGACAGAATAATATTCGAATCTTCACTTCCCCAAGCAGATTGATTAAATCAAATATCCACGTATCTTATGTTGTTTGATATCCTTTTGAGCATTATGAAAAGAACACTCTACATGAGGATTCTTGGAGAAAATTAACTCATCATGCCGTTGTTTCAATTTACAAAGTTGCTTAACTCAAAAGTCGATTCAACCAAACAAAACAAAATAGAGATAGATTACAGTATTACACTTTGCTAAACACCTTGATCAAGAGCGAGTTAATGGTTAACTCAGATCGACCAAACTAACCAATATTACTCAAGGAAAGCATTCTGTGAGAAAGATTGAACATGATTTATGGCGAGAGCATCTAAGAACCATTAACACCATACTAGAATGATAGATTTAACATCATACATAAAATTGGAAAAATGAGAAAAGGTATAAAAAGTGAATCGTTATATAGAGCATAAGAGTACAGAGCTGCAAGTCTCTCTTTCCACCATCTAAACATTCTACAATTCACTTTCTCCATACAGTGGGGAGGTTGTGTGGAAATACCAAAACGAAAAGAAAAGATTATAAAAACAAAGACCCATTATAATCAGCCTCATTAACATTTTAAGAAAAGATAAAAACCAGAGAGATCTTGCAGCCATCTATACTAATGCTACCAAACTTGAACTTCTTAGTCATCGTCCTCCTCCTACATTTGATTATACCTCCAAAGTAACAGAGTTAGAACAAAGATACTTATATATGCAATGATGTGAAATAACTAGAAAAGAATCAACTACTCACCTCATCACTACCATCCTCAGCATCATCCTCATCATTGACCTCTGACACTGACTTGTCAGATTCCTCATCTTCCTTTGGACCTTCCTCCTGAAAAATGAAACATATCATGATTGGTCAACAACGCAAATAACTATCAATCTCAAAAACTGACATTCAATTGACACTTAATTACCAGTTTCTTGTTGTATGCTTTCATGTTCTTCTCGTAATCAACCTTGCGCTTCTCAGCCTTAGCAACATAAGGAGCCTTCTCCTGAAATATTTATAAAAACCCAGGTATTAGACTTACTTAAGAATCGTGACATTTGTGATCATTAACACAATTTAACTAAGCTAATTTATAGAACGTACAGCGTCTGACAAGGATTTCCACTTGTCTCCAGCAGCTTTTCCAACCTGTTTGTTCATTCAAAACTCATCATCAGTACACATTTGACAATCAAGGTAAGGTGATGGAAGAATTTTTAAAGATGAAAATAAATTACTCACAGCAGCAACAGATTTGTTCTTGGGGTGTTCCTTCTTGAAAGTCTCACGGAAATCTTCCCTTCAGATCACAAAAGTCAACGCCAGTGTTAACACACAGAATTGAAGTAGAAACAATAACAGCAATAACAAACAAAAAGATAAACGATCATAACCAAATCAAATATCGGAATAATAACAGCAATAACAAGATGTTCGATGAACCATGATTGGATACTTTTGAATCGACCATATCAGACAAAGGACTCTACTAATCTCACCTTGAAAAGACTCGGGGTAGCCAGATGAAAAAACTTTTGTACGGCAAAAAAGTTTTTATCCATAGAAACTAGAGAACACAGAAAAGGGAAGAATCGATAGGCGATGATTACATGAAAACGAAGAAGGCACTGGCTGGCCTCTTTGGTTTGTTTGGATCCTTCGCAGCCGCTTTGCTACGGCCTGCTCCTTTAGCCGGCTTCTTGGTCACAGAGAGCCTAGATTACAGCAAAATACAAGTTAATAAGGCTTCAAAAAAAAAAAAAAAACGATCGCGATATGAAAACGGATCTACAAATTCCAGAGATCTAGCTGAAACTTACTTGGAGCTCCTGGTTTCAGTCTTTGATTTACCTCCTTTCATAATTGATTCTGCGAGCGTATCATAAGATCAGCGAAGAAACTAGTCAATAACTATAGAAACCACAAACATCCAGAACAAACAAAAAAAACAAAACTAGAGAATATTCGTTTTTATACACAAGCGCGATCATAGAAGCTTATCAATACGCATGATCGAGAGGACTTCTAGATGATAGAGAAAACTATACAAGTACTTCTAATATCGCAAACATACGAACACAGAGCTAGCAGGAAATTGAATTTATGAAACATCCGATTCAAAACACGAAAGCAGTATGTGTAAAATAATTGTAATCAGAACTGATCGCGGAATACACAATCGAGACGAATTCGATATAGAAACTGGGAAAAACGAAAATCAAAATACGAAACGAAGAAGATCGGAGGAGCTTTACCTTGACGAAGAACGTAGAGTTTGAAGAGAGAGAGAGCGAAGAGGAGAACAAAAGGAATTGTACGTGTTTGTGATTTGTACGCCTTGTGGAGAGATTCAAGTGAGAGGCCAAGAGATGAGAGGGAGGGGGTGCTAGTGGGGGCTTGTAAAATATCTTCGGTCAATAAAGGATATTGAAAAATTGAATTTCGCACGAAATGTAAAAAACTGAGGGGTTTAGGCGGGATTTCAAAGATATATTGCCACGTAATCGATCCTAGTGGTTTCTCCTCATTGGCTGTGATACATTCAAGGTTTAATCCCTGGCCTCGCTTATGTGTTTTCTCATGTGCTTCTCCTCTGCGTGAGTATTCAGCGGCAAGTGTTATGACTCATTGCCCTTTCCTTATTCCAGTCCTTATGTAATTAATTTTAAAATCATAGCAATATAATTTTACGATGTATATATTTATTCGCAATTAATATCTCCTTAAAGTATTCGGTTCGGTTTTCTGCGTCGGTCATCCGGTTAATTTAATAACAAACTCGGCTCGAATTGATTCGGTTCGGTTCGGGCCACCTTTTGATTTCTATTTTTCTAGGGCTTCTGTATGAAAGTGTGTATATAGGAGCTCCTTCGTCGCCGTCATAGTTATGGCGGACTTTGAGCCTTGAAATCTTCCATGGATTTCTTACCGCTTTTAGATATCATCTTCGAAATTAGGTTTTCATTAAGTTGCAGTTTCTAATTGTTCAATTAGGAAAGGCTTTTTTGGTGAATGGTGCAGTAAATAGCAAATGATTAGATTTTTTTTGGTGGCATTAAGATTTAGAACTTAATGGTGCAAGAGAAGAGAGCAAATGATGGGATACACTTGATCTCTGAATTTTACAGGTAAGTTCGCTTGTTGAAAACTATCGATCTGCTGATGCTCTCTCACTCTGCACCGGATTAAGTTTTTATCACTGAGATTGATGTCCGCCGTTGCTGCTGATGAAAACATGATATGAAAACCAGGACTAACATATCTTTCTCATCCACTATTTTACAGTTAAATTCAAAACGTTTTATGTTTTTGATATGTCTCAAAAGCATAACAACATCAAAACACTTTGCTTTAGTAAAATTCAATCTCTGTTTGGTTTCACGATTGATGATGCTTACATACACAAACTGGGAAAAGGGCTAAAATCAACCCGAAAAATCAACCCGAACTAAATTTGATGTGAAAAAAAAATCTAAACTAAAATACGGTGCTAATTGCTATCTGTACTATATAAAAATTCAAATTTACAATGGGTCAAAATCTATCTTGACTTTAGTCAACTGTTAAAAAATGCTGACAAGGTTTGACGGAGTATGACATGGCAAGAGATACGTCAGCTTACTAAAAACGACACCGTTTTGGTTGGATGAAAAATCAAAAAAATTGTTGTTCCATGAGAGATTTTTGTTATTTAATACACGCATATCTATATATACGGATGTATTTCTCTTTTGTCGATGGTAAAAATATATATAAAAGCCGTCACCGATTTGGATAATTTGATTTTTTTTTAATTTGTATCCTTTAGTTATTTTCAAAATCAATACGTGTGTATCTTAAGACTATTTATTATATGTTTAATATAAAAGTATATTTTAAATAAGAAATTAGTTTGTAAAAAATAATATTAAAATATAATAAATGTGTAACATTTATATTGTAAATGATGATATGTGTACTTAGTAGTAACTTAATATCTATTAAAATATAGACATATCATAACTATATTCGACATTCACTCTCTCTTTTTTTTTTTTTCTCTAAAATCACACAAACAATATATTTTTCTTTCTGAAAATCAATATCTGAAGTTGACAGTAAAAATCTGTTTTTCCTCTAAAATCAATTTTTTTTTTCGTTTATAAACAAAAATAACATTGTCATTAAATAAATAAAAACAAGTTATCCGAGTTGGTGAAAGCTTTTATATATATATATTCCATCGACAAAAGAGAAAATATCTGTATATATAGATATGTGTATACTAAATAACAAAAATCTCTCATGGCTCAGTTGGTTCACGTGCTTGTCTATGGTGCTCTGCTTTTCAGGTTCAAATCCAGTAAGCTGACGTGTCTCTTGCCATGTCATACTCCGTTATACCTCGTCCTAAATTTGAATTTTTATATAGTATAGATAGCAATTGACACTGTATTTTAGTTTAGATTTTTTTGGGCACATCAAATTTTAGTTCGGGTTGATTTTGGCCCTTTCAAATCTACACAAACTACCCAAAAAAAATAAAATAATAATAATAACCTATGAGTCTAAAGTGTTGGTGATGACAGAAGCAAAATAGTATTCTTCACTAAATACAGATGCAGTCAAGCATCAACGATGTAAATGACTCGGCTAAATGCAAAGCTTCCTTCACTTGAGAAGCATTCGTCCCCTGAAACCAGTTGAAGAACGATCAGACTAGACCAGAGACCAGATTTTTGTCAAACGAAGACTTAAAAGAAGAAAGAACAAGATCATGAACATACATACCGGTCCTGATGCGAGACCACCTTTCGCTATCCCGCATTTCCCTTTGAGAGGACCCGAGAGAACTGTACACCATTCAATCACATCTAATTTCTTGAACCGATCCGGAACTCCTGCACAGAACACCGCCTTGTTTGTGGTTTCATCTGTGCTAAACATCATTACCGGCATTTCCTACAACCAAAAGATACACAAACAAAACCTTACTTCAACAACAAGTTTCTTTTAGCTTCTCTGGAGCAAAACATGGATACATAATATTATTAATACCTTCTTTTCCATGATTTGTGAAACGGCCTCTTAGGGCTGCTGAATCAAGACCCACGTCAAGCTGGACAATGCAAAAGGTCTTCTCATCTGCTGCTGCTGCTGACTCGGCTGCCTCTGTTGCTTCTTTGACTGCTTTCCGGAGGTTTTGCTCTGCTCCCTCCTTGTGAGCTTTTCTCATTTTATCCTGAAGTAGAGCCATTTTGGCTATGAGATGTGCCATGTTTCCTGCTGGGATAACTTCGGTAACAACCCGTCTTTTCAAAGACGTAACTTTCTCATCCAATCCAGCCCCTTCCGCTTTGAATGCATGCATCCTCTACTTCTTTTTCGAGCAAGGACGCAAGATTGATCGCGTTTAAAGCAGGTTCACCAGTGAAAGCGGTTATGCTGTGAATACCTCCACTCCCTCCTCTGATACTATAGCAAACGCTTTGGCTTCGCGCGTGTTTCTTATGTGGGTTCCTGGAACATTGTTTAAAAATAGTCAATACTTCGAAGAATAAGAAAATATGATTTACTGGATCAAAAATAATCAAAAACTGACCTCCACAAAACTCAGAGGAAAGTGATGACCATTCATCATTTTCAGGATCAGCCAATAGATCTCCAACTTGTCTCCGAATTGCCACTACTCTGACAGGATCATAGGAGGCCTAAAAAAAAGTGGAAACAGAGAAGAAGAAGCAACAAAAAAAAAGCTTTAATATTTCGTAGAAACTAAACTGGAAAAAAAGAAGCTAGCAATAGAATTTGATTTTAACATCTTACTTCCCCTAATGCTTCTCTTAGACCCTTGATGCGTTTAGCTTCAGAAAGCGGTTCTTTCTTCGAAAATACATCAAGTTCTTCATCGATCTTTTTATTCACCATAGAGTCAATCTTTCTCAAATCTTCAGGATCAACAGGTTTACCGCTGGAAAAATCAAACCGCAGTTTTTCAGGAAGAACTATTGACCCCTTCTGTTAAATATGATCCCCAAGCACTTTCTGGATTCATGAGAAACACATACTTTTTACTACTATTTGAAAACTAATTTTTAAGATTTTTGATAACAGAAGCAAAAAGGCAAGCATACATACACACCTTCAGGGCGAAATTCAACATATGTGTACAAGTATGATTGTTAGCGATGAGTTTACGTCACTGGTAGTCAACCTGCACGCATTAGACAAGATTAAAAAAGAAAATAATTTAGATGAGAGTAACAACACGTAATAGTCAAATGAGACAAATTACCATATAAGGGAAAATGATTTACCTTGCAGGTCACTCTATCTCCCACCGATACTCTTCCAGTTTTACTAGAGAGATTACCACTATGAAGAAAAACCCCTTAACTGTTTTCACACTGCATACTTTGAATGTACCAAATGATCCTTCCATAAGCCCTATGTCAAAAATCTGACCACCACCCTGCTCAGCATGAAAAGTTGTAGATGCTAATACCAGACCTACTTCGCCGTCACCGGTAAAACTTTCCAGTAAAGCAGAGACATTGTAGATAGCTTTGACTTCAGTCTCGTGATCCTGCACCAAAATCCGGCAGGATGATTGCGCATTAGAAGAACTATATAACACTATATGTCCTAGCTTCGTTCTTTCAAATTAGATGTCTGGATAAATAAAACAAACCTGGAATCAATTGTATTTAAAAGAATCATCTGTTGCTGGGAGGCCAGCTTTTGAGCAACGTTGATGTAGAGTCAACATCCATAACAATGGCAACACCAGCTTGCTGCAAAAAAAAAATACATGAGACATTAGCAGATTCGAACCTTAGTAGTGACATTAACATGGGCTGAGACTCGGTTCAAATACGGCCCACAAAGGTTGTAAAGACATTTTTCTCAGCCCAATTACGAATCAGCCCAGCCAGGTCTACGTTACACTCTCCGCACGTGCGAGTTCACACATGTAGAGTTTTTTTTTTAATTGTTTTCTTTTAAAAAAAAAACGTAAGAAAACACAAAACCAAACGCCTGTCTAGGAGGAGAAAAGAAAGGGGGAAGAGAGAGAGAAAGAAAGAGAAAGAGAGAGGAGAGAGAGAAAATGGGTGAGGTAGCAGATACAATGACGAAGAAGAAGAAGAAAGGGAGGCCATCTCTTCTAGACCTTCAAAAGCGAGCTATCAAACAGCAGCAATTACAACAGCAGCACAGAAACCACGATGAACCCGTCGATGACCATAGATCCGGTTCCAAAAACCCTAATTCTCTCAATCAAGCTCCCAACTCCGGCAGCCGATCCAGGCGCCGGAACCCTAATCCTAACGGCGTTTCCTCCGATTCCCCCTGGATCAAGGACGATGATGACGGAGAAGAGGAAGACGATGACGAGCGCCGAGAGAAGAAACACCGGCTCTTACACGGATTAAACTCCCACTCCCGTCGACATTCTCCTAATTCCCAATCGGGAGGTTCCGATCTGAACCTCGACGACACTCCCGAGGCCTCCGTCAATAGACGGAAGATCGCCGGCGGCGCTCACGGATCTGGTTATACGGTAGGAGCTGAATTCCTTGTGCATCAATTTCGTTTCCTAATTCGAGCCAGATATTGATTTAATTCTTAAAAAAATGAAAAATTGAGTTTATCTGAGAAATTAGGGTTTATAAATATATAGTTGGGATTTCGCGCGTTTGTTTATTGTGTTCGTCTTCTGCTTGAATATAGAGATGAGTGTGAGTGGATGAGTTTGACTGAGTCGGGTTTTTTTCCCTCCTAATTATTATTGGTGGGAATTCATAATTCAGCTTTTCTGTAAATAATTTTCCCTTTTTTGTCTTCGTCAAGAAAATTCTTGGGTCTTTATTCTCTCGCTTTAATTTGCAGAATTTATGTGATTTTCCCTATGAATATTATATTTTATTCTTTGATCTCTGGTGCTTAACTCGTAGTTTACCTGAATTAATGATACCCTTGCACTGAAACCATCATGTCTGAGACAAGTTTCAATTTTGTCTTTTCCGTAATATCAATGTCTAAGTTTACTTTCAGTTTGTAATTCACAGACTTGTACTGTGTCTTCTTCGATTCTTGCGTAAACATGAACATGAACAGATCTACTTGTTTTCCTTTGATTTGCTGGAGAAAAAAAAAACCCCACCTTTTTTATGGATTCTTGGAGTTGATGATGATGATAATCTGATGATAATCCTCTGCAGGGAGAAAAGGCTTCGAAAGCGACAGACGTTCTTCAAGGTACATATAAAACCCTTTCTTTTTCAATTTCCTTTATTTAATTATCGAAAAGGCAATAAACCGAAATTCGTACGAGGATTAAAAAGCGAGATTTTTCCGCTGATTAAATTAAAAATTTGGTTGTCATTTACATGTGGACAGGTTCTCCCGTGGAGTCTGGCCCCACTACACCTTTGCCAGACAAAAAGTTGTTGGTGTTCATCCTCGATAGACTTCAAAAGTGTGTTCATTTCCTTGCTCTCTGGCATCGTCTCCTTTTTTTGTATCGTGGTTGAAGTGATTCCTACTGGGTAATGGTTTTTTTGATCCATGTGTTGTTTTGCAAACTCTTGTAGGAAGGATACTTATGGCGTTTACTCAGACCCAGTTGATCCTGAGGAGGTGACTGTCCTTTTTGTTGATTGTAAGCTCATTAATGTTACAACAATTCAGCTCGTCTTATCTGTGTTCGGTATGTGTTAACAGCTTCCTGATTATCATGAGATTATCACGAATCCAATGGATTTTAGCACTGTGCGGAAGAAATTAGACTCTGGAGCATATGCCAGTTTAGAACAATTTGAGGTAAGTCTTGTACTTTGACTCCATTGGACTCCTCGATGCTTTCCTTGACATTTTTGATTCGTTCGAGTTGGTTACACGTTTGCTTGGTCCTATGCTAAGTTTATCTGGTAGTTACAGAAAGGTTTGTTACTTGGCATCTTCATTTCTACACTTTCTTGCGGCTGTTTAAGGTTTATGGAAACAATACTTGATGTTGTTTGCGTGCATGCTATGTGTAGTTTAGGGTGCAGACCTAAGGCTGTTTCAAAATTTGTGTTTCGAAGTAACTATTGTCTGCTTAGACTCAAATTTGTCTCCCAGTTTGAATATATGTAAAATCGTGCGGACTTTGGTGTTGGAGCAGGTTTTTTTTCCTCTCTGATAAGTCTCGCTTGCTCATTTTGCAGGGAGATGTGTTTTTAATATGTACAAATGCAATGGAATATAATTCAGCAGACACTGTATATTATCGACAGGTATGTCCTTCAATTTTATTTCTTTTTTCTAGTCTCCTCTTCTTTCGATATTTGAGCAGGTCCTTGCTCGCTCCCTCCAAGTGCGAGATAGCTACAACACAGATAATATACAGATAATTGCAGTGAAGGGAGCGTTTCATGTTTCTGAAAATAGTGTGTCATTTTGGCTTGTAGGCACGGGCTATACAAGAGTTGGCGAAAAAGGATTTTGAGAATTTAAGGCAAGACAGTGATGATGAAGAACCACAAAACCAACTCCAGCAGCAGCAACAGCAGGACAAGCCAAAAGTTGCCAAAAGAGGCCGTCCGGCAAAGAAACAGCCTGAACCATCTTCGATAGACCGTACTGCTTCTGAAATTTCAGCTGATGCGCTCATTCCTGGAGGAGATAGCTCTAATAAGTTTTCTGGTGCTTACAATCTAAGAAAGACTCCTCCTTCATACAAATTTCGTCAAGCAGAAACATCGGTTTGGAACAATCATAACAGCGAAACCCAAAGTGGCTGGTCGATAGATTGGGAGAATGAGTTTCCACGTAAAAGAATCTCTACTTTTGCTGTACCTTCTTTCAGACTTTTTTTTTTTTGTTCCCTTGGCAAATATGAACCATCTTCTTGGTCTCTCTGCAGCTTCGGTTGTGAAGGCGGTTAACAAATATGGGATGAAACATTTCAATGTCGATGATAACAGACGCGATACCTACAACCACCTCTCGACTTCTACCCAAGAGCCGTCGGTTTTGACAACGCTTGAAGAAGAGTTAAAACAGCTGATTCCAGTACGTTATTGCCGATTCTAGTATATCCTTTTGTATGGAGAAACAAGAGTCTGATCATTAGTTTTCCTTATTCATCAGGTTGGGGTGAACACTGAGTATGGTTATGCGAGGAGCCTAGCACGATACGCTGCGAATCTTGGTCCTGTTGCCTGGAAAATTGCATCAAGGAGAATCGAAACCGTGTTGCCCTCTGGAGTCAAATTTGGTCTGGGTTGGGTTGCAGAGAACCCAGCAGGGCCTGGAGAGGACGATCCTCAAAAACAAATCGTATCAATGTCGTCGTTGGGAAAACAGAAGTGTTCTAATGACTTGGCGTCCGATGATCATTCAAACAGGATCCTGTCTCCAACCGCTTCAGTCTCGAGCGCTTTCATAGGAAATAGAAGAAGACATTCTTCTTCTCAAGGAGTCGAAGAAACAACACCTGCTCGTGTCTTGAATCCAGAAACCGAGTACCCATCAGCATCCTCCTCTCGCCAGTCAGGACCGCTGATCAAAACTGAGGTTAGCAACGGCCTTACCCGCGGTTTCAGTGGATTCAGCCATAGTCCAAGTCCGATGCTCGGAGTCACGAGACAGCAACAATCACACTTAACCAGCGAGGCCACACCGAGCTCGCAACAACAGGGGTTGTTGTTTCCTTACAGCAAACAGGAATTCCACCGGTTTCCACCGGACCTTAACGCTCGGCTTGTCTCGCCAAATTCTCCCGGCTCGAATCAGCAGACTGGTTCGTCCTCGTCGCAGCATCCAGATCTGTCATTACAGCTCTGACGATGAGTGGAAGGAGAAGAAGAAGAGGCATTTTCCATTGGCTATCTCAGCCATATATTTTCTGGTATGAAAGTCACTTGTGGAAAGTCATGGCTTATTTGTTGTGACATGAAAATATATGGGACAAGTCTCTCTCTATTGTACAGATTGTTGCAACATCCATATTTTTTTAGGGGTAAAAAGAGAAGAGGAAAGAAAAGAAAAAAACATAGTAGTGTCGCAAGCTGTAGAATATAGTTTACATGGTTAATTTTCCTAGAATTTTTCAAATGTATTTGCGTAATTTTTAAGTTTTTACCTTGGCCATAAGATAAGATGAAACAAAAGGTATTCGGCATTTGACTTTTGGAAGTGTTATCAGTTTCTGTCTTGGAAGACTGTTGCCGGCTCTGATTTTCAAATTCCTTGGTAATTGACTAATAGGCTCTGACCTTCTTTAAACTAAATATTGTTAAATGTTACGATATATCGGCAATTGATTAATGAATCACCTGATACAATTTAAATAACGGTTTATCAACTTTTTGAGTGTATCACTGCGTTACTGATCAGAGCATCAACATCACATATTCTGAATTACATTACAAATTTGAAAATATTTATTTATTTATATGGTGTATATATCATTTTCAAAATTAGTAATATACATAACTCATCAAAATGGTAATAAGTTTTCTATGAAGGTGTTGACTTGCTGTTAAAAAAAACTCAGCCCATGAATCGACTGAAAAGGAGATGAGAGGGTTTGTTCGTCTGCCTTCAAATTGAGTTTTCATTTTTGTGAAAGAGCTCAGCTCAAGGTTCACGAGACTTACATGAACGTGTTTGTTTGGTGGGTCTGGACGTCTCGTGATATTTAATTTCCTCTCAAACCATTGGTTTATTTAAAACTATTAATTATTGTTGTTTGTCTCAAAAAAAAAAATGTCTGAATTATAAACTCGATTATTGGTTGTAAAAATGAGAAGTGGTAGTTTTTACTTCTTACTAGAATGTTGAAAAATAAATGTTAGAAAGTTTGGCGATTTTTGTCGGAAATACTCTATATTTCTTTTTATTCCATTTTCTTAGTGTCGGAAATACTCTCTGTCTTTTTTATTTCATTTTCTTAGTTTGTCACAAATTGCATTTATCAATTACCCAACAAAATTTTGAATATTCGTACCGTACGTCACAGATTCTTCACGAACAGCTCTGCCGTGTTTAAATAGCATCTAGTATATCTGTACTGTATGTATATATACTTATGAGATTATACGATATAAGTACACATTACTCAAGTTTTTGATGAATATTGATGTAACAACAAATCCTAAGAGAATAACTTTATTAGGGTGAATCTATTTGGATCAACCAATGTATGGATGATGTATGCCTCGGAGTGGAGACACGCAATGAACCGATGGAGATCTAACAAGCTGGCCTTCGCTCTCTTTTGTTGAATCGGATCAGGGGAAGTGAGGGTGGATCGATGGCACCACAAAGAGGATGGATGGCTCTCTGATACAGCAACACTAACCTTTGGGTGGAATCACACACACACAAAGGTAAGCAACTCTTCTCAAGCAAAATCTTCAAAGAAAACGGCGTTATTTTATTGATAAGCAAAAAGGTGTCAAACTACAAAGCTGCAAGGGGACTTTATAAACAGTCCATCAGCCTGAACTTTCTAGGGTTCGACTCAAATGAAAAGAAAAGACTCAAAAACCAGAGGACTTGCAAAAGAAACAAAAGAAAACGGCAAAGAAAACAAGTAAACAGCGAGTTGTCTCATTTGGACACAAATAAGGAAAGTTCTACTTAAATGAAATAAAAAGAAAATAAACACTTAAGCCTTGGCCAAGACTTAGATCTCAGGTATCTCTGGATTCTCGTGGCTCTTAGTCACCACTGAGCTGGTCGTCTGTTCCTGCACAAAACTCATAAACAAGGTTTACATGTTGTGCACGCAAAAGAGGCCATGGAAGAAGTGAACTGTTCTTGACGTGTGCTGGGGCAATCTTCAGGTGGTCTTCTGCGGCCTTGGTAGTGTTGATGATGCTTGTTTCAAGTGCATGAATCCTTCCCTTGGCAGCCTCTTCCTCAGCTAGCGTCTCTTGTGCAAGCTCCAGTTGAGCGCTATCGGCTAAGTGGTTGATGTTGCTTGTCTTGGATTCTTGAGTGATGGTCTCCCTGGGCTTTGTGATGGGCTCGGCTCCTGGACCTATTAAGAAAGATTTCATACCTGTTTCCTCATAAGGCTGTGGCCGGTTCGGTTGAGTTTGGGCCGCGTCCTCTACTTGTTCCTCCTCGGACACTTGTATAAAACTTGATACGGCTAAGTTGATCTTTTCACGTAGGCTCCTGGTTCTAGATCGAGTCATGGGACCTAGAAGGAGTGTGGGGATACTGGGATCCTCATTAGAGTGCTCGATGACCTCATCAATGGATAACTTGTCAAGTTGCCATTGGTTATCAATTGTAGTTTTGTGTTTTCCTGCATCAATTTCGAGTAAATTGCTATTTTTCTACGCACAATTTGTTAGTTCTTCCTCCACTTACCATAGATAATGGAACACGTCAAACCCTTACTCATTTTTAAAAAAAAGAAATTGGGATATGTCTTCATAAAATCAAAACAATAATAAAAAGTAACTATCATTAGGAAGATTTTGTATTTTTATAAAAAGTATTTGGTATCTGGCGATTAGTCAAAGAGACGAATAAATTATTCGTTTTCTTCTTTAACATCCAACAATTTGTTAAAAAACAGAGAAATTTAATTATGGTGGTGGATTTCGTTTCGCATCAAACAAAAACCTAATTATTCTCATATCTAAACGGCGTTGAATGGTGGCATACTAAAATATACTAGTAGTTATAGAGTTAATAGTAGTAATGGAAATTGAAAGTAATAGTTAATTACCAATTGATAGAATTACTAGTTGTAATTATAGACGTAACAGTAGTAGGTATACAAAGTTAATAAGGCCATGCAAAAAAATGGAGAGAAAAGGTTTTTTTTTTTGGGTTAATGGATCAAAAATGAGTTTCGAGAGTAGAAGGAATAACGCTCATTAGAGATAATTTCTTGTTAATTTCATTTTTTTAACTAAAATTTAACGCCATTAACATGCGGTAGGTTTTATACGTACGAATGTAAACAAATAACAAACAGCTAGCTGATAAAAAGGCAAACAGATTATAAAAAAAAGGATTGGTAAAATTGCCAAACTTATCAGCTAAATAATTGATAATAAAGTGGCCATTATTACATGATAGAAACATGTATTTTCTGAAAAAACGGTAAGTAAAAGTCAATGCGGGACGAGAGTACAGTGTGACCACTAACTGAGTTAAAGAAAACTAGCGGGACCTACTGTGGATTGTAATAACACGAAAGGTCAATCTTGAAAATCTCGACCGTCCATTTGTTAAGATCTAAACCGCACATCCACTGTCGGCCTCGTGGGTTTCTCTCGCACACTGTACTGTTCATTTAAGTATCGGACAATCCGAGGGGTATGTTACGGAAATTTTCGATCAGCGAAGGGTTACTGTCCGAGAGGGTATAATGGTAAATTAGGGCACGACGGTGGACCTGACCATTTTAAATGTCAGAGAAGAGAGGTCGGAGAATTGAGAGATGATGATGAATGATGAAGAGATTATAATTTTTTTTGGGGGAAATTAATTTAAATTTTGAAACAGGATAAAATGAGAACCAAAAAAGAGTATTTATTTTCCTTTATAAAAAATGGGACCTACTTGGAAAAGAACAAAACGAAACTCGTCGTCTTCTACCACTTAAATAGTTAAATTTAGTAGCTCCCAACTCAAAAAAATTAAAAAAAATAAATAGAGTTTATACAGAAGGAAGAAGAACAACCAAAAGCAGTTGTAAAACTCCGTGATTTCTCTCCCGTTTCCTCGATTTTTTTGTTTCACTGCTGGTTTTCCTCTTTAGCCATTTTTCTTGTTTCAAGAACATTGTCATTTTTTGTCGTGATTAGATGGAATTTGTATAATTTTAGTAATTCTTCGGTTTTGTTTTTATAAAAATAAATATACATTTTAAAACTAAATTCTATCTCTTTCTCTCTCTCTTCCTGCAATCTATCGCCGATTCGGATCTTCTCTGGTTGGAGATTTCCTTTTACTTGGCCAAAAGTTTTGTTCTTTTGATTTCTGGAATTATCGAAATAGAAACAGAGAAGAAATCAAATCTCTTTAAGCCTTTCAGAGCTCCAAAAGTTTTGTTTTCCGTTTCCGTAAGTTATCAGGCGGCTTTGTGTCTGTCTGGTGTGGGATTTCTGGAGCTGGGTTTCTCAAACCAGCTCCATTTCTGAATCATCCCTTCTCCATCGCCACATTGATTTAAAAGAAAAAAAGAAGATGACTTGCTTCTCTTGTTTGAATCCTCGAACCAAGGACGTAAGAGTCGACATTGATACCGCTCGATGCAACTCTCGTTACACAGCCGATTCATCAGGTTCTGTTCATTTCCAATCGAAAACTTTCATTGTTTCACCTTAAAGTTTTCGTCTTTTTTTTTTTTGGTAATAATGTACAAATCTTATGACTTTATGATTTCAGTTCACGGAAGTGATACAACAGGAACAGAGTCGGTTTCGGGTATTTTAGGTGAGTGTGTTTCAAATTCCTTTTAATTGTGTCTTTTTCTTTTTTCATACATTTTGGGTTAATTTGTCGTTGGAATTGGAACAGTAAACGGAAAGGTGAATAGTCCAAAACCTGGTGGTGGAGCTCGGAGTTTCACGTTCAAGGAGTTAGCCGCAGCAACAAGAAACTTCCGTGAAGTGAATTTGATCGGAGAAGGAGGTTTCGGGAGAGTTTACAAGGGACGTCTAGATTCAGGACAAGTCAGATCTCTCTCACTCTCTCTCAATCTTCCTCAAACCCTTTTGAACTCTGTTTTTATTTGATGTCATTGGAATTTTTAATTGGTGAAAGCAGGTGGTGGCTATTAAGCAATTGAATCCAGATGGGCTTCAAGGAAATCGAGAATTCATAGTTGAAGTTCTTATGCTTAGCTTATTGCATCACCCAAACCTCGTTACACTGATCGGTTACTGTACTTCCGGTGATCAAAGACTTCTTGTCTATGAATACATGCCAATGGGAAGCTTAGAAGATCACCTTTTTGGTTAGTTACTTACTTAACTCTCCTTTTTTTCTTTCGTGTTTCAAATTTCAAATTTTTTTAACTCTTTTGTTTGAATTATCAGATCTTGAGGCAAATCAAGAGCCTTTAAGCTGGAACACACGAATGAAAATCGCGGTTGGTGCGGCTCGGGGAATAGAGTATCTTCACTGCACAGCAAACCCGCCGGTGATTTACCGCGACTTGAAATCAGCAAACATATTGTTAGACAAAGAATTCAATCCAAAGCTCTCTGATTTCGGATTGGCGAAACTCGGTCCAGTAGGAGACCGGACTCATGTATCGACCCGTGTCATGGGAACTTACGGTTATTGTGCTCCCGAATACGCAATGAGCGGAAAATTAACCATCAAATCGGATATCTACTGCTTCGGTGTAGTGTTGCTTGAGCTTATTACTGGAAGAAAAGCCATTGATTTCAGTCAAAAGCAAGGCGAGCAGAATCTTGTTGTTTGGGTAAGTAAGTAGTAAAACCGGATTAAACCGGATTCTAATTCCTCGTTTAGCTAACTAAAATTTTGGCTTTGTCTTTGCAGTCACGTCCATACCTCAAGGATCAGAAGAAGTTTGGACAATTAGTGGATCCGTCTCTGCGAGGAAAATACCCGAGACGGTGTTTAAACTATGCGATTGCGATCATCGCAATGTGCCTGAACGAAGAAGCTCATTATCGACCGTTTATAGGTGACATAGTGGTGGCACTTGAGTACTTATCCGCACAGAGTCGCTCACATGAATCTCGAAACGTCTCTTCCACATCGCCGGAGTTCGCCAGAACGCCGCGACGGGACTCGTAACACGAACACATCTTGAGCTCTTAAGAATGAAACAGTTTGGTGTTCTGTAAAAATGGTTTTGTTTTCTCTTTCCCATAAATAATAAGATTATACAATTTGGTAAATGTTTTTGTTTGTTAGTTTCTTATTACTTATTTTTTTTCCTATGATGTATATGAATATGAAAATTATGGAAACAATTAAGTTCTTTTTCATGTGTATACCTACCTTTGAAAACCGCAGTACAAAGGAAAATCAGAAATAATAAGAACAACATTCAATTTCTTAAAAAGAAAGGATCTTTACATGTTCTTCTCTCTGGTGCGTTTAAAAATACAAAACCCAAAGCACCTTCTAGTAATCTTTCCAAAAAAAAAAAAAAAAAAATTATGAACACTTGTTACAGAACACAATGTGGTATATAATCTTTTATGTCATGTCCTAGAAAACCTTTTTTTCATTTTGTTCTTTCCAACACTGATTTGAATTCAGTGCCATAAACTGTAACCTGTAGCTGAAGAGCGTTCAGGGAAATGATGAGAAGAAACATGAAGCAGAAGCTTAATGGTATGGCTCGGTGTGGTTCTGCAGACATCTACACACTCATCTACATCTTCATCACAAGTCAACAAAACCCATTCATTGTCTTCGTCTAAGTACTTTAGATCATACCTGCTCATATCCTCTATGCTAAACCGCTTCCCGATCTCCCACAATAGATCTGTTAACCTGTGTGAATTCCGCATCCGAAATCTGATATTCTCTTCTCCATAGCTAACTTTAATCCTCAGAAAGTCATCATCTTGAGATGATGACAACATGTGTGTGCCTTGAGGGATGTTCTCTAAAGTGGAGAGAGTCAATACTGTCTCGTCAAGACTCGAACTTTGAAGATCGATTTCGCTGCTCCTCTTCTTCATTGCACCTCCTACATCAGCTTGAGAAGGATCGGTGGTTGCACCGCTGTTTAGTTGCGTTTCACTGGAGCAACATTGGCTAGAGTTTGAACTGTGACTGTATGGAGAAACAGGGGACTTTGCAGGCTGCAATGGTGGTTGAGGAGGAGGCGATGTCTTGGCTTGTTGTGATGGTTCCTGTGACTGTGAGGCTAGATTGGGGAAATTTGCGTAGAATGAGCCTATTTGAAGAGGTCCTGAAACACCTTCAACCGAATCAATTACCCGTTGGATTTTCTGCAGAGAATGTCCGACTTTTTTGATCTTTCTTGATGGCCATCTCTGTATCCCATGTTGCCTGCATATTCTCTTCAAGGTCGTTGGACATACTGAAAATTAACAAGAAAGAGACAAAAATTGAGAAAGTGCTGCTTGCCACCGATATATAGAACAGAAAAAGATAGAAAAACGCTGCTTACCACCAATATTCTTGGCTGCATCTTTCAGACTCCCAGCAAAATACTGTCGAAGAACATCTAAAGTGATGGTTTTATCTGCTTTTGTACGCTTTTTCTCGGTCATCCTACTGAAACCGTCAGTAGAGAAAGTGCTGCTCTCATTGACATTAGAATCTCTGGTGTAGTCGAAACCTCTTTTCAAGCCAAATCCATCATTTGGCTTCTCTCCTCCATCAAACACCAATCCAAGATTCTGAGGATTATTACTATTATTACTCTGCTGGATTTCATCGAAAGAGGCGCTCCATGAAGAATTTCCGTGGAGATGATGTAGTTCCGATGTGTTCTCTATCTTTGGCGTTACTGTCTCTTCCCTTTCTATCACTTCACTCTCTTCTTCTAGTTCCTTATCTGTAACAGTCCTTAAGCTTCTAGGCACATGAGCCATGATAGTCGAAAGAGCATTCAGCATTTTCCTCTGTTCCTCCAGATCATCACAGTCTTTAGGCAAAAAGAACTCCAAGACGAAATCAGCAGAGCCCGTGTGGATGCAGCGCAGGCGAATCGCAACCGAGCCATGTAAACCGAACATATTGGCGTGGTGGGAGAGAGGGTACTCGGATTTCTTATAGTTGGAGATATCAGACGAAAAGCAAGGTCCATTAGTCAAGAAGGCTTGTCCTGCAACTCCTTGCCCTTTCAAGAGGTGATGCTCAGAGCAAGCTTCATGGAACTCGCGGACAGTTGGATCACCAACATAGCAAGCATCATCAATGGTTGACACGCAATGGGTATAGTTCTCATCGTTGTGACGACACCCACTTTTGCTTTGCTGGAGACAAGAGACCCATGTCTGAGCTAAAGGTAGTTTATGCGTCTCACAAGCACATCTCAAGAGGTTTCGGATTTCAGGTAATGCAGCTTTGTAGGATAAGTCACATCCCTGAAATGAACAAGAAACAATCTGAACGTTTATACCAAAACCAGAACTTAAAGAACTCGTATAGTTTCTTTGATTACCTTTAGAGAAGGCGGAATCGGAAGCTCAGTGCTCCTAAGATCAACTGCCTGTGTAAAAGAAACACATTCTTCCTTCTCAGAAAAAAAACCAATTCAAAAAGCAAAAGCTGAAAGCTTTTGAAAAGGAGACAAACCTGAAGTGCTCTGCAGATGCTTTCAAGCTCAGGTCTCAATTTAACCATCTCTGTGGTCATTACAACCTCAATAACACCCAAGCAAATCTTACTACCTTGTTCAAACACCGGAATCGCAAGAGTTCCACGGACATCGCAGTCCTGAGCGTGTTGAACTCTCGGATACTCTTCACTCCTAAAAAACCTAACATCAGGAGTCCATTCAGGAAGCTTCCCCAAGAAAACCCTTCCAGGCAAACCAGCTAAGGCCTTGGAATCATCTTGCTCAGCAGAGAAGTGATAATTCACAGAAATCTCTCTATAGTTTGCAAGTCTTTGACACATCGGATCATGGCTAAAAGGTTGTTCCTTTGTGGTCAAAACCCGCTTACCGCCTCTGTTGACCGGAACCCATAGCTGTATAAGTGAGCCTCTCTCTGTTGTGTAATCTTTAATGTGTTCAACTGCTTGAACCAATCTCTCAGTAACTGAAGAACCTCCACCTCCTGGTCCAATCCACCATCTTTTGTTCCATTGAAACTCATCGAGACTCGATCTCTCTGCAGAATCCCGACCGTAAACTATCCCTGATGTGCAGAGTGCTGACGTATCTTGAGTTGGAGACCACATGAGCGAAGATGGATCAAAGGGGCTATCGGAAGAAGTTGAAGGAGGTAAGTTAAGAAACTCAGATCCATCTGTTGTCTCTAACCAGCAACCATCTAGTAGCAATCCATCCATGAACTCAGTGTCCATAACTGCGTTCTCACTTTGAAGAAAACTATCTTCCATGGATGTGCAATTTGCTTTGTTGGTTTAGCTATCGATGAAGCACCATCTGAAAAAACAAAGCATCCATTTCTCAATAAGTTTCACAAACAAACAAAGAAGATGGAGATCGAGATTCTTTTCTACTTCTTATTGCTTACATTTTCAGAAACTGATAGAACTCATGAGTACCGAATTCACCAACCGATAAAGTAGGGAAATTAAAGGGCACACAACATTTTAGGAAACACGGATCAATCACAAATCTTGCATAATCTAATTCATGATGACAGAATAAAGAATCCAAAGTTAAAAATAAAAACCCAACTTTTTGTTTGATTCCTTCAAGCTGGTCAAACTAAACCCAAATTCTTTTATAGCTCAAGAGATACTAATTTCAACCCAATGAAAGTAAGAGAGAAAAAAAACGAACTTCATGCTAATCAGCTTCGTTCTTAACGAAAAATCAAACCTTTAAAGCGTCAGAAAAGAAATTAGAAGAAAGGAACAAAAAAAACTCACGAGATAGAGAGATTCTCGAAGATTCCTTCCTCAAGTGGGTTTTAATTTCCCTTTTATAAACTGAAGTTTCTTGCAATTTGTTGTCTGAGATAGAAGGAACAGATGAGAAGAAACCAAATCTCAAATCAAAAGAAAAGAAAGTTGTAAAGATGTCTGATGGGTGTTATGTCTCCGACTCTCTGGTGAAGATGAAAACAAAAATGAATATTTTAAAAAAAAAGTTAAAATGAAAAATATGAATATCTGTGGATCGTTATCTCCTCTATGCATTGGGACATGGCGAGACCTTATTAAGAAATTTGTTTTGTTTTTGTTTTGGTTACAGAACATCACTCTCTCTCTCTCTCTTCCAGGCTGCTTGGGTTTTATTTTTTACTGAAGGAGAGAGAGAAGATTCTCTCCACTTTCGAGACAGAGGGAATAAACAAAATAGCAATAAAATGAGTTGCGCTGTGAATTTCTTCTATTTATGTAAAAAAGTCAAACTTTTTTTTGGCAGACGTCACGTAGAGAGAATATCGCCACTCATCATTTATTTATGATATAAAAAGAGTAAAGCAAAAAGGATTTCATCTGAGTATCTGTATACTTCCACACCAACAAAAAAAAAATTAAAACTGTAACTACTAATGAAATACTATTCTTTAATGTTTTATATCCGCTGACTAAAGATAGAATATATTGTTTTATAATATGTTTAATTCATTTAGTTTTAGAATAAGATCCTACTAATTTTTGAAATAATCAAATATAATGGCTGTACATATCTTTAATATATACCATATCTGATTCGCCAATTTATTCAAAAGTTATATTTGGAGAATGATTCTTTAACATTTTATCGTGGTGATGACCAAAGCTATCAACTTCCATTTTTAGACCCCAAGTTACTAATTGAGCACTAGTCAACAATTATTAATGTTTTTCGTTTTCTATCGATATAGATCGTTTTGTTATGGGACATATTCCTAACTTGCTCTAACCTATACTTATTATTATAATTATAGAAAATTAAAGAAACTAAAATGCCTTTATTATTTGTATTGGTATAGGCTTATGAAAAGAATTATAATAATAAGGAAAATAAAAAGAAGAAACAAGTGGGGAGTAGGTTCCTCCCTCAACTGCGTTAAAAATATTATTTTTCTTATCAAATTGACAATAAAATATAGCTCAGTAAAACAAAAGTTTCTAATGTAGTGGAGAGTATTGTGTAGGTAAGGTAACCAATACCATTTTCGCCTCGTGAATAGATGCCACTGCTCAAATATAGTACTCCTAGAAAATTATTAACTTTTTGTCAGGCAAAACTGCAAAACCATCGACTAATATTAAATTAAGTGTGGTTTACATATTTTTTTCAACAATCTATATACTCAGAACGGTAACAAATTATTGCTTATTTCAAATTAAGTTAGGTCTCTTTTTGATTTTTCAACATAAA